TCAATAGTGTTTTTTATATTAACCAAGAACTTATAAATAATAGAAAAAAAAATAAAAAAATAAATAAAAATAATAGCAAAAATAGCGTGTGTGTAAGTGTGTGTGTGTGTGTGTGTGTGTGTGTGCGCATGCATGTACGTGTGTAAATAAAATGTTGGAGTTGGTGTTTAGGTAATTTCATCGAATAAAGCTTCTGCTTCTTCATAATTTAATTTTGCAAGACAGGCAGTTAGGGACTTTTTTAGTTCATAATTATTTAGCAAATATATTTTTATCATACCATTCACCTTTTTGTATATAGAAGCTGATTTCTTAGCAAACTGATGACTAGCAAATTTAGTTTTTACAATACCGGTTTCTACTCTAATGTTAACTCGTCTTTTTGTCTTCGTGTTTATATCTATAGTTACTGTTTTATGCCTCTGTAGTATTAATTGTAATATGTATATCTTTCTCACACTTAGTAAGTTGTTAATGGAGTATAGCTCTTTTGTAGGGAAACGATATGGTTTACAGAACATAACTTTTAGTAAGGTCCGTTGACTACGTTCTAATTTTAGGAATTTTATTTTTGATGCTCCTCCCCATACTGGGATGCAGTATGACAAAATTGATTCAGCAAGAGCGGTATAGACTTGGTTTAGAATTTTATTTGTTGCAACATATCTTAAGGTTTTAAAAATCCAAATAAGTTTTCTAATTCTGCTTGATAGTAGTTCCAGATGGGAGTGCCAAGATAATCTTTGATCAATAACTATGCCTAAGTATTTGATTGAATCTATTTTATCAATGCTAGGACACATGCAATTTACACTCTGATCCTTACAGTGGTGTATTTGTAATTCTGATGATGTAGGCTGAGTTTTTTATTTATTGAGAAACATATATAATTTGATTTATGTGTGTTTAGTGTAAGAACGTTAGATTTAAGCTAAATAGTATATACATACATACCTATAAAGGCCGTTGGTATGCATTTCCAAACTTAGTAACGTTAACTTGATTCCCCATACAAACTTATATTAAGGGGTCGCCGCCTTAAGGGATTATTGCCGGGATAAAAAGTATCCTATGTCCTTCCAAGGGTCTCAAACTATCTTCTTACCAAATTTCATCTAAATCGGTTCCGTAGATCCGGAGATTACCCCTTCCAACATCACAAACTCACAAACTTTACCTCTTTATAATATTAGTATAGATTAAATAGAAAATGATGCAAAATAACACACATACTAACACCAAAAAACTTTGTTTTGAGTACTTATATAATGTTGTACTAATTATCAAATTATTACCAGTCCATACGTTGATGGTGCAATATCAGAGATGTTTTCGGAATAATAGCTCAATTTTATTTAATTTTTGATGCCAATGAATGGCATAAGAACAAATCATATGTAACAACAGGCACACAGGCACAATGAATTATTCATTTATTTTTATATACATGTGTACGTATAGTTGTCATGTTCTTTCCCTATAGATTACTTTTTGTAGTGTATTGTAGTGCCTAGAACGTTTACATAAGGACGTGAAATATCAGTGTAGAAGCTTTTTTATATACATCTACGCAGGTTTTAGGTCACTACGTCGCTACGTAGGTCGTAGGCCCTACGTAGATCTGGCAGATTTAGATACTTTAAATCTATGGCAGGTATTCTTTGTTTATTGTTATTTAACAAAATTTATTATTAAAAAATAGATTATAAATATACTTATTTTTTTATTTATTTATTTTTATTTAGGTGATACTTTATAGAGGTAAATAAAAAATTCTAGGAAGTAAAGTACCTTATCATGCTAAGCAGTCATATAAGATTAATAAGTGCAATTACAATTTATCGCCGATAATGTACTACATTGGAGTGATTAATCAACGGCCTTTATTTTCCACCGGTTCTGAAGTGTACATTTTATTTTATAATTTGTTATCATAGCTATATTCGTGGATTATACAGATGTTATCTTTATATTTTCTATTATCTGCCGCTTTCTATTGAATTTGCGTCTCATAAAATTATTTTTTCATTCTTAGTTTTGTTTTCATTTAAAAACTAGTAGCTATTCCTATTTGTATGTGAAATGTAAATATTGTTTAGATCCTCCCATGAAATGCAGCGGATGATCTTTTCAAGCGAAGCGAGTTTTCAATTTATTTATTTTGCTTATAGTTTATGCCATTTATTCTTAAGAAATCTTTTTGTGATTTATATAGATTTTACTTTGAATTGAAATAGATAAATATATTTTAAATAAAATTATCTTTTCGGATTTTTGGTTCTCGACGTTTTAAATGTTTAACAGCAATCATAGTCACGGGAGAGGGTTTTAGATGTCTCAAAGGATTTATATACTTGTTACAGGCAGTGCCTACCCTCAATTTTACAAAACGATTTCTATAATTCAAAAATGGCACCAAAGTACCTACCATACAATATTTGTTGATTTTAATTCTAAACATTTTAAATTTTTTAATAAGTATTATAATTAGTTATGGTAATATTATTAATTTAATTTTAACTATTATTATTATAAATATTACAATTTTAATTTTTTTATTAATTAATAATAATATTTAGTGTATACCCATAAAGAAAATTAAAAATTAGAAAATATTAATTATTTACTTAAGCAATATTATTGTTTTATATGTAACTAACAGAAACCGCGGCTTCGCTCGCGCTAAAACTATAAAAAAATCTTAAAAGATTAGTTTCATACAAACTTTCATCCCCTATTTTAGCCCCTTATGATGGGGATGAATTTCGAAAAATGTTAAAACATATTTATTTAATTGTATTGAAGAGCATTAATACTAAGGTTTAAATAATTCTGATCATAAATATTTTTTTGGTTTGTATAATAACGTATTTTCCCGTGGGAATGAGATAATCTCCCGCGATAAAGTAGCCCATGTCAGCCCAATGTTCAGCCCTCCAACTATCTCCAAACAAAAATCACGCCAATACGTCACTCTGTTTCGACGTGAAAGAAGGACAAACAAACAATCACTTTCACATTTATAATATTAGTATGGGTTTAAAAAAGTTAAAATATTAATACTTTCTTATTGTCTTTTCGGATTATTTCGCGGATTTATTTTGATTTTGGTTCCCGACGTTTCGAATGCTTTACACTTTACAGCAATCATGGTCACGGGAGACACTCTCACGTTATAGTTTTATATAAAAATTTGTTTTGATCCACACAATATGATTCAACTACATCTAATGGTCTGTTATATTTACTTTTGTTGTTAGATTTTATTATGTTTATTAAAGGATCCCAAGATTATGGTAGTTCCAAAATGTTGGTAAGTAGGCACCCTGTAACAAGTATATAATACCTTTGAGACGTCTAAAACCTCGGTCTCTCCTATGACCATGGTTGTTGTAAAGCATTCGGAACTAAAAATCAAAATAAATCCGCGAAATAATATTATATAATAATCCTATAGTAATATATAACTTAGTTTTATTTAAAATATCAAATATCGCGTAAATCTAAGAAAGTATTAGTAAGGGAGCCCAAGAGGGGATTTTTGGATTTACTCAAGCGCGGCATATTAACATAAGGGCGGATACCTTGCACTCTGTTGAGTACCTCCACAATAATATAAGTCATCTATATAAGGATATTGTAATATATAAGTATATGTAAATATTTAAAAAATATTTTGATAAGTTAGAAATACCTTAATCTGTAAGGTATGGTGGGCTAATTACATCCTGAAAAGTGTGCAAATAAATAATCTGCCCAATTCCACAATCCGAAAAGGTAAAAAACGGACATAAACTTTATAGTCGATGAGAGTTTTCGGCCTATGAGAGTAAAAGAAATATAAAGATTACTTGTGCTTGCAGACACACTTCTGAGCTTTTATCTGATGTACCTCATACTATATTCGCTATGGAGGAATTGTTTCATTTTCGAATCACGTAATAAAACACTTAAATTGAATTCACTATATAGGTCTCAAAAGATACAGTAAAAGATGAAGATTGTAATTATAGTGATGTTTCTTTTTCTTGTTTGACTGTTCTTTCTCGTTCGATTATCGTTAATTCTTAAAGATATTGACATTTAATATAGAATTGCTGAAATGAAAACAAAATATTATTTTCTATCAAGATTTAAGAACTTAAGCGGAATAATCATCATAACCTATCCTCTAACTGTAATAAATATTAAGTATACGAATATTGTGTAATAATAAATATTGAATATACGTAACAATACACCCCTATGTTTTATCACAGAACCCAAATTTTGCATAATTAATCTTTAAATGTTTCTCTTCGGGTTAATTTAGGAAATATTCAATGCCGGATTTAACTTTGGCGCCGCCCCTGGGCACTGTAAAAAATGCCGCTCTATTATCGCAATTTTGAATAAAATGTTAAATTTTTTAGTTTGTTTTATTATTATTTTTTTGAAAAATGCAAAGAATAATTTATAAATGATATCAATTTTTCGAAAAATGTACCTACTAGTTAGTCTTTTTTTTCTTTTTCTTTTTTTGGAAAATAAAAAAGCATTTTCGATAACGCGAAGAATTTTTTCCCGCCCTCCGAATTTTGCCGCCCCTAAAAATTCGCTACCCTGGGCACTAGCCCCGAGTACCTAGTGTAAATCCAGCGCTGAAATACTAAAATGGTTCAAGCTAGAAGTTTCAAAACACCCATTTCTTGCCGCCCGTTTCTACGGGCGGCAAGAAATGGGTGTTTTGAAACTTCTAGCTTGAACCATTTTACAATGAGATTCTGAAAATGTTTTATCAGTAAATCAATTTTAATTATTTATTGCTTATCAAATAATCAAATTCCATATATTGTCGTCGTCATATTCTCATATATGTATGAAGTATTAATCACGTATATAATATAAGATAATCTTTTCATATATAAACATCATCTGCGTAGATCTTTTATTCATTTGATATTTTTTATTTGTTTATGTGCACTAGTGATTTCCAAGTGACAATAATTATTTCGCTGAATATGAAAGGTATCGTAGATCCACTGTTTAAGTTTTACAAGCAAGCTAAAATAAGTGTTGTTTTTAGAAAAAATAGTGTAGTGAAATAATCTATTATTATTTACTAAGTTAAAGATAAATAAATCTATATTATATGGTGATAGATCTATACGGGTTCGATACCCGTTGAATATCGGCGTATAAAAAGGAGGTAACATAAGTAATCTGGGAGTTAGTTGAAGTGTTTATGGACTCTTGCTTACATACCAAGTATTACTCTACTTTTAGATAACATCCTCAGTGCAATTGGAGGTAGAATATATCTAAAGATAATATTATTTTCTCTTCAGTATATAATTGTCGTACTGCAATCCAAAATCTAGTGTAAAATAGTTATTTAAGTGGACTTTATAAAGAATTAAGTGAATTCAGTTGAATGTTTTTGGGTGTACGACAGTTGATATCTTTACCGATTGTAAATATATCTTTACCGATTTTCGTAATTCTTTTTCTAATGAACAGTGAATCTTCTATTTTTAAATTTTAAAGTTAGTACCTTAATTAACAAACGACAAATGATATTATTTTATTTATTTTTTTAGTTCATGCCTTTATTAAAATGAAATAAATCCTGATATTAACTGAACCATACTCACTAGCTTTGCTCACGCTATCTTTCTAATATAATGTTTTTGGTAATGTTTGTGTGAAAAAATTTAATTCATCTTAGAATCTGTTTTCTATGTTTATCATGCATCACTCGAAAACTAGTAAACTGTTTACAAGATTTTTTTATACACGCATTATATAAAATATTTGAAAACTTATAGTTATAGTATTTTTTAATTTAATCAATCGAGTAGCTCCAAAAATACGGCTTGAGTTATTCGTTATGCTCGTTCAATCTGTAGCATGAATCACAAAAAGAAATCACGATTTATGAACTAAATAGAATTTGTTATATAGCAATACAGTATGAATTAACTAATTAATTTTCTTGAATTATTCTAAAGTTTTATTTAATTTCAGATATTTCATGCGTTAAATTGGGATAGCTTAGAATGATTTTAAATGCATTACTAGAGTTCTTTTTGCATTGTGGACGTGGAATCAATGTGATATTTACCAAATTCGGGCCTATTTTGTAACACTATAATGCCATGTAGCATTTCAGTCACAGAAATTTGAACTGAGTAGCACCTGAATATATCAGAGGTGCGAAACCCGGAATTTGAACTCGCTTCACACGGTTTCGGGTTCTCGGTTTGACGAGCGCGTTACCAGTGGACTACCACTGTCTTTAGGATTAGCCGAAACAAATAGATAAAAATTAAAAAAAAAACTTCTAAATACCGTATATATGTATACTTTCATAAGTTTAATAAAAAACTGTTATTTTGACATAACAAACAAACACTTCAATTTTATTTATCTATATAGATTACAAGCATAGATTAAACAAGTATTTAACAAATTACAAGTAATTGGTACTATCATGGTCGACTGTATTTAAAAACTAAAATGTTCATATAAAAAATCTATGCAAATATTGCAAGTATCGATTCGAGTGTACTCGATTTAATTATGGCCACACATTTATCGAACTTAAATATACTTTGTGGTACCTAGAAGTTTTTGCACGCGGCTTTGCCCGCGTAATCATTTTTCTATTTATTATATTTCTTTTCAACAAGCTCTCGATCATTTTTTTTTGACTTGACAAGCCAATAGTCCCCAACGGATGTTTTTTAATGATTTATAAAACTAAAACTTCGTAAGTAGCTTCATTTTGTCGAGGAGCCCAACTATTCTTTCTACGAGAATTTAATAGTGGTAGATACAATTGTGGCTTCTTACGGAACATGTCAAAACAGTACTAACAAGTTATTTTACGATTTAATCTTGAGATAATCCAACAATAAGCAAGAAAAAAATGTAAATACAAAACAAATGGTTTGGATCAAATAGCCCCCCTCCCTGAACTAGTTAAAAGAACAACGTCATAAAATTTATTCATAACCGGCTGATTTTCATAGTATATATTATTAAAAATATGCCTAATTGAGTCTTTGCCTTTGGCTAAGTAATTAAAGCCTACCTATTAAATATATACCTAATGAAATATTTTCGAAATCGGTGCCAGCCCATACAAAGCAAAGCACACCGACTTCGAAAATATTTGATTAGGTATGTATAGTAAAGTAACACTACCAATCAGTTATTTTTTACTTTTTAGTGCTTTTGTTTGAAGTCGGTTTTTATTTTTTTGTTAAAAAGTTTTTATTATTTAACTATTTTTACGTCATTACTTTTTCTCAAAAGTAGGTATAATAATTTTTTTACTTATATTGTAATTTACAAAGTAAAATTAATGTATAGTTTTGGCACGATTTTACTTCAACCACTTATTTTAAATATTTTTTTTAGGACTAGCACTTCCTACCCATTATGGTGTAAAACATTGATTTTTTTATTGAGAATACACTCACGCGTCGTTTACTGCTGTTGTGCTACAGTTAGTCCGTTTGAACATGTTCCATATGAAACCACAATTATATTATCTACCGAATTAAATTTTCGAAGAAATAATTGTTGAGCGTCTTGTCAAAATGAATTTACTCACAAAGCTTTAGCTTGTTATTAATCAATAAACATATCCGTTGGGGACTGACTATAAGATTTTACTTTGCTAAAATTATAAAACAACAATGATACAATAAAATACTTGTGTGAAATATCATTATCATAAGAAAACTAATTATGTAAATATAAATAATTATTCATTTTATTTTCAATTAATTCATGACGCAAATTTTTAAATTCTTAGAAAATTAAAGTATAAAATACTATTAAAAAGTAATTTCTCAATGCAATATAAAAGAAATTTATAATAATATATATTATAATTCCTTTTTTTTTCTTTTCAGTCGCAGCCATACTGCTGGTCTGCGCAATAGCTCATGCACAAAATATAGACCTGAATGACAATGGATGTCCGATTGACCCGAGTATTGAAAAACTTTACCCACATGAACATTGTGATAAATTTTATCAATGTACACATGGAGAATTAGTCTTACATAACTGCACATCCAATCTCTTATTTAATGTTGACAAACAAGAATGTGATTGGCCCGAAGATGTCGACTGTGGTAACAGGACTATTCCTGAACCTTGTGAAAATGAGAATGACAATACCAGTAACGAAAATGAGAGCAGTGAAAGCGAAAATGAATGTAACTGCAACCCCCAAGAAGCCCCATCAATCTGTGCTAAGGATGGATCAGATGGAACGCTAATTGCCCATGAAAACTGCAACCAATTTTACAAGTGCTTCAACGGAAAGCATGTCGCCTTGTCGTGCCCCGGAACACTCCTGTACGATGCATATAAAAAACAATGTGACTGGCCTGAAAATGTAGAATGCGGTGACAGGATCATCCCTGAACCGTGCGAAAACGACAATGATAATACCAGTACGGAAAATGGCGGCAATAGTAGTGAAACCGATAACGATAACGGAAATAATAATAGAACATGCAATTGCAATCCTCAAGAGGCCCCCTCAATCTGTACTAAGGATGGATCAGATGGAACGCTGATTGCACATGAAAACTGCAACCAATTTTACAAGTGCTACAATGGAAAGCCCGTGGCCATGAATTGTCCTGGAGAACTCCTGTACGATCCATATAAAGAACAATGTGACTGGCCTGAAAATGTAGAATGTGGCGACAGGATCATTCCTGAACCGTGCGAAAACGAAAATGACAATAATAATACAGAAAATGGCAGCAATAGTAGTGAAACCAATAACGATAATGGAAGTAATAACAGAACATGCAATTGTAATCCTCAAGAGGCCCCCTCAATCTGTACTAAGGATGGATCAGATGGAACGCTTATTGCACATGAAAACTGCAACCAATTTTACAAGTGCTACAATGGAAAGCCCGTGGCCATGAATTGTCCTGGAGAACTCCTGTACGATCCATATAAAGAACAATGTGACTGGCCTGAAAATGTAGAATGTGGCGACAGGATCATTCCTGAACCGTGCGAAAACGAAAATGACAATAATAATACAGAAAATGGCAGCAATAGTAGTGAAACCGATAACGATAATGGAAATAATAATAGACCATGCAATTGTAATCCTCAAGAGGCCCCCTCAATCTGTGCTAAGGATGGATCAGACGGAACGCTGATTGCACATGAAAACTGCAACCAATTTTACAAGTGCTACAATGGAAAGCCCGTGGCCATGAATTGTCCTGGAGAACTCCTGTATAATTCATATACAGAACAATGTGACTGGCCTGAAAATGTAGAATGTGGCGACAGGATCATTCCTGAACCGTGCGAAAACGAAAATGACAATAATAATACAGAAAATGGCAGCAATAGTAGTGAAACCGATAACGATAATGGAAGTAATAACAGAACATGCAATTGTAATCCTCAAGAGGCCCCCTCAATCTGTGCTAAGGATGGATCAGACGGAACGCTGATTGCACATGAAAACTGCAACCAATTTTACAAGTGCTACAATGGACAGCCCGTGGCCATGAATTGTCCTGGAGAACTCCTGTACAATTCATATAAAGAACAATGTGACTGGCCTGAAAATGTAGAATGCGGCGACAGGATCATTCCTGAACCGTGTGAAAACGAAAATGACAATAATAATACGGAAAATGGCAGCAATAGTAGTGAAACCGATAACGATAATGGAAATAATAATAGAACATGCAATTGTAATCCTCAAGAGGCCCCCTCAATATGTGCTAAGGATGGATCAGACGGAACGCTGATTGCACATGAAAACTGCAACCAATTTTACAAATGCTACAATGGACAGCCCGTGGCCATGAAATGTCCTGGAGTACTCCTGTATAATTCATATACAGAACAATGTGACTGGCCTGAAAATGTAGAATGCGGCGACAGGATCATTCCTGACCCGAGCGAAAACGACAATGACAATGATAGTACGGAAAATGGCGGCAATAGTAGTGAAACCGATAACGATAATGGAAACAATAATAGAACATGCAATTGCAATCCTCAAGAGGCCCCCTCAATCTGTGCTAAGGATGGATCAGACGGAACGCTGATTGCACATGAAAACTGCAACCAATTTTACAAGTGCTACAATGGAAAGCCCGTGGCCATGAATTGTCCTGGAGAACTCCTGTACGATCCATATAAAGAACAATGTGACTGGCCTGAAAATGTAGAATGTGGCGACAGGATCATTCCTGAACCGTGCGAAAACGAAAATGACAATAATAATACAGAAAATGGCAGCAATAGTAGTGAAACCGATAACGATAATGGAAGTAATAACAGAACATGCAATTGTAATCCTCAAGAGGCCCCCTCAATCTGTGCTAAGGATGGATCAGACGGAACGCTGATTGCACATGAAAACTGCAACCAATTTTACAAGTGCTACAATGGAAAGCCTGTGGCCATGAATTGTCCTGGAGAACTCCTGTATAATTCATATACAGAACAATGTGACTGGCCTGAAAATGTAGAATGTGGCGACAGGATCATTCCTGAACCGTGCGAAAACGAAAATGACAATAATAATACAGAAAATGGCAGCAATAGTAGTGAAACCGATAACGATAATGGAAATAATAATAGACCATGCAATTGTAATCCTCAAGAGGCCCCCTCAATCTGTACTAAGGATGGATCAGATGGAACGCTTATTGCACATGAAAACTGCAACCAATTTTACAAGTGCTACAATGGAAAGCCCGTGGCCATGAATTGTCCTGGAGAACTCCTGTACGATCCATATAAAGAACAATGTGACTGGCCTGAAAATGTAGAATGTGGCGACAGGATCATTCCTGAACCGTGCGAAAACGAAAATGACAATAATAATACAGAAAATGGCAGCAATAGTAGTGAAACCGATAACGATAATGGAAATAATAATAGACCATGCAATTGTAATCCTCAAGAGGCCCCCTCAATCTGTGCTAAGGATGGATCAGACGGAACGCTGATTGCACATGAAAACTGCAACCAATTTTACAAGTGCTACAATGGACAGCCCGTGGCCATGAATTGTCCTGGAGAACTCCTGTACAATTCATATACAGAACAATGTGACTGGCCTGAAAATGTAGAATGTGGCGACAGGATCATTCCTGAACCGTGCGAAAACGAAAATGACAATAATAATACGGAAAATGGCAGCAATAGTAGTGAAACCGATAACGATAATGGAAATAATAACAGAACATGCAATTGTAATCCTCAAGAGGCCCCCTCAATCTGTGCTAAGGATGGATCAGATGGAACGCTGATTGCACATGAAAACTGCAACCAATTTTACAAATGCTACAATGGAAAGCCCGTGGCCATGAAATGTCCTGGAGTACTCCTGTATAATTCATATAAAGAACAATGTGACTGGCCTGAAAATGTAGAATGCGGTGACAGGATCATTCCTGGCCCGGGCGAAAATGACATTGACAATAATAGTACGGAAAATGGCGGTAGCAGTAGTGAAACCGATAACGACAATGGAAATAATAACAGAACATGCAATTGCAATCCTCAAGAGGCCCCCTCAATCTGTGCTAAGGATGGATCAGATGGAACACTGATTGCACATGAAAATTGCAATCAATTTTACAAGTGCTACAATGGAAATCCCGTGGCCATGAATTGTCCTGGAGAACTCCTGTACGATCCATATAAAGAACAATGTGACTGGCCTGAAAATGTAGAATGCGGTGACAGGATCATTTCTGGCCCGGGCGAAAATGACAATGACAATAATAGTACGGAAAATGGTGGCAACAGTAGTGAAACCGATAACGATAATGGAAATAATAATAGAACATGCAATTGCAACCCTCAAGAAGCGCCCTCAATCTGTGCTAAGGATGGATCAGAAGGAACGCTGATTGCACATGAAAACTGCAACCAATTTTACAAGTGCTTCAATGGAAAGCCCGTCGCCATGAATTGTCCTGGAGAACTCCTGTATAATTCATACACAGAACAATGTGACTGGCCTGAAAATGTAGAATGTGGCGACAGGATCATTCCTGAACCGTGCGAAAACGAAAATGACAATAATAATACGGAAAATGGCAGCAATAGTAGTGAAACCGATAACGATAATGGAAATAATAACAGAACATGCAATTGTAATCCTCAAGAGGCCCCCTCAATCTGTGCTAAGGATGGATCAGACGGAACGCTGATTGCACATGAAAACTGCAACCAATTTTACAAGTGCTATAATGGAAAGCCCGTAGCCATGAATTGTCCTGGAGAACTCCTGTACGATCCATATAAAGAACAATGTGACTGGCCTGAAAATGTAGAATGCGGTGACAGGATCATTCCTGAACCCTGTGAAAATGAGAGTGATAATAACGGTACAGAAAATGGCGGCAGTGGTGGTGATAGTGAGAATGGAAATGGCACATGCAATTGCAATCCCCAAGAAGCCCCCTCAATCTGTGCTAGAGATGGAACCAATGGAGATCTAGTAGCTCATGAAAACTGCAACCAATTTTACATGTGCTTTAATGGAAAACCGCATTCTATGACATGTCCTGGAGAACTCCTGTACAACGCACATGAAAAACAATGTGATTGGCCTGAAAAAGTAGCATGTGGCGACAGAATCATTCCTGAACCCAGTGAAAATGAAAACAACAGTACGGAAAACGGCGGTAATAGTGGCGAGAGTGAAAACGATAATAATAATGGCACGTGCAATTGCAATCCTCAAGAAGCTCCTTTGATTTGTGAGAAAGATCAATCTAATGGAGAACTAGTGGCGCACGAAAATTGTAACCAATTTTATCAATGTTTTAATAGACAACCTATGCCTATGAAGTGTCCTGGAATACTTCTATACAATCCTTATAAACAACAATGTGACTGGCCTGAAAACGTACATTGTGGTGATAGAGTCATTACACCTCCAAGCGAAAATGATAACAGTGACAGTAATGAAGAAGATATTTCTACGGAAATTGATATAAACAATAATAGAACTTGTAACTGTGATCCAAATCAAGCTGAATCTATTTGTAAAAAAGATAATTCAGATAGCACTCTAATAGCTCATGAAACCTGCAACAAATTCTATGTATGCAACTTTGGTATGCCAGTTGCTATGAAATGTGGAAATAATCTTTTATATAATCCTTACAAAGAAATATGTGATTGGCCCGAGAATGTAGATTGTGGTAACAGAGTAAGACTAGAATCTGATGATAATGAAGGTGGTTGTAATTGCATCCCTACACAAGCACCATTAATTTGTGCTCGTGAAGGATCTGATAATACTGTGATTGCCCATGAAAATTGTAACCAATATTATCTGTGTTCAAATGGAAAGCCAATCGCTTTCACTTGTTTCTCTTCTCTGCTTTACAATCCATATAAACAACAGTGTGACTGGCCTGAAAATGTTAACTGTGGTTACAGATTGCATTAAGTGATGATGGTTTTAATAGAGTTGCGAAGACAGTTTTTTAAGATTTTGAAATTTTTAAACAGTTAAATTGGATGGCGAAACCTTATAGTGAAGTAATTTCAAGGTATTTAAAAAAATAAATATCTTGAACTAAATTAAGGCTAAAGGCAGATTGTCAGTCGTTTATACAAGCTTTATTATTAATACTATATTGTTAAAATTAATACTAAGGATAGAAATATGAAAATATACATAATATTAATAGGCTCGAACTAAATTGATTTTTTAGTTGGTTAGAAAAAAATATATTTATTAGTATTTTAAATAAATAATTACAGGCATAATTACGTTTTTATTTTATTTTCCACTTTTATTAATATTTCTTATTTTGTTATATTATTATTAGCTACAGACTTTTGCTGGTCAATTTTTAATGAGCCACGATCGTAGGCATATCTATATTTTTATTGTATAAAATAAAGTCGGGTTTGTTAAAACACTTATAGCTCGAGAACTGCTGTATCAATTTTTATGATCTTTGTTTTGTTGCATTTGTCTTCACCCCCAATAGCAGAAAAACTATTAAAACATCGGAAAAATTCAAAGAAAAAAATTTGAAAGAAAAAACTATTTGGATAATTTTAGTAAAAATCCATTTGCTTTCAATTCCCTTTTTATTTCTAAATCAATATTGACAACTATCAAAATATTGAAGTGTTCTATATTTGAACACATATATTACATTCCTCCAACACTAATTAAGATGTAAATTAAATAATTAAATAAGGCTACTCCTTATAATTTATAGTTTTTCTACTTGTTCTAATTGGATAACGTCGATTATCCTGAGATTGCGTATTACCGACTGGTTCATGCACATCAGGTGGATCTACGTCAAAAAATTCATCATCGGAAATTTCATTATTTAAGTCCGGTGTCACCTTCGCATCACCAACCTCTTTATCTGAGCCACAGGACGCGGTATCTTTTGTTTCTAAAATATGACTTTCATTTACGTAATCTCCAATGGAACTTATATCGTTATCCGATGATGAACTTCCTTTATACATCCATAATTGGTCGACATGCTTTTTTGTAAAAAGATTTAACTCCGGTATGTAAATTTTAAACATACGAGAACCGATACAACTATTAATAACACCTACTTTCCATGTGCTATATTGCTTATTGCCAATAGAATAATAATGTTTTACAAGTACCTTATCACCAACTACAAATTTTACATTTCTTTTACCTTTAAATTGCTTACTTTGATGCATCTGAGCATTACTAACATTATCTCTAGCAACAGATGACGAAGGAAAACAAACAGGTAGTTTTGTACAATCACGAATTAAATCCAGTCGACAACGTAGAGGTCGTCCAAACATTAATTGAGCAGGCAAAAATCCAGTTGTTAAATTTACAGAATTCCTATAATCGAATAAAAACTTATGCATTTTATTCATTAAGTTACTGAAACTCATATCATTTGTTACAATGGCCTTTAAGCCGCTCTTAATTGTTTTGACGCTTACCTCCGCTTGTCCATTTGACTGGGGGTGGTAAGGAGGACTAGTTAAATGCTCAATACCATTTAATCGACAAAAAACCTCAAAATCATTAGAACAAAAATTCGTAGCATTATCAGTTACTAAAGTCCGTACTAATCCAAATCTGCTAAACATTTCACTTATATTACTAATAACTGACTCAGTATCAATCTTTTTCATATAAAAACATTCTAACCACTTAGAAAATGCATCAACTGCGATCAAAAATTGTTTTCCATTAAATAAGAATACATCTAAATGAACACGTTCCCAAGGGCCTTTAGGATAAGGCCAAGATGCAAGTGGCGCATGTGGAGGGTTACTTCTATGCGAGTTGCAAACTTTACAAGAACCAATATTTTCTTCAATATTTCTGTCAATATTTGGCCACCACATACGCGACCTTGCCTCTGACTTTGTTTTAACTACACCAAAGTGTGATCTATGTAGTTCGTCTAAAAGTTTCTGTCGCAAGCTTGTAGGAATTACTACTTTATATCCGCGTAATATACATCCATTTTCAAATGAGAGTTCATTTCTACACAAAAAGAAAGGCTTTAAACTGGGGTCTAATACCTTACGAGGCCATCCTTCATTGATCATTTTAATTACTTTTTGTAAAACCACATCCTGCTTAGTTTCGTTTCTAATATCATTAACAGTAATGGGCGGTAAAACAACTTCACCGATAAAATCTATATATAAGGAATGATCAATACTGACAGATTCATCTGGTTTATCTGTAACCGTAGCACGCGACAAAAAATCAGCAATATTATCATTGCTCTTAACATATTCAATATTAAAATTATACGCCGACAAAAATAGAGCATATCTTTGTAATCTGTTTGCTGCTAAAATTGGAACACCTTTTTTATTTCCAAGAATAGCTACAAGAGGTTTATGGTCCGTACGTAAAACAAACGGCTCCGAACGCCCGTATAAATAATGGTTAAATTTTTTAACTGCAAATACAATTGAAGTGGCTTCCCTCTGAATTTGAGCATAATTAATCTCAGCTTTAGTCAAAGAACGTGAAGCATATGCTATAACTCGCTCACAACCATTTGGTTGACATTGTGATAGCACTGCTCCTAAGCCAGTGGGACTTGCGTCACAAGTCACTATGGTGGTGGATTTAGGATTATAATGAGCTAACACGCGTTCTGAGGCTAATTCATATTTAATTTTATTAAACGCTTCATTTTGATCTTTACCCCAAACCCATCGTACAGCTTTCTTTAGCAGTGAATTAAGAGGGTATAGCACAGAAGAAGTATTTGGCACATAAAAAAAACATTTTTATAATTTATTTAGATGAAATTTGGTAAGAAGATAGTTTGAGACCCTGGGAAGGACATAGGATACATTTTATTCTGGAAATCATCCCTTAGGGGGGGGGTGAAAATAGGGATGAAAGTTTGTATGGGGAATCAATAGTGAGGGTGACTCGCTGGTTTAATATATATGCGACAGGAATAAAATAACGGTCAGCCTAAGAGTGTCAAGGTATAAATGAAACTTAATATAGTATGAAAAGATAAAATTGTTCAAATTCGCTACGCTACGAGTGTTTCAATGAAAAAAAAACTCAAAAAAATCCTTTTTTGCGTCGCGTTCGTGATAGTGCATTTATTTTCATGTAGGCGTAGCTGTTTTAAAGAAATGGATGTGCTATAAATTAGTTATGAATGGTTTAATTTTTACCCGACTGCGGCGAAGCCTAAAGAAGGGTAATGTTTTTGACGTAAGGGTGCCAAAAAGTGTGATTTCTTTTTCTTCCAAAACTATTGAGTGGGATATCAAAATGAAGCTTTTTAAGAGGCGATCACAAAATATTATATTTTTAATAATAATTTAATATAACAAATTGTTAAATAAAACTCCTCTCTGTATAACTGGTCAAAACTAAAAAGCTGTAAAAAACAGATTGCGTCAGAAGCGTACTAAAAATTAATTATTAATTTTAATCTGTAAATAATAAATATTCATCAGAATTCGGGTTTTTTTATTTTTATAATTTATTTACAAACCATTTTTTTATAAACCCAAGTACAGATACTATCCTTACATTGTGCTTATTATAGAATATTTTATGTAAATTGTAAGGTAGCATCTAGTAAGAAGAAATAAGCATAAACAGATGATGAACAGGCTGCCTTATAAGCGATTTCTACGAAGCAGATCGTAAAAGCGGCAGTAACAGAAGCGTAGAAGAAATTATGTAAAATGCTAGGCGGTGTACTTGCTAAACATAAATACATACATACATCAAGACAACTATTTACTATGTAACTTTAAATTTCGTCAATAAAGGGTCGTCAGCTAGGAAGTCTTCAGAAAGTGAGTTATACCACAGTATAAATGTTATGTAACATTACCGTAGTTGTACAATGTACCTGCTATAACGGTGAAAGATTTCTTATAATACGAGTAGAATGAAGTCACTAATTTGGTCATATTTACACAAGAATGATCTGGTTTCTGTTTTTTGGTTTTTTGGTTTCTGGTTTCTGTTTTTCTGGTATGAAATACTCCCTTATATAAAAAGGGCTCAATATTAATCTTATTCAGATTGAAGTAAAGATAGCAGTAATGATGTACCTAATTTATTAGTAGTTGTTCTTTAAAGACATTAAATATTTTTGTTGTAACCCTTAAGGGTGGTACACCTTCCATATAATATATTATTGTCACACAACCATACGTCATGCGTCTGTTAGACCCAAAAGTAAAATTAATATTTTTAATTAAAAGTTTGTTATGAACATACTTTTAGTCTTTGTTAGAATTAAAAAATACATTAAACCCCACGCTTCTTCACTATCTCTATTTTTTTTTTTGTTTGTATTATACAATATTTAATAAACGAAAAGAAAGATAAAAGTTCTTGTGTTCTGTGTTCCTTTGTGGTAATCAGTACCAAATCCACCACCGCGCTTGAGATAATTTAAATTTAGTTTGGTTATAAATAAGTAGGTATTATCTTTAGTTCTTGGCTAGTTTCTTCAACGTTTGTCAGTTTTGGTTTCATACACAGTTTTCTACTAATAAACAAAGCGAGTCTTACGTCTAACACCAATCACCACAATCACCATCTTACTAATATTATAAATGTGAAAGTTTACATGTTTGAATTTTTAGATGGATGTTTTTACTCAACCACGCCAGAACTTCTAAACGAATCTGGATAAAATTTAGCACAGAGATAGATTATAATCTGGAATAGCACATAGGCAGGCTACTTTTTATCCCGGAAAAATGTACGAGGGATAGATCTGTTTCTGTCTTTCTAGAGGCGAACCCCTGCGAGGTAATAGTACGCAATGTCCGTGAGGTTTCTAACTTTCGTAACTGCAAAGGCGGCGAAGCTGAGTTTACCAAGTGTTGAGAGATGAGATGATTTAATTTTTGTCTAAATACCTGTTAAAATTATACAAAATTGTACAAAATTTGGTATAGTTATAGCTGATTAGCCGGGTCAGATATAGAATACTTCTTACTGCGACGTAGTGTCAGTGAAATCCCTCGGAAACACTACACATTTTAATTTCGCAACTTACAAAGTAAGACATAAAGTAATTTTTATATAGCTTTTCGTGACAAAAAGAATATCACAAAGATAAAGTATACACGTAAATAAAGTTAATAGAGAATATCTCCTTCCTATCGCCTCTAGAAAAGCACAAACAGATCCATTCCACGTGAACCGTTCATTTTTCCGAGATAAAAAGTAACCTGTTGTTCGACCGGTAATATAAGGTATCAGCATGCCTAATTTAACAAATTTAGCTTAAATTAGGTGCATAAGTTGTTGTGTACTAAGCTGTATAAGTTACTATAGTTTTTTAACTATCCCACGGGAACTCTTTAATTTTCCGGTATGAAAAGTATCCTATCTAAGATGTTGATTTACATATAAGGTAAATTCCACTCCATGCAAAATTTAATTTAAATCGGTCCAATAGATTCGGAGATTAGCCCGTACAAACAGACAGAGAACAAAAAATTAAAAAAAAACTTCATTTGTTCTATTTCTCTTTTTACACCCCCATGACTCGGTTTTTAGCCATTTTTTTTCTATGTACAGGCATTCGATCTCTACAGTTTAATTATAGTATAGATAGATAGATAGATAGGTACTCCACAAGGTAATGTTCAAACAAATATTCTTAAAGTCAAATAAAAGTGATAGACCACATAACGAAATAACATTGATTCCGTCTTGAGCATACGGAACCTAAAACAGATTTACAAACAAAAGTTAAACAGTGGCTGTTTCGTATGCGTTCCGGAAATCATGTATCTATTATACATAAACGAAACGAAATCCGCTAAAGACTTTGTTATAAACTTTAAATCAATTTTTATGTTAACTGCAAGCTGTTGTTACTTCGTTAAAACAGACTTTTTTTACGACAAACCAATTTATTTCAGTAAAATAAAACGCAAAATAGTAACAACATTATTACAAAAAGTGGGATAAAGCAGAACAAAAACCTGGATTTACGACTATAAATATAACAGTATATATAAAATATAAAAGATATAATTAAATAGAGTACAAAATATAAAAAAAATACATTTATTATAATTATAATAATTTATATTTAGATTAATTAGAAATAAATACAAATAAGTCTTTCTTAAAAGTCCCTAACAACCGTTTACGCCTTACTTTATGCAACAAACATAACATTTTCACTTCATGGCCGCCAAAATGTGTCTACTTTACACGTGTTTGCTGAAAGAGTTGACACATCCAGCTCTGTAAGGCCAGTCACAAACCTGAAAAATACAAAAAATTAAAAATACTAAGTTTTACTACATTATTAGTTAGTAAGTTAACATTAAGTTAACATATAATTTAATAGTATTAAAAAAATCGAACAATGGATAACACGTTATCAACATTTCTAATTTATAACACATAACAATATCCTGAAGATGTTGTTCTTTTATATGTATTCAGCGATTTTTAACGTCCCACTGCTGTGTATGGGCCTTCCGTCAATACGAGGGGGATGGGCATGTCTTTCGAAAACTTGCTAGGTTTTCTCAGACATGCAGGTTTCCTCTCGATATTTTCCTTCACCGCAAGACAAATGTTAATCATGTTGGAAATGATTCGCACATGAAAATATCAGAGGTGCGAGACCTGGGATTTGAACCCGCTTCACTCCGTTTCCAAGCGAGCGTGTTACCACTGGACTTACCACTCCCTTCTTTTATGTTATAATATGTTAATATTTTTGGCAATCACAAATATAAAATATGGAAAAAGAAATTTCTTAAAAAATAATTTAAGGTACAGTAATATGAATAAAAGTGCTATTAAGTATTGCTAAAATAATATAAAATACTTTTATTCATATACGAAAAAAATGTGTTGAGTTTACGAGTATAAGTAGCAAATATTATTAACTAACCTGGAGAATTCTGTTGAAATACGTAGTAATTGGACACTGCCTTAATACTTTTTCACCCCAAACACAGTAGTAGAAAAGATTACAATCCTCTTCATGTGGAAGCAGCCAGTGAATATGTGGATTAACTGGACAACCGTTGGAATTGAAATCTGGCGTAGTTGGTCCCTGCGTTGTGGACGACGTTGTAGGTGCTTGTGTCGTCGTAGTGGTTGTTGTAGGTGCTGGTGTAGTAGTAGTTGTTGTTGTGGGTGCCGGTGTGGTAGTTGTTGTTGTCGTTGTTGTAGGTGCCGGTGTCGTTGTTGTAGTAGTCGTTGTTGTAGGAGCTGGTGTAGTAGTTGTCGTCGTTGTGGTTGTTGTTGTGGGCGCTGGGGTTGTGGTTGTCGTTGTTGTTGGTGCTGGCGTGGTGGTTGTTGTTGTTGGTGCTGGTGTGGTGGTTGTTGTTGTTGTTGGTGCTGGCGTGGTAGTTGTCGTTGTTGTTGGTGCTGGCGTGGTGGTTGTCGTTGTTGTTGGTGCTGGTGTGGTGGGTGTCGTTGTTGTTGGTGCTGGCGTGGTGGTTGTCGTTGTTGTTGGTGCTGGCTCTCTTGTGGTAGTAGTAAATTCATCCGGAATAACTCTACCTGTGCAATTCACATTATGTTGCCAATCACATTGCCATAATTCCAGATTGAAAAATAAGTCATTAGGACATGTCATTTCTACGGGTACTCCAAAGGTACACTTGTAGAATTTATTACAGTCCTCATGCCGAAGTAGCTTTTCTATAGACCAGTCATGCTCCTGTTCCGGTGGACACTGATCATCGTATGCAGCTACAGTGACAACTAACAAAATAAAAACCGCTGATATAGCTGAAAATCACAAAAAAAATATATTATTTCCTTATAGAACTAATTCGCTTGAAATAACTCAAAACTTTATTTGTAAACGATTTTGTATTTAAAATACCTTTCATGTTTGTTTAATTAACTATTTTGTACAATTAACGCCCTTTGAATAGTGCTCGCTCTATATATACTTTTGTCTTAGTTAATCTAACACTTTATCATATAAATCTAAATAATTCGCTTTAATTAGATTTATTCGTATCATTTTACTATCATTTTCTTTATCAGTTACGTTAGACAAACAGTACATTCGCCTATGTGCTTAAGTTGAACATAGAGTCCATATTATACTAAATTAAATAAGATTTTTAAAGCGAAGAGATTTTGCTTTTTTATCTTTTTCCTATCTTAAACTAAATACAAATTACAAGACACATATCACCAACTAATAAATATTGTATCCAATCGAATATTATTTTATTTTATCTTACTGCTTAATTCGAACACTTTTTACGCAGACAGGACTTTTACTTTTATAATGTATTAATAAGCCTCTTTTATAAACCCAAGTACTGATACTATCAGGGCCGTTCTCATTCCCACGGGAAAACACGTTATAATACAACTCAAAAAAATATTTATGATCAGAATTACTTGAAACTTGATATTTATGCTCTTCAATCGTAGACTGAGAATATTATCTCTCTACGTCTTCAATACAATTAAATGAATACGTGTTTTAGCATTTTTCAAAATTCATCCCATAAGGGGGTAAAGTAGGGGACGAAAGTTGGTCTGATAGCAAAGTGGACTTTGGAGAAAACCCATGGTTGTCGTGGTCTGCCTCAGCAGACCTGCCGTCGGGGCGTCGTAGTTAAATGCGTAAGCGATCCTGCGACGCCCTTAAGACGGGGGAAGGTTTTGTTGGGTTTTAGTGGGTAGTACTGGCTTTGCCGGTGAGTCCCACACCTCGTGCGTAAATGCATTTTCCAACGTTAAAAAAAATGGGGACGATAGTTGGTACGATACCTACCTATAACCTTACTTGCCTTTCAACTAATAAATAAAACAATACGTAGGAGAATGAGGGGGGAAACCGGATAGGGGGTGAAAACAGATAGTTCCTATTTCATTGCTCCACGTACAGCTGCCTCATTCTAGCTAGTGGAGAAAGACGCGCGAACGCTTACTCAGTGCGGTTGCAAATGGCGGCGACGGTGTCATCTCGGCGCGTGCGTCTTTATAACGAAATTTAAAAACAAGGGTAAGTTATCTAATATATTTTTTTTAAAGTGTTATCATTAAACTTAGCTGTGTGTTATCCATATACAGTTGTATTTTTTAAGAAGTAATACATATTTAACCTCTTAAAATGGTATTGTTTGTTGCTGTGAATGTAAACATAACCTGTTAGTTATTACAATTTCAAACATGGTACTTGTGGGGTACAAGCGGACGGGGTGATTTCGACTACCCGATTTCACCCCGATCGATTTTATATGTTGGTGTTGTAGGTGTATGTTTTATTCCTCTTTTAAATTACTATTTATTTTTTACTTTTTACACAGTGCGAGCGATAACATGCCACGAACATATGTGAAAAAGTCAGATAGGTTGCAATGGTCGAAGTCAGACATACTTTTAGCCATAAATTCGGTGATAGAAGGTAGAATGGGATATCTTTTAGCGTTACATAAAGTGTGCCCAAAAGTTCCTTAGAAGATCGTGTAAAGAAGATCAAGTGCGAAAAACCCAAAGACGAAGTGTTTAGATAGTGCCCCGTTACTACAAAATACGTTTTCACTGATGATCTGGAAAGTATGCTAGTCGATCATATCAAAACTATGGAATCTCTACTATTTGGATTGACTAAAACAGATCTGCGACGTTTGGCATTCCAATTAACTGAAAGAAATAATTTAAACCATCCTTTTAATAGAGAAACTGAACTGGCTGGCTAAGATTGGATTAGTGGATTTCTTAAACGACATTCTGAATTATACACCTGAAGCAACGTCAGCTGCAAGAGCAATGGGCTTTAATAGAGCTGTAGTGTCATCATTTTTTAATGTTTTACATACCATTTATGCTCAGCACGCTTTCAATCCCACGCAAATTTATTACATGGACGAGACTGGATTGACCTCTGTACCACAATAGAAACTTAAAAAAATCGACTTTCAAGCAGTAAAATGTAAAAAATAACTAAACGAGGGTTTTCATTTAGAATAGATACCTAATCAGATATTTTCGAATCGGTAAAAATACGAATTTGGAGTCTTTGGTTTGAGACAAAAAGTAAGGCAAAAATGTAATCCTGAAAGTCAACTTTAATTTACTTCTGATTGCCGTATCAAAATGAAACTTAAGATGTACATGTAATTCGTATGACAGTAATACAATTGATACCTTGGAGCTAATCTGATGATGCAGCCAGCTGGTGAATAGTGGAACTCTACAGTGGCTACTAGTAAACCCCTCGAGTTTAGGGCTCATATGATTCTTAACCCCGTCCGAAACATTTCAATTCCTTAAAAGCGTGTATTTTCAACTGACTTCTTCCAAAAGGAGGAGGTTCTCACATCGGCTATATTTTTTTATGTTTGTTACTTCAGAAATTCGTCATTTATAAACCGATTTGGATAATTCTTATTTTGTTAGAAAGTGTATTCTTCCAATTTTGTCCCATTTAAATTTGAAAAAATACCACTGCTAAAGGTGGAAAAATATCATATCATCGTCATATTGACATGAAACTTTGTAAAAATTTCTATTTCCGCTGATAGTGCAGTGATTCAGTATCGTTGACCTGATCTGATGGTCCAGAAGGTGGGTAGGTGGAATTCTTCAACGGCTAATAATAGATACTTTGAGTTTAAGCGTATTTTGTTTGTCAGGCCTCATATAAAAATTGGCATCAAACTAACTTAAACGGTTGACAAAAAGAATACCATAAAGATAAAGTATACACATAAATCAAATTAATTATAGTTAACGACACGTTTGGCTCAGTTTGTAGTGACCTTACTTGCTGTGCCAGCGGTCGCGGGTTCGAATCCCGCTGGGGGCATTCATTTGTATGATGAGCACAAATGTTTGTACTCTAGTCATGGGTATTTATATTTATAATATGTATATATTTAAAGTTATATGTGTAGTGTATTAACTATCTGGTGTCCATAACACAAGCCTCGTAGCTTATCATGGAACTAGATCGTGCTGTGTGTTAATGTCACAACATATTATTTATTATATTATATCTATTTGTATTTGTCATTTGTGGTTTAAAAGGCACTAATAGACACACAAGGTAATGTTCAAACAAATAATGCTAAAGCCAAATAAATGTGATAGACGCATCCACATAACGAAATAACATTGATTCCGTCTTGAGTATACGGAACCTAAAACAGATTTACAAACAAAAGTTAAACAGTGGCTGCTTCATATGCGTTCCGGAAATCATGTATCTATTATACATAAACGATACTAAATCTGCTAAAGACCTTGTTTTAAATGATCTATACCCATTTTTTATGTTAACTGCTAGCTGTTGTTACATTGTTAAAACAGACTATTTTTTTACGACAAATCAATTTATTTCAGTAAATAAAACGCAAGAAAATAGTAACAAAGTCATTACAAAAAGTGGGATAAGGCAGAACAAAAACCTGGATTTATTTAGCAACTATACATATGAGAGAATATATAAAATATAAAAGATATGATTAAAAAGAGAACAAAATGTAAAAAAAAAATATTTATTATAATAATTTATATTTAGCCTAATTAGAAACAAATATAAATAAGTCTTTCTTAAAAGTCCCTAACATCCATTTACGTCTTACGTTAAGCAACAAACATAACATTTTCATTTCATGGCCGCCAAAATGCTTCTACTTTCCATGTGGTTGCTGGAAGAATTGACACATCCGGCTCTGTAGGGCCAATCACAAACCTGAAAAATTAAAAAAATATTAAGTTAGTACAATCGAAAACACTAAAAGTGTCCGTTAACACATAATTTAATGGCATTAAAAAATTCGAAAAACAGGAATTCAAAACAACGCTCAAAATATTGTAACGGATAACACATTATCAGGATTTCTAATTTATAATACATAACAATATCCTGAGGATGTTGGTCTTTTATGTTATTAATTATTATATATAAATATATTTGGCAATCAAATTTTTATTTTAAAATATATCCGAAAATAACATTAAACTTTAAGTAATGGTATAAAAAAGTCTTAAAAGACAACAAAATCGAAAGTGCATCATATTACAAGATAAACATTAGCATTCCCAAGGAGGGTTGACGTCAGGCAGGCGGCCGGTCGTAAAACTTTTGCCAAATCCTATCAGCAGTACGGAAGAAGTACTGCGCCGACCCCAAGTGATTGGGAAATGGGCAGGGAGAAGAAGATATTTGGCAATCAAAAATATAAAATATGAAAAAAGAAATTTCTTAAAAAATAATTCAAGATACAGTAATATTATTATCTCAAGAAACTGATATTTAGTAATACTAAAATATTATAAAATACCTACTTTTCCTTCTAAACGAAAAAAATGTATTGCGTTTACGAGTATAAGGAGCACATATTATCAACTAACCTGGAGAATTCTGTTGAAATGCGTAGTAATTGGACACTGCCTTAATACTTTTTCACCCCAAACACAGTAGTAGAAAAGATTACAATACTCTTCATGTGGAAGCAGCCAGTGAATATGTGGATTAACTGGACAACCGTTGGAATTGAAATCTGGCGTAGTTGGTCCCTGTGTTGTGGACGACGTTGTTGGTGCCTGTGTCGTCGTAGTGGTTGTTGTAGGTGCTGGTGTTGTAGTAGTAGTTGTTGTGGGTGCCGGTGTGGTAGTTGTCGTTGTCGTTGTTGTAGGTGCCGGTGTCGTTGTTGTTGTAGTAGTTGTTGTTGTGGGTGCCGGTGTGGTAGTTGTCGTTGTTGTAGGTGCCGGTGTCGTTGTTGTAGTAGTTGTTGTTGTAGGAGCTGGTGTAGTAGTGGTCGTCGTTGTGGTTGTTGTTGTGGGCGCTGGGGTTGTGGTTGTCGTTGTTGTTGGTGCTGGCGTGGTGGTAGTCGTTGTTGTTGGTGCTGGCGTGGTGGTTGTCGTTGTTGTTGGTGCTGGCGTGGTGGTTGTCGTTGTTGTTGGAGCTGGCGTGGTGGTTGTCGTTGTTGTTGGAGCTGGCGTGGTGGTTGTCGTTGTTGTTGGTGCTGGCTCTCTTGTGGTAGTAGTAAATTCATCCGGAATAACTCTACCCGTGCAATTCACATTTTCTTGCCAATCACATTGCCAAGTTTCCAGATTGAAAAATAGATCATGAGGACATGTCATTTCTACGGGTACTCCATAGGTACACTTGTAGAATTTATTACAATCCTCATGCCGAAGTAGCTTTTCTATAGACCAGTCATGCTCCTGTTCCGGTGGGCACTGATCATCGTATGCAGCTACGGCGACAACTAACCAAATAAAAACCGCTGATACAGCTGAAAATCACAAAAAAAAATTATGTCCTTATAGAACTAATTCTCTTTAAATAACTCAAAACTTTATTTAAAAACGTTTTTGTATTTAAAGTACCTTTCATTTTTGTTAAAATTTTGCAATTAATGCATTTTGAATCATGCTTGCTCTTTATATACTTGTCTTAGTTAATCGAACACTTTATCATATAAATCTAAATAATTCCTTTTAATTAGATTTGTTCGTATCATTTTGTATTATCATTTTCTTTATCAGTTACATTCGACAAACAATACATTCCCCTTATGTTCTTAAGTTGAACATAGAGTCATATTAAACTAAATAAGTTTTTAAAGCGAAGAGATTTTGTTTTTTTATCTTTTTTCTATCTGTATTAAACTAAATACAGGCTAGAAAACACAAATCAGCAACTAATATAGTATCAAATCGGAGATAAATTTTTTTATCTTACTGCTTAATTCAATACTTTTATTTTTTAATAGCTTTCAAGTGTGTCAATTGCACATAATTTATGACGCTAATGTTACTAAAAACGAAAAAAAACACAATGGACATCGTAGTAACAATTTAAACAGCATAGAACAAAATTTATTCAATCATTATCATATTTGGTATTATCTTATACATAATGTAAATATTTAATCGCTCTTCTTGTATTAAGGAACTTTCCTTGGTATGTATACGTTATACAATAAGAAAAATGTTTATTGTTATCATTGTGAGGTTTTGGTCTGGACGAGACCAAAACCTATACATATTGTATATAGACCTAATTGATTTACAGAAAGACACTATTTGATCTACAGAAATGTCAAAATTGGCATTTGTACCATTTGTCTCGAGAATATAAGCAGATCTGAGCTGAGATGCGCTTGGATCAGAAAGCTCTAGAGCCCAGTCAAAGGATGTCCATATCAGACTAACAATATTAAATATTTAAATAACCCTATAAAATTTATGAAAGTAGCTATATAAGGTCGCCATTCGCCCAAAAATATCTCATTTCTGAGAAAAAATTCACAAAATATAAGAGTATACTAATCTGTAAAACCTAAGAATTTGGTGTTTGGTCATCTGAACGCGGGAGGAGCTGCGGGCAATGCTAGTCTAATATATGAAAGTCTCGTGTCACGATGTTTGTGGTCGCACTTCGAAACGGCTCGACCGATGTTAATGATTTTTTTTGTATATTTGGTAGGTATGAGAATAGGTCGTAAAGCATTTTTCACCTCCCTTAAGGGATGCTTTCAGGGATAAAAATATCCTATGTCCTTCCCAGGGTCTAAAACAGTAACTTAGCAAAATAGCTTATAAAAACAATGACTGTAACGTATTGTGTATACCTATAGACCCCAAAACAATAACTATTAAAATTTTTGTATGTTTGTCTGTATATTTGTATACACAAATATTAATTTCATGCAAAAAATACTAAACCGATTTTAACAAAATGTTGTGTAATGATAGCTAACTACCCCAACTAACTAGGCTAATGCTGGCCAAATCTTAAGACATACATCAAATTAATGTAATAGAAAATTATAGGTCTTAAAATGGCCTACAGAAATGTCTGCAATATCAATCATATGTGTATCTCCTAAAGTACACTCGCAATAACTATTTATATTTAAAACGTACCTAGGGATGCACCCGATCGAAGCGAGAGAAAGTCGCTAGCGTATTATAAAAAAAATATTATTTATATATACTAGCAAAAATAAACTCTTTGGCTTTATGTTATACAGCGACTCACCCTCGCTTCTTTGTGTACATAAAATATAACAAAATTTTATTTTATTTTCATGTTTATTTAACCTTTAAATCTCTACACTATAATAAAGATTGTTATATTTTATAAGCATTCAAACATTTAAACATAATAATTTATATGTTATAACAAAATTAATAATGTAAAAAACCAATTAAAAATCCTATTAGAACCATTTTCAACTTCTACGCGGACGAAGTCTCGGGCAAAACCTTCAAATGCGGTACTAATATAGTACGGAAACTTAAAATTTTAAAGAGTATTTGCATTGCACCACGCTTTCATGTGAGTTCAAGCTTTTTTGAATAAGATCGGTTTGAGTTTTTAAACAAATTTTTTAAAAATCAAAATCACTAAGGAGTATTGATATCAACTTCGAAGCAGATTACTCTCAAAATAGCTTTCTACCCCTTTTTAACCCCATTAGGTGATGAGGTTCAATAAAATACGAAGCACGTATTCCATTAATTCTGTTAAAGAATGTTTATGCAAAATTTGAAGTAGATTGGACCAAGACGTTGTCCCATACAAACGTTGCCCCCCTTTTTCATCCCCTAAGGGGTAGAATTTCGGAAAATCCTTTCTTATCGAATGTCTACGTCATACAAGGAAGACAAACTCCAAGTTTCAGGTCTCTACGAGCAGCGGTTTAGGCTGTGCGTTCATTCGTCAGTCAGTCATTCAGGACAAAGCATTTTATATATATATATATATATATATATATATATATAATATATATATATATATATATATATATATTTAACTGCCTCGGTGGTGTAGTGGCTAGCATGTACGGCTGTACACCCGGAGGTCCTGGGTTCGAGTCCCAGGTCGGGCCAAGTTTAGTTATTGATTCTTCCTGTATAGTAAGTCTCAGTAACAGCCCGGAGTTGGGAAGTTGGCGGTGTTTCACCCCCGTGCCTCGGAGAGCACGTAAAGCTGTCGGTCCTGCGCCTTAACTCTCACCGGTCGTGTCGAGTGGTCGTCCCACCGGAGTATAAGAGTGATAGGAATAGAGAGTGCACTTGTGTCTGCGCGTACACTTGAGCACTATAATATCTCCTGCGCAGTTGGCTAATCTCATTGAGATTGGCCGCCGTGGCCGGAATCGGCTAGGAGAACATCATATATAAATTTAGATTACTTTATCAGACATGGTTTTTATTTGTCTGTTTTTAATATTGTGGCTTTTAAAAAAGATGCAACTTGCATTAATTCTACTGTTTTTTCTGACAGGAAGACCCGGTATAGCAGCTAATGGTAAGCAAATGGGACAAACATATAAATAGAAAAATTACTACATTATTTTTAGTTAATGGACCTTGATTGATTATATTTAGTACAAAATATTTTCATCTGGCAAATAGGTGAATAATGACCTTCCTTTGGATCTAGGACTGTTTGCACTATAGAATAACAGTAATAACTCAATAACTATTTTAATATTTACTGCATACTGAATAACTTTTTCACTATTTAAATGTCACTAGCATAGAGTATGTCTACAAATCTATACATATAATAAAATTCTAACTGAGCCGAATCTGTACATTAAATATTTTTTGGAAAATCTTATTGAAATAGACATTATTATCGATACAGAGGCCAAATCTATAGTTTTTAGAATTTTTGTCTGTCTGTCTGTCTGCTTGTCTGTCTGTTACCGCATCACAGAAAAACCACTGGAGGGATTTTGATGAAATTTGTTGTTTGATATATGGTGATAGCTGGTTATCTGGGTCAACATGTAGGATACTTTTTACCGCGGGAAAATGTCTCATTTCTGAGAAAAAATACAAAAACTGCAATGTAAGAGTATACTAATATGTAAAACCTAAGAATTTGGTTTTTGGTCATCTAACGCGGGCGGAGCCGCGGGCAATGCTAGTAAGTCATATAATTCAAATCAAATCACTACGCACAGCAATAGCTATAATAAAATCGTTTTAAATAATAAATGTATTATTGTTGTGCTCGTATTTTACCAATTTTCACGTCTCCTGTATTAACAAATCATACTTATAGTAACAAGTATAACTTTTTAAATAAAGTTATAAAAATTGTATATGTACGAATAGGTTATATCAAAAAATTGTTATGTAGGTCAAAACCAGATAAGATTCGTATTGGCAAGGGGAGAATGGCGCCGTCACGGCGGGAGCTTCCATAACGTACTCGCCGCGGAGTCTGCATACAGTTTTCATCATCGCCGCCCGCCCTCCGTTACTTTCTAAGGTCCGGTTCATTATGATCGTTCATAACAAAAATTAAATGAAAAAAAAACGTTAGAAATACATAATGTTCATAAAACTTGAATCTATCCTGTTATTGGCCATATGTACTTTACACGTATTGGCGTCGATCAAAACTAACTCAGTGGATAGTATAAAAAAATCCTTAGAAGAACGTCAAGGACATCTGTTAGTGAATAAAAGTAAAACTAAAAATGTGCAGTTTAAAATTGAAAATGTAACGAAAATTAATTACGTACCTGTAATCCCGAAAAAGAAACGGCCAGAAAAAATGATTACACCAACACAGTGAGTATAAATTAATGCATAATATATTATATTTCTTTTAAAATATTATTATTTCTTTTTAGTTTTTCGATTAAGAAGAAGTAGTTTTAGTATTCGGCTAAATATATAAAAGAGGATAGGAATTTAATGTAATTTTTATTATAGTATAAGTTATCCGCCTTCGCTTCCTTCAGACCATCATAAATAATCTTTACTCTTATGAATTACATTGAATATTATATGTTGTTAAGAAATAAAGCAATAAACACGTCGATCTGTTACTGCGTGTAAGTAGAATAAGTCAACAAACTTATTATGTATTTACCATATTATTAAGGAGTGTCATATTAGTAGTTTCTTTCATCTCCACTCGACAAGAGTTTCTAAAAGTATTAAATATAATTTTTTCACACAAGCCTTTCCACGCCATTCTTTTCTCTAGAGGTTGATCTACTTAAGAAATTATTTAATGACCTTCAACTGCTACCAAGATGTCGTGGTCAAAAAACTATAGGGTATTGTGTTATTGATTTGTTAGTTTTTATAAATCCGTAGAGTACAGCAATGGGCACAAGAATTATCGGAGAAACTATACAAAACTGAGACACAGTTTGTGCGACGGGATGTCTTATTAAAGGGATTTTCTGATGTAAAAATTGAAGTGAGAAATGGTCCAGCCATCGTAGAAAAGACTTCGAAAGCGATAGAGGAGCTGCTAGAACGACGAGGTCAAGCAGCAGAAATGATCATGCGAAAAGCAGAAGAATTAGCTGCAAACAGATTTCCACCGCCTAGTGATTATCACTTCGTAAAAAGCGATGTAAGTATTTACGAGTAATATTACATTTAAGTGACCAAAGATTTCTGTGTGCGTCTTCACAATTACCTAAGTTTTTAATCAGCTACCTTAGTAAAATAACACTTTAATTTTGTACAAATGATATCGCTAATAGAAAATTTCCATATTCGCTGAAAAGATACTCAGATACGATAATATTATACATTTTTTTAATTATTATTATTAATGCTAACGATTGTAGTGACATTTTGTCTAATCCCCAAGCACATAACCCACGCTTTGTATGAAGCTACATAAGTACGGAAAGTTAAAGCTGTATCGTTGGATCTCAGAAACACAATCTGTAAAGGTAGTATTAAGATTGGATGATAAATATTCAAAATTATTTCGATTATATTAAAAACATATTTAGCTCATAGAAATATTTGTATAAGAATAAAATAATAATTTTAAAATTACGGAATGAGTTAACTAACGATTTGCCGATAACTGAACATTAAACAACTGTTTAATATCGAAATTAAGGCATAGAATTTCTAGAAAAATTGTGACGCAACCTTCCATTAAAAACTGCATATTTTTTACTAAATCTTCAATATATGTTTATTTCTTTGTTCGTATGATTCTCATTCAACAAGTCACTATGACATGACCAATGATATAATACCATATATAGTATAATATAATATACTAGCGACTCACCCTCGCTACGCTCGTGTTAGTTCCTACTTACGTTTTAACGTTTAGTATCGATTTCTCAGAGATGAGATATTTTTCCGCAGTAAAAAGTATTCTATATGTTGACCCGGATAATTAACTATCATCATACCAAATTTCATCGAAATCCCTCCAGTGGTTTTTCCGTGATGCGGTAACAGACAGACAGATAGACAGACAGAGAGACAAAAATTCTAAAAACTATAGATTCGGCCTCTGTATCGATAATAATATCTATTTCAATAAGATTTTCAAAAAAATATTTAATGTACAGATTGGGCTTAGTTACAACTTTATTATAAGTATAGATAGTATAAGTTATGTATAGTCAAAGATTAGCCTAGATATAGCATTTATAATTAATAAATAATAATTTACCCATACACAGTCCATCGTATATAATACATCGTATGACGTATCATATGTGTCGATGACTTTACAGTTAGTAAATAAAAAATGAAAACCCTTTCAATATGTGACAATAATCTATATTTCTATACTAATATTATAAAGAGGTAAAGTTTGTGAGTTTGTGAGGTAGAGGGTAATGTCTGGATCTACTGAACCGATTTAGATGAAATTTGATAAGTAGGTAGTTTGAGACCCTGGGAAGGACATAGAATACTTTTTATCCCGGAAATCATCCTTAACTTAATAAAAATACTGTGTTCGAATCGAAAAAAGTCGTATTAGTGTAAATGATATCTTTTATCATGATTTTTTGATAACCTTTGAACTATCAGATCTTCCACATCATACGTAGGTACTTATTTACGAAAATACAAGATTAAAATACACTTTTATCTGACTCTATATTATTTTATTGGAAAAACCACACACAGTATAAAATTGAGTGCCCATAATTTTCAAATTAATTTAGTTTATAAAGTAATCTTATATTTTGTAAAGTAGAGGAAAATCTGTTTCATAAGTTACTTTTTTAAAAGTAACAACTTTTTAGGGTGTAGATGATCCAGAAGCTCCGGAAACTCCTGAGAGCGATCTCGAGCTCCCTTTGAATTGCAGCAGATTAAACAAAGTGAAGCTTACGAATAGCGTCCACTTTGATGCGAACGTTTCTTTAGAGTACAGCAGCGTGCACGTTGCCGCTGAGGTATTTCAATGCGGTGAGAACAATAATAATCTTACGTATCATATACATATGTATATATATAGCTACTTTAAATGCATATGAATATTTTTACATTTCACATTTATAAGCCAAGTACACTTAAAATTTAGTCTCCCAATTATTATAAAATTATACAAAAGAATCGGCCTCAAGAGGTTTGTATCAAGGTCAGTGAAATGCTCATGAAATTGGCATAATATGTATTCGCGACTACCATTTGCTACTATGAATATAAGAAACATTTTTCATAGAAATGACAGTCGATTGATTAATAACAAAATGAATAATCCTCCTACAGTATTTTTTTATATAACAATAATTCAATAAAATACAATTACAGATCCTCGTATAATAGAACATATTCATTGGACTGAAGGATTGATATCTGTTTTTCGAGAAAACTACGCTCAAGACTCTACGATTGGCTTACAATACTTGTGTAGTGCCAAAGGATTTTTGCGACATTATCCAGGTATTATCAATCTTCTTATATATAAATGAAAATGAATGTTGGTAAGCGCATAACTCAAGAATGGCTGGACCCATTCGGCAAAATTTTTTTTCGTATGTTCCTTAAGGTCCACGGAAGGTTTTAATAAAGAGAAAAAATGAAAAATGAACGAAAAAAAATTAAACTTTATATGGCTAACGCTGGCTAATAGCTATTTATATCTATTTAAAACGTACCTAGCGACGAACCCGAGCGAAGCGAGGATGAGCCGCTAGTATGACTATATTTATGTAAACAAAACATACTTAATCACGAACTTAATTTACTTATGATATTGTTGATTCCCTGAAATATCATTAACATATATGTATCGATAATTACTACATTTGCAATAGATTACATTTATATTATAATGTTTTACAGTAAATGTTATTTAATCACTGACTTCCGCCTGCGACCTCGCTCGCGACGTCACGCTGCACGCGTCATATAAAATGTATTTTATTTTTATCTATTATATTATCAACCGATAACCATGCTCCCGCTTTATATGTGCCTAAAGCCACCATACACTGACCCTTGGCTTTTAAATTTAAATTTATTTAATACAAAAACATGCTTACAATGTATTTCACTATATTTTATTAATTTTTTTAGCGGCTTTATGGCATAGTATGTATAAATTAATGACTGACGGCGAAGATCTATACGACTGTAGACTGCGACCATGGTACGTCAGCGCGAGTGGTGCCCCACGCGACTTCCTCATACTGTATGACTTCTCAGGCTCCATGAACTCCTCGAACAGATTCATTGCCGAGCAGTTTACCCACGCTCTGCTCAACGCTTTAACTGATGATGATCAAGTAAATGTACTACGTTTCAATCTTGTAATAGAATCTCCAATACCATGTTTCGACAAAAAGCTTGTGCCAGTAAGTATACAAAGGATTTATTTGTATCATTGTCCACCTTTTACTTTACATTAGACGTCTAAAATTTATTTTGTAAAAATAAATTATAGAAATAAGATAACTGTTAAAGTGGCATGTTACAAACACTTATTTTGTAGTATTTGCATAATTTAAGAATTACGCTACTTAGTAAATTTGGCCGTTTGGCTCCTTTTCATTATATTAGAAGAGTGAGAAAAAGTAAAACTATAAAGTTCTTAAATCTAATACAACTACATTATAATATCAAGTTATATTTTACCCGGACATATCTCATATCGGCTCACAGTTAATAAATTAATTTTAACAGAATGCTATAAGCAATCTTAAAAATTTCATAGGCTAATCATGTAAATTCAGCGGCTATGGTGGCTTCACTTAAGGACCAAAATCCAAAAAACGAAACCAATATGGAGGTGGTACTCATAGAGTCAATACAAATTCTTAACAATCAACTCAAGGCAAAAGACACGCCGAATGCGTGCCAACAGGCAATTGTTTTGGTAACGGACACTATTGAAGAAAATTATAATGATCTAATGCATCGTCTCGATCCTAATGGACAAATTAGGTAATATATGTACAGTATTTATATATATGTTATATTTTTAATTAATATTATGGTACATATAATATTCTCTAAACCTATATCCACACATTAATTATTTTTATATTACCTAGCAGACAGAGGAAAAATACCTTCATATCGATTTTCGCACAATTTGAAAAGATGCGTGGCTGCATCAAATACTGTGTCTTATTTTAATCAGATTTAAACTAACATCTGAACGTTTATTTGTATTAAAAATCCTCACAAGAATCAAATCTGCGACCGTCAGCGCATATTTTATCTCTACGTCGGGTCAATGATCTACATCCTTACTTATATAATATACATAAAACACAACGTGAGAGACGTTGATACTGTATGCCTGTTTATTATTATAAATCACTGATCCAATCTATCCAAATCTTCTTAATATGTAAATACTTTATCTGACCAGGTTTAAACGTACATTTGGTTACGTCAGATACCCTAGGGAAGGTAGGAAAAATTAGTACGGAGTGCTGGTTACCGGTTTCTAAGAACGGTTTCGTATGAGCGAAGAAATGTGACACAAAATGTAAAACTGTATTCCAGACTATTCGTTCTATGGTTACATGATCCTTTCGGCTTGCGGGACTCTACTCGATTTTACGCGAATTCATTAACATGTGAACGAGATGGTTTCTATGCGGAATTGGTCACCGACTCCGACGTAACCGAACAGGTGCTGAATATTCTACGAGTGATGGAGCGACCTTTAGTAGCGCAACGAAAACAAAGATTAAGAGTATATAGCGATGTTTACGCTAACATTGAGGTAATTCTGGTTATACTGTTAATGCATTTCATCAAACATAATATTCATGATTTATGAATAAAATTATGGTAAATATATTTCAAAATTTTGTTTACTTTTAGTGTTATCAGCTTCTTATTAATAATCTTTAGCGTCTGTTTTTACGAAAATATTCAAAGATATACAGTGATATAGATAAAATATACTTTTTTTACAAATGTAAATTAAACTGCCTTCCTGCTACTGAACCTGTACACCTTTAGAGTTCGAGTTACGTTAAACCACAAATCATGAAACTAATCTGCAGGAGTTTTTGTCAAAAAAATTATCAAAAATTTCAGAGTCATGGTCCTACACAAGACCTTGGCAATGGCTAGGATAAGTACTTGGCAATGTGAAATCATCTCGAATAGTATGTAACTTTACCATGAGACAATAAAAAGAACACTTCTGTTGGCTGTTTTCACTCACAAATTTACCTATGCAATACACGCAGTAAAATTAAGTAAATAATTTGCCAAATACAACATATTTAACATATTACAGGATCCTCGTAGGAGTGAACACTACTGGCAACAGAAGGAAAATATTGAACAAACATATCGCTATAGTGAACTGCGTCGAAACAAAGATCAGTTTCTTACAACAAAAAAACAATACGGCGATTATATACATATGCATCAGCTCGTTAGTACTTATTATCTATTTATATTCTTATATTTAACTTAATTTTAATATTTAATTACTACCTTCTTCCTTGATTTATATATGAAAATAGTTCGTATAATTCAGGACCAATATGGGCAGTACTACGAGGGTGAGGATATAAACTACAGACTTCAAATAAGTGTTTCTGTGCCGGTCTTTGATAATACTACTTGGGAGGTAAGCTTACTATAAGATAGAGGCAGGTAGAGATGAGATAGAGATATTACAATAATCCTAAGAACTAACTATAACGGTATTATAATTGACTATAACGAGTTAAAAAACTAAATAAGACATTCTCAATTTTGTTGCATATCTTGAAAAAAGGATGCTAGTACGAAAGATTCGAATAAAAATTGTGAAACTTTAAATTTTCATTAAAAAATTGGATTTCTGAATTCGAGTAGGTATATATTTTTTATGTTTCGCAATATATTAAATAAATTTACAGTTGTTTTTTTTTTATTTTTAGAATTTAATTTACGTAAAGTTTTTTTTTCAGAACATTACAATTACTTTGGATGAGGTAAGTTATTTTTTTATAGTTTCATCGACATCATAAATTATAATTGCTTAAAACGCGCAAAAGATTTTTTGAAGAATAGGTATAACAATGACTTAGATAATGTTCGACTTATTAATTTCCAAATTGATTGTTTCTCTCTCAATAGTCCACTTTCCGTCCATGTTAAGTCTCAAAAATAACAGTTAATAATTATTGTAATTAAAGAAATTTTTAAGAATTAAAAAACAGCAAACGCTTTAAAAGCAAAATTATGACGAATATTACAGTAGGTAACTGCCATTACTTAAAAAAAAAAACAAACGTTAGTTCTATATTCAAAATAGTAACTCGAGTTGTAATTTCAGGAAAAACAAAGGAACTCAACCAGAACGGTAATAGTATTTATAGTTCTTATTTATTTATGCTTTATCAATAATCCATATCATATTTGAGTAATCTATAAATCAGTGTTTTTATAATAATAGCCATTACGTTTAGCGGATTTAATAAGCATTAAAATTTTATCAAGTTCGCAATACCAAGGAGCTATTTTTGAACGTAGATACATATTATGAACCTTAGTTATCCTCAACCTTGGTTCTTTATGAATATAAATATTGAATATTTATAAAAACTATAACTTTAATTTAATTAAATAATACTTTCTAAGATTTACGCGAATATTTGACATTTTAAATAAAACTATCTTTTCGGATTATTTCGTGGATTTATTTTGATTTTTGGTTCCCGACGTTTCGAATGCTTTACATCAATCATGGTCACGGGAGAGACTAAGGTTTTAGCCGTCTCAAAGGCGTTATATACATACTTGTTACAGCCAGTGCCTAACCACTATTTTACAAAAAAAAAAGATATTAGAGAAAAGATAGTTTTATTTAAAATAAATTAAATAAGGCAAATTCTTTTAGTTAAAATCTTTTTTTATGTGGCACTTTTATGTTGATGATGTGTTTAAAAAAAAAAGACGAAAGAACGACCTCGACATTTAGTTTTGCTGTGTGCATTTATACTTTTTCAGTACCCTGTCAACCGGCTATTAGGCGTTGCTGGTGTTGATATTCCCATTGATCATCTAAAATTGGTGTTGCCATTCTATTTGGTAAGAGCTTATTAAAATATTGTTAATGTTTTTTTTAAAGTTAAAAGTATCCCTACATACTAATCGTTTACAGAACAAAACTTTTTGTAATAGAAGCAAAAATACATATCTAATCAGCAAAGGGCGACTTTCATGAAATACTTGTAATTTATGGGGAATTACCACTATAAGCCCTGAAAATAGGTCATTGACAACCTAAGAGTGGATAGTGAATTTGAAGTACATAGTAATCTAGAAATGAATCACTGTAATTTTACTATTAATCATACTATTTATCAAGTACCAACATTTCTATGAAAATATTAAGTACACACTGACGAGCATTACCTACACCGATTTTCTATATTTTCCTACTTTATGATTACTTATAATTTTCATGCTTTCTGTGTAGTTATATACTTATATGGCGTAAAAATAACAAAAATCTACAGCAATTCCGTTACTTATAAGAAAAATACATCGTTTAAATTCATGTTTTAAGATGATAAGAAAAACTGTTGAAAGGTTAGACTTAAAATAGGTACAGTTTCATACACTCATTCATTCATTTCAGCACTCATTGCATTAAAATAATTGGGAATGAAATAAAAAGCTCTAGATTCCCGTAAATAAAATATCATACAATTTTATAAAAAAATAAGGAAATATGGAAAAGTTGGCACAAAATATTTCTTATATAGGTACTCGTGTTTTCAAATATTTACGCTGTCAGATTTTCATAACGACCGTTAGGCACCTTATGATGACTACCATTTTTAACAATTTTATCTGAGTGCGAAATAAGTAAATTGGCCTTTTTCGTTCGCAGGGTTTAGGTCATAGGTGGCTCGATAATAGAATTTGCTACGGAATAATGAGCACGAGGTCTCACAAACCTCATTTTAAAAACTTGATACAATTTTCTACATCTCTCAAGTACTTGAATTTTATAAGCAATGCTATGTACGTGATAATTAAAATTGCTTGAAGTCAATAACGCTCTCAAAGTTAACAGCGAGAACTACAAATTGTTGAATAACCGTATTATTATCATAATAAAGAGATAATCATTTCCCTAATGGTTAATTATTTTATATATTCACCGTGCTTCATTTCTTGTGTTTAGGTACTGAATTTTATTCTAAGAAATTAAAAATCTTGATAGCATTTAATCGTTCTTTATACCTGTCATTGTATGGAGTTAGTCCGTATTAAATTTTTTCTGCGAATTTTATGTTGATATAGATTATGAATTTTTGAATTTAAGATTGGTGCAGGAGGGTCTCTTTCAATAGTGGATCATCGCGGCAACATTGTTTTACATGAAAATGCTAAACCTGTGGTAAGTACCTGAGAATGAGATAACATGCGATTAGTTGTATTTATATCACCTACAAGAAAAAACAGATACATACATATATATGACTAGCATTGCCCGCGGCTCCGCCCGCGTTCAAATGACCAAAAAGCAAATTCTTATGTTTTACATATTAGTATACTCTTACAATGCAGTTTTTGTATTTTTGCTCAGAAATGAGATATTTACCCGCGGTAAAAAGTATCCTATATGTTGACCCGGATAGCCAGCTATAACCATACCAAATTTCATCAAAATCCCTTCAGTGGTTTTTCTGTGATGCGGTAACAGACAGACAGACAGATAGACAGACACAAATTCTAAAAAACTATAGATTCGGCCTCTGTTTCGATAATAGTGTCTATTTAGACACTTAAGAGGATTGTGAACCTGTAAATTTTCATACAAAAAGCGATAACGTTTTTCCCCCCTTAAACATAGTCTAATTTTCATAATTTTTGGAAATGTTGTAGATATAATCAAAATCTAGGTCCGTACGTTTTTATTTTTTTGAAATATTGCGTACGACAGAAGTTATTAGCATCTAAATATCTATATTTTTGACCTAAAAACTTCCTCCAGCGTTTTTATTTTTTTAAATTAAACTAAACTGAATTACAAAAAAAGGAAAACGTACAGACCTAGATTAAGGTGTACTGAATCTAATGAGACCAAAATCGTCTCATTTCGTTAATGTTTAGGGGGGTGAAAACGTTATCGCCCGAAACAATATTTCAAAAAGGAAATGTAGGTAATTGAGTCTAAGACTTGCAACTCTCTCTATCGCACCATACGGGTCGGGGGCAGGGGCATATTTTAGACTGTAGTGATGTTGAAGGTGCTATCGATATTATTATCTCCTAGGGAGGAGAAGGTAATATCGATATATCGATCGATACTGAAAGGATTCAATCCAAAGTTTAGAATTTTATTATACTCGTATGTATAGATTGTAACTAAGCCGTATCTGTACATTAAATATTTTTTGGAAAATATTATTGAAATAAACATTATTATCGATACAGAGGCCGAATCTATAGTTTTTTGAATTTTTGTCTGTCTGTCTGTATGTCTGTCTGTCTGTTACCACGTCACAGAAAAACCACTGGAGAGATTTTGATGAAATTTGGTGTGGTGGTAGCTGGTGGTGGTATCCGGATCAACATATAGGATTATCGCGGGAAAATATCTCATTTCTGAGAAAAAATACAAAACTGCAATGTACGAATATACTAATATGTAAAACCTACGAATTTGTTTTTGGTCATATGAACGCGGGCGGAGCCGCGGGCAATGCTAGCTAAACATAAAAAGTTTCAATTGCATAGCTCTTTTACATTAGATTTTATTGATATCTAAAAAACTCCGATTTCGTCACTGACTCACTGATGATCATCAAAACTCTTAGGGTACTTCCTGAAGTCCTAGAAAGCTAAAATTTGGTATGTATACTAGTATTATAGTCCAATCGGAATCTGACAACAATATATTGAAAACCTGAAGTTTCATAATTTTCAAATGTTAGCAGGTATATAAGGATTAGAAATTCGTAAAATGCCCCATCTGTCCAGCTACACTCGAGAAATGGGAGACCGCAAAGCGTTGAAAAATAGTTTTTTTCAATTTCCGGCTCACTGTGACGTTCTATCGAAAAATATTTTCTACAAATGTAAAAGGTCTAGTAAAAATCTACAACTTTGATAAATAACACTTTCTACGATAACCTCAAAGTTTTCGAGATATTTGTTTGTATAAGTTTAAATGAGTAAGGGTCTTCCTACACCCCTCCACCCCTCGCCCTCCACCGGTCACGCGCTTTCTTTTGCTAATTGCTGGACTACTACCGTTTAGAAGGAGCAATAAAAATACTTTTATTTTTGTAAAATTTATATTTTTTTATTTTATATTCGTTATAATTTATAATATTCGTTATAATTTTAAAAAAATATTACGAATAGCATATGTATATTTATAAATATACACATACTATTCGTTATAATTTTTTCGAATTTATCGATATTTTATTAGTTTTTGCAGTTAATTTTATTGATTTTTCTGAAAAAAATGATTTTAGGACAATTACAAAAAGAAATGAAATTCATTCGTAATCTAATCTTGTTTATTCATTAGTTAAAAATATATTTTAAAACATTAAGTTGATATATTTTATAAAATTTAGTCATAGATTTGTTAAAAAATCGTAAATCATCATCATTCATGATCAGGTCATTTTATGAATTTCTATTCCTTATATACCTGCTAACATTTTAAAATCATAAAACTTCAGGTTTGCAATAAATAAATTATTTTAAAAATAAAAGGATTCCGATGGGTCTATTAGTACATAAACAACAAAAAATTCTAAAACTTTCAACTTTTGGAACGAGCTTTTTGTAATTGATCTAAATCACATATTTATTTTTCTATGATTTTTTGAAGTCATCAATCTAAACAAGTCAAATTTTAAATGATATTCGCCACAAAATTGTAATTTAGAGTTATTTCAGTTATTTTATGAATAAAGGTGCGATGTAACTTGTAGGGAATGTATATTGTACGCAAACCGTAGATATTAGATAAACTTTGAAATTGCTCTTGCGCCGAGTCGCGCCGCCCCCGCCCCCGCCCCCCGCAAGCGCCCGCGCGTCACCGGCTGCTGCTATCATAGTGTGTGTGAGAATTTGCGTATGTTGTATTTGTGTTGTTCACTGCCGGGGGGATGCAAAGCGGTATGAAACAGATAGCATTTTTAAAAATACCTACTCTCGCCGCGTATCGGCACTTCACAATCCTCTTAATTAAATATTTTTCGAAAAATATTTAATGTACAGATTCGGCTTCGTTACAATTTTATTATATGCAGGTATAGATATAGTAATAACAAAATACCTACCTACCTTCTGATTTTATTTTTTACCTATTATCTACATAAGATTTAATTTAATGGTCAATGAATGGATTATTTTTCCGTTATTATAATAATTTTCAAATGTATATTCATGTTCTTATCTGCAAAAATAAGATAAGTTCTCAGAAATTTATTTGTATTATTATTGGATTAGTAAACGCTTTCTATTTTAATTTAGCTTACGTCCATGACTCTACTCGCGTGTTACGATTACACTCTCTCGATATATTTACTTGACAGTGCAATATCCGGTTATATTCAGTTAAGCTTCTTCTTACTGTACCTTATTATAATATCCTTAGTATAAATGATCTTTTTTGTACGAATTAATTGTAAATTGTTGTCTGCCACTAAAAGCTTTGTTAAAATCGGTTCAGCTGTTTTCTAAGTCACACCACCATTCATTATCTATACATATAATAAAATTGTAACTAAGTCGAATCTGTACATTAAATATTTTTTGGAAAATCTTATTGAAATAGACATTATTATCGATAGAGGCCGAATCTATAGTTTTTAGAATTTTTGTCTGTCTGTTTGTCTGTCTGTCTGTCTGTTACCGCATCACGGAAAAACCACTGGAGGGATTTTGATGAAATTTGGTATAAAGGTAGTTGTTTATCCGATCAACATATAGGATACTTTTTACCGCGGGAAAATCTCATTTCTGAGAAAAAATAAAAAGACTGCAATGTAATACTAATATGTAAAACCTAAGAATTTGGATTTTGGTCATCTGAACGCGGGCGGAGCCGCGGGCAATGCTAGTACACTATACTTTCCTATTCACGCATCATCTCTCTTACATTAACGGTAGGTGCCAGGTGGTCACTATGCAAAAAACGTTCAAGGATATACTCGATAATGTAATAATAGGGTAGTTAAAGATGCGTTACAAATAGAAAAAAATGATTTATTTTATATACGCATAAAATTAAGGGGTTTACATTAAAATAAAGAAAAATTATATAATATTATTATTCAAACACAAATACCATATCAACAGCTTTGTCATCACAATGATGATGTAGACACACTCAACTGGAGAGTTCTGCTCTGAGTTTCGGTAGATAACACCCACAAGTACAAACACACATATCATGACAACCTAGAAGGACAGATACACGCTATTTGAGGGAAAACTACCCACACAAGCGCGAATCATGGCGGTCATGACCCCCCAAACCTCCCCAACGCCCAAATATTTTTTAAGAAATTTGGTCACTGCTGACTTAAATCTAATATTGAAAGAATGGCGTGAATAAAAAGAGTCGTGGGTAATTAATAACTTCTTTTAATACAAATAAAGTATTCTTCGAAAAGAATTCAAAGAATTTGACTTGGTTTTTTGAAGAGTTTTGAATGCGTGGATAATTTTTTGAGGCTTATTTAAAAATATAAATTTGGGAATTTTTCCACCATTTGACCAGAGTAATTAAAAGTTTTTTATAAATACTTTTTTCTTTTCTAAGCTATATGACAATCTTTCAATTTATTTTTTCTATTACTTTTTTAACTATCCTCAGAAACTATAATTTTCTTTTTTTATTTATATGTTTCATGAACCCACAACCTGCCAAGTACAAGTTGTACAAGGTAGTTTCGTGATCACATTGCCACTACGCAAAGTAAACTTTTATCATAGTCATACACAGAGAATCACAGATTAAAGTAATCCTTTTGATACTGCGCATTAATTTTTATTAAGCTGTTTTTACCTGATTTGTTTTTTTCAGTTTGACGGTGACATATTAAAGCCTGGGTATCGAACTGTGGACTTTCTTGATGTTGAACAAGCTGCAGAAGATCATCTTCCTAGAGAGTACCCTGAGAACTGGAAAAAAGTACGTAATATTTCAACCAGCCTCCCACCTGAATGCGATTTGGCCAACGTTTGTATTGTATATCTCTATTTTACTCTAAATATTAGATTAGTCTTATATGATAAAAAAATAGCACCACTTTTTATGGGATTTCTTTGGGCTTAATCCACATTTTGTGATTTCATATTTATTTTATTATATTCAGATAACTTAGCTGTTTTCGCTATTAGAAATAAATCTATTATAAATACTACATATAAATTAAGTACCTATATTAAATCCAAAAAATAATAAAGCCTTGACATAAAATTTATTAGAGGTACAAATTTGACATATGCAATGAGTATGTTCGTTACAAATGCAATTTTAGAAGTTACGAGTATGTTTAGTCAAATTTTAAAATATCAACAAAGCAAATAATTAAAATATAATAATAAGATTTTTATATGTTTATTTTTCCTGTTTTATTGAAAATATCGTATTTTCTGGCCACTTTCTTATCACCTTCGTTTTACGATGACATATTATATCGGAAATAAATTCTTATCAAAGTATTATAAATTATTAACAACTAATCTTTCCAGAAGTATTGGCTAATCATGGATTCCGTTAAGTACCTACATATGTTTTGATACAAATGAAAGGTGCCTTCCGGCTCTTTCTAACGTTTTTTAATCATTAATAAACAATATTTTCAGTGCAATGATGATTTTTAACACGTCCAGCTCGGGCTGGACCTATATTAACCTCCTTATTTAATCAATGCTGCTTCTATTCTTATAGTTCCGAAAGGATCTAATTGTTCATTATCCAATGGGTCACGAAGATATAGACGCGAAAACTGTTTACGAAAACGGCATGCGAGCCTTAATAGGTAGGAAAGACTATTATTGGAAGAGAGTTATGGATCATTATACAGTAGTTGTGGCTCTACCAAAATTTAATATCAGACACGCAGTGCCGAAAGCCGATTTCACACAGAAATTAGCTCAAGAGGCATTTGATGTATTGCAAGATACTGAATTCGCCGTACACCCAGAATGGTAAGTTCTAAAAAAAACAACAAAGCTGTAGTTTGGAGGTTTATAAATTTACTTTGCTTTGTCTTATGCTGAAAAAACTAGATATGACGTCAAAAAATTAACATTTCCAACATTTTCTATAGATAAATGTTCGTATTCCATGTCGCTTCCTATATAATATATAATTATTTATTATACATACAATTATCAATCAATCAAAATCATGATAACAATATTTTACTAACATAATAACATACACTACAATGATAGTTAATTAAAATAAATATACTAATTATATGATTATTTATTCTACTCAACAAAAACTTATGATAATTAAAAGACAATTTTTTGAGACATTTTAGAACAGCAAACAAAATACGAGTATGTCATTATCATTTCTTTATTTTTCATAATTTGTTTACTTCAGGTTATATTGTGAACACGCAGATCCTTCAAAATTCCCGTCCAAAGACTTCGAAACTCGTGAAGATGTTATAAAACACTTCATTGAAAGGCGTCGCAAAGAAGCCAACTTTGCTGGAAAGAAAATAAAGTATCGCTTCTCACCCATCCCTCCATCGCTGAGAAACAAAACATACCAATGTAAATATTTTAATCTATACAAATAAATAAAATTGAAGTGTCTGTTTGTAATGTCAAAATAACTTATAAAAAAAAATTAACATTTTTATCTGTTTGTCTGTCTATTTGTTTGTTCCGGCTAATCTTCGATTTTGGGATTTTCACTGGCAGATAGCTGCTGTAATAAGTTAAATTTAAACATACCCTGAACGCAACCGAGCGAAGCAAGGGGGAGGCGCTAGTTTATTATTATAACAGCATGAATAAAATGTTCTTATTTGTTTTCTACTCAGTGGTTTCCAACACATTCCTAACCTAATGCACCTAAACCAAAATTGTTTGTTATTAAATTATAATATACTAGCATTGCCCGCGGCTCCGCCCGCGTTCAGATGACCAAAAACCAAATTCTTAGGTTTCACTCATATTAGTATACATACTTAATACTCTTACAATGCAGTTTTTGTATTTTTTCTCAGAAATGAGATATTTTCCCGCGGTAAAAAGTATCCTATATGTTGACCTGGATAACCAGCTATCTTCATACCAAATTTCATCAAAATCTGTCCAGTGGTTTTATCGTGATGCGGTAACAGACAGACAGACAAAAATTCTAAAAACTATTCGGCCTCTGTATCGATATTGTCTATTTCAATAAGATTTTCCAAAAAATATTTAATGTACAGATTCGGTTTAGTTAGAATTTTATTATATGTATAGATTTTATACTCGATCCCACATAAAGAGATTTAAATTTCTGATATGTGATATCAATTAATTCAATATAATTTGGAACTACCGTACTTACTGAATCACCAAAAATTATATTGATAACCGTTACTGGCTTATTAGAAGGATTAAAATTTATATTAAAGGTAATGAAGAATTAATGGCTCGACTATGTAAGGAGATAATAGCGACGGGACCGTGGATGGAGAAGATTGACGAGGAAGAGTTCCCGCTCGGCTCCGTCACAGCCTTCCTCGCCACTGGTAGACAGGAAATAAAAAAAAATTCAAACACTTAAAAAATGCTTTATAATAATATATAATAATATAACTGTAAACTTACGTGTTACTAACTGACTAAGTTGTATAAATTATAAAAGTTATTTTCAATTTGTTAATACTTTTTTATTTCAAAAATATGTATGTAAACGTTTTAACAAACTAAATTGTACATATCTAATGAAGCAGTAAAAAAAGATGAAAGTATACTATAGTAATTACAAAGCTAAACATTTTTGCAGAAAGTGGTCTTACACGATGGATAGCCTACCGCGCCACCACCTCCCACGCAGAGCCGCCGGACGGCGCGCTGTGGTCGCGCGGCGTCTCCGAGCCGTGGTTCCGGCGCGCCGTCGCTTCAAAGAACACCCTCGTTATACACGCACCTGTAGCACCTATACGAGTGCTACGCAATAGCTTTATTCAACCCACACCCGTGAGTATCTACAGCTTATATATGACTCACAACACAATCTATTATTTGTTTTGGAAAAATTAGTAGATAGGCAGAGAGAACTAAATCATGCTTCATTTGTACTCTATTTTCCGTCTAAAAATGTGAACTGGAATTTCCCAGCACCACTTTTGTATTGAATTTACTCACTAATATACTCGTGTCTAATATTTCGTATTATCCGGAGATTAACATGGGGACCATTTAGGCTAATCAAGCGTAGATAAATTATATCTCCACAAAAACAAGCAAATACTTACCGGCGTTTAATCTGATACTTAAATTATAAAACTTGATAACTTTATAAATTCTTGGTAATCACATACATCATTTACGCTGAGTATTAATGAGGAACAATTTCAATTCAAATTATTGTATTACGTCAGCTATATTATGGCTATATACATATATTTACAGTCAGATAAATAAATGAACCGATTTCATGAGACTATCGGGCACGTTCGCGAATGTTCCTACTAAATATAAATTAAAAATTTAAAAAACCCCCTATGCAAATTAATTGTCATTTAATGATTACAGTACAGGCACGCGTGAAGCACTTACTTAATCGAGTAATCATACGCCAAAATGCCTTTGTAATCATTTTGGAAAAGAGCTGATACTCTTACATTGCTGGACCGATATTAACCAAACATGGCAAAGAACCACCGCCAGGAAATTGGCTTTCAAATGAAAAAAACCGCATCAAAACTGGTCCATCCGTTTGAGATCTACGATGCCACAGACAGACACACACACACAGAGACAGACATCGACGTCAAATTTATAACACCCCTTTTTTTTCGTCGGGGATTAAAAATAACATGTACCAAAGTAAACATTACAAAAATTATCAATAGACACTTCTCCTGAAAAGATGAGCGAAGAACTAATAACTACTACTGCTCCGTTATGTCCTTAAAACTTTAAGTTGTTTATTATGTAATTTTTTAGTAGTTTTAAGCAAAATCGCACTTAGGCCTCTCTGTCGGTATGTATTTTAATTAAATTGCCTGAATTAGAATGAAGACATTTTTTTATCAGCACAGACGTTTATCCTGGATTAAATCGACATCGCAGCAACAAACACAAATAAATTTTCATTGCAATGCAGCTCTTCTGCTAATAAAACCAATACATAATTATACAGCCTAATACCTTTCAATAGCTTAGTGAAAAGTACCAGTGGCTAACAGCTGCGAGAACACTTGGACACGGTGACCACACGATCGGCGTTGCCGGCTATCACTTCTATCCTCAACATTTAGAAGACCTGTTGGTTTCAATCACTAATCCTGATTTTGACGTAAGTTGTATTTAATATTATTATCCTTAGGTTTTTATTTAATTTCGTATATGTAAAATATTCTTAACATATAACATATTCTCAAATAAAAATTCGGGAAATCTAGTGTGAAGAAGACTGCGAACCTCGCTGTGATGAAGAAATTTGGAGTTGCGTCCTCATCGATGAAGAGGGTTGGGTCGTCACTTATGTCAAGAAAGATAGTGATGAAAATGAGGATCGAAAGCCACTAAGAGAACACCTCGCTAACCTACACCCTGCTGCTATGAGGGCTTTGCTTGATGCACAAATCTTCACATTACATTGGATACATGATTATCAAGGTGTATGCTTTCCGCCGAAAATCGAAAAATCTAGAGCTCCCGTACGTATTACTCGATACTTTTATTCGATTTTTATTTAAAAAAAATATTAATTAAAAACATTGCATGATCTTGTTTTAGATGTTACCATCGTTAGTGCGGGGACTTTGGAATTCTCTTCGACTAATAGTACACGCTAGTCACGAAGTTTTAACTGTTCTTACCTTACTTGGATCTAGTGAGTATTATCTGAATACTTATTGCATTAACAATTTAATATTAATTTAGTTTTTGAGACGGATTTTCTTTCATAATATCAATCAAAATTAACAACATTGATAATATCAATCAGCAAGCACATGGCATACATAATACATACATTTCTATGAATGGTTTGTTTATCCACAATTAAAGTTTGAGCTCTCCATACTTTACATTTAAATAATAAATGGATAAAGCTTTTATATGATAATGGATTCAAATTAATATTTAAAATATATTTAATTATTGTGAATAATAAATTTGAGGTAAACAGACATTTTTGATATTTATATTTGATATTTGCTAAAACACTGAATTATTCGTATTTTCAGGTGGCTTAGTAAAAAGTGAAACTGCAAAAGAGAAAGAGAAGCGTAGAAAAAGATTGCGACGCGATTACGAACGGGAGAAGTACGAGCGACTCTATGACAAACGGGTGATCGTCAACCGCACACGTTTCGCTGCTTGCGATCGCTCACGGCCTATTTATCACCTAAATGTAACTTTTAATTAAGTAATTTAGGCCCAATTAAAAACAAATTGATCAAACATATTAGACAGAAAAACGATACAGTAGGATAAGCAAGGAAATTTGTTATATGAACATTTTGTTATTACCTACCTATAGGAAAAAGTACTAGCGAAAATTAAAAAAATAACTAAATAAAATAGTTAAGCTCTAAAATACAAATTATCAACATTTTTCAGCGTACAAAAGCAAAAATAGATGCATTAAGAAGACCACCAGCACCTTGCAAATGGCCTCTCGTCGGAACTGAAGTTCCAAACACAAATCTCCTGTTGCTGGCTATAATGAACAAGTGCGAACATACTGGCAAACCTCTGAACAATCCACTCATCAACGCACCAGTATGTTTATAAATACTTAATTGAATTTAATTTGTTCTATTCTCCTTTATAATATATTTATTATTTAAGCGCTTGTAGGTAGGTACCTCCCTACTTGAAATGAATTTCATTTAATAGGTATACAAATATTGTTTCGATACGGCTGAACATGATATAGGAAAGCGCTACCCATCTTTAATCACAATATCGCATAAAATTAGACAACGTCCCAACGTTCCATTCCAACAAAATTAAGTATAGGTACCTAAAAAACAATAATCATAATATACAAATATTCATATTATATAGAGAATATGTAAATTTTCTTAAAATAGAAAGATGCTTCCTCGACTATACTTAAAGCTTCTCAATTGTTGCTCAGCTGAAAATAGCTATTAGTAGATGATACTTGATAGATATAATTAAATTAGAAAATATTAAGCAGATATAGATGGGCGGAAAAAGCTTAAGGTATAAATAATAATCAGGCTATATTAAACGCAAAATTTGCATGTTTGTTGCTCCTTCACGCTGAAGCAGCTGAACGGATTTGGATTTATAATAAACAGATAAATCATCGCCTCGAGTAATACATATGCTATTGTTAAGCACCCAGGCACCTGAGCGAAGCAAGGGAAGATACTAGTTATAAATATATTCAAGTACCGATTTATCACCAGATATTATCAGAGTTAACAGAGAGTGAGACGGGCAACGGCAGGTATATGAGCGCGGCGGCAACACTCGCGTGCCTGCGCAACCGCGTGCCGCTGCCGGCGCGCACGCCGCACACGCGCTGCTTCCCACATAACTACTCTCAAGTAATTCAAATATTGTATTACTCTATAATTTACTTTGATTTTACATACACTTTGTAAACAAAACTATAAACAACTGAAAATTAAATACCTACCCTGAGAAATCTTCGTAAAGCTTTTTATTGATTTTACAAGAGTCCTTTTGAATGAAATTAATTATTATGTAACAAGAATTCTTAAGTTTTACAGTGAAACCGATATTGATTAAATCACTTTCTTATGTATTTTTTTGTCTTATAATTTATCGAGTATAAAAATTATTTCGATTCGATTTTTTAAGCGCGCTACATATATCTTTCTTATCCTTCCCAAGAAATCTCAAGCTGAAGTTTGATATAAAAATTGTCTTATCAATTTTGTTATCTGGAAAAATTAATAAAAAAGTTAACAATAGGGTATTATTGTTATCTGTGGTTAATAAATGTCATTCGATTTTCAGGAAGCAGGGTATAGACAGTGCGGGCCGTGGCTTCCGGATCCAGATACCGGAAACAATGTCCAACCTTCAAATTATTTAGTAATAATCATGCTCATTAAATTTTTCTTTTTAATTATCAATATATAGATTAACAACTTATCTGAATTAATAGAAATGAAATTTATAAGATAGCGAATTCCTTATAGGATAATCTCAATTCCATTATTTCGAACAATATAATCATTACATATTCAATAGTTATAAAATGAATATTTGAAAAAAAAACACTTTTGAGATTTACATTATTCTGTACCATGGAATCTAGAAAATGAGTTGAGTTAAAACATATTTGCTTTAAGGTTTAATATTAGTTATAACTGTTTATATCATTTATTTAACTAAAATAAAATAAAACACATGTTCATGTATTCTCTTAATTCGTTTTATTATATTATATAATTATTTGGTTCGGAAATGTATTTAAAACTTATTGTGACAAGTTAATAAATCACCTAGCTATCGACATTTCCTTTAAAATTATATTAGATAAAAATATAACATAATTTATTACTTATGGCTTTGGAATGTTATCGATTTCATTACAGGTGGGAAGTTAATAAAAAACAAAAACGTAACAGAGAATTTTATAAGACTAAAATATTACGCCATTTTTTTCTATCATAGAAAGTTATATTTCACATCTTCAGATATAAAATTATAGTACTGGTAAAAATATAATAAAGTAAAGAAATCGTCAATTGAAAGATATCAAAAAATAAACTTAATTATACTTCTTTCAAAGAAGGTTCTTTAAAGACAAAAACGTAAGTAGAGCTGTTTTTTTTTTAATCTTAAACATTTTTTTTAGATTTCTCTTCAACAATTTTGATTTGATTAATTTTAGAATATTACTACAATTGTACAGATAAGCTCTCACCATAAGTAAATTGAACACAATATTGTACATGACTTAATATTTTAAATATATATATATATATATATATATATAAAATTAAAATTCAAAAATAATATAATGTAAACAAATGAATTGATTTTATCATCTTATTCCTAATGATTCCTTATCTAATTTTAATCAAAAATAGATTAGAATTTTGTATCTGTTAAAGTTAACGTCCGAATGGGTTCAATATTTATATATTAATTAACACAAAAATGTATATCTGTAGATATGCCCTCTCATCTCTTATTTTTGATTTCGTAAAATTAATTATTAATAACGACAATGTTCTTAAAAAAAATTTTAGTTTTCATATGTATAACATTTTAAAGTATTCATTAAGATTCCTACATATTTTTAATCGATTTTTTATTGCAAAAAATGGTGGGGCTGTGTCGGGGCACACGTCGCGCCGTTAGTTCAACGTGAAACGTCTATTTTAGGAAGTTGCTTTTAATGTTATTATTCTTTATAAATATATTGCATATTTGAAAAAAAATTGTAAAAATAGTAATCTTTAAAGAGCATCTTAACAGATTTTGACTATGAGTGAGCGAGACGTACTTTATTCGGTACTGATCAGACATTACCATAAAATAACGTATAAACGAATTATGAAAACAACAATATTTAAAAGCATTACGCAGACCATATCTACAGATTTAAATCTTTGCCTAAATACAATTAAAAGACGAATGTGTAACAGTGAACGATACAGGTACTATCGTCAGTATCCAACTGGAACATGAAAAACCACTTACGAAGAAATGATATCTATATTTATGGTATTAAAATCATGTAAAATAATCCAAATTATGAAAATATTATTAGATAAATAATCATGCTGGCAGATGTCTTATTATTATTCGCTTTTTATAGCGTTGTCATCATTATTGTATATAATCTGATAACTAACAACTATTATATCTAAAACACAAAACAATAATTTAATTAAGTACAATAAGTTTCTTATTTTAAATAAAACTTTCTTTTCGGATTTTTTCGCGTATTTATTTTGATTTTTGGCCTCCAACGTTTCGAATGCTTTACAGCAATCATCACCCACAAATTATAAAATGTTTTCAGAAAAAAAATGGTACTTTACAATAATTATTAATTAACAAGAAAGTATTATATGAATAAGTTTATTTCATAACTTTCTGTCAATAAAACCATACATACTTTATGTTTAGTAGTCGGACTTTAACATTAACTTGTCGTCTATCATTCAAACCGTACAAGTAATTAAATCGAAGGCTAGATATTAAAATATCATCTTTGAGCTCCTACAATGGCGACTGACTGTCTTATTCCAATAAAAATATTATTTTTTATATCTAAATCCACTTCAGTTGTCGTGTGTCGATCCTATTATAATTACGATTAGATGCGATCGATTGAAAATGATATAATCAAATGATTGCTATCGAACGATTGCAATCGATTAATATAACTTGTGACGTTTTCAGTACAATAATATTTTTGTATAGTAAATATATGACAAAGGAATTTATATATCACTTGATGACTTGATTCTTTAAATTGATATACTTTTTTTCATTTATATGCCGATTGAAATAAAACAAATATTAAATGTTAAGTGAAGCTTACCGCTTATATATTAGTGAAAACCGCACCCAAATCGGTTAAGCCGTTTCTGAGATTAGCGCGCATAAGCGCACAAATAGAACACAGACAAAAATTCTAAATATCAATGTTTTAAGTTCTATTGCGTTAATAAAGACCCCCAATAATATTTTTTCTCAAATATCTTCCATGTACAGACAGCTCAGATCAGTTACACTTTTATTATATGTATAGATTATATTATTTATTGTGCTCATGAATACAAATAAATCATATTTTTTTAACAAGAACTTTTAAGTGACATCAACTTCAAAATCACTTCAAAAGTAATTAGTTCACTTCTTTGAGATTTTACGAAATCAAAAAAAATCATGAAAACCTACTCACACTAAAAAAACTTACACCCGAATTGGAATACCTCCTTTTTTGAAGTCGGCCAACAATAAGATCGCCACTAACCGCCCGCCCATACTTAGGATGTACGAGTACTTATTAAATTCTCGAATGTCTACCTAGCTACTTGTAAAAACGACTTCGATCTCATCACCCTCCACATTTTCCTGTCATTATATCTTATTAATTTGGCACCATTTATCCTAATTTTAACACTACAGACATCTACTTATTAAATTCATTAAAATTGAGAGCATATAATGTTTTTGAATACTTCTTAATTTCAAAAGTCAAAAGGAAACCAATTATATTAGTTGAGAAAAGAATATAGTTAATACTTATTGTAATATAGGTTTTTTAATGTAAAATCTATAACTTTAAAACTTAACAATACGTGTGCATAGAAATCGCAAAAATAAACGTGAACGTAAAAGATTACTATTTTATACATTTATTGCCATTTTTAAAAGATATATAAATATAATTGAATGAAAGAAAATATCTTACATCACTAGCAACACTCAACAGCAAGAACTGTTACATAGGTATCCATGTTTATTAAACACTAAGATGACAATTTCATATACCACTACATTTCAACAGTTAAAACTCTTTGGTAAAATCATATTATAAACACAAATAATACAGATATTTAACAAAAATAACAACAATAAAACTTTGTGATGACTTCATCTCTATTGTCGCAAGCAGATTGTGAGGCTTGCAATCATTCTATTTATAAAATGCCTAAAACAAATAAATTATGGAGTGATTCGTCATTTTGTAATCGTATATAAAAAACAATTTTGAAGGTAGCAAAAATATAAATAGTTTATAAATTATACGGTTGCTTATATTTAAATCATAAATAACCAAAAATATTATGGTTCTAGGAAATATTTTATATTTAGAAATAATTTGTATCGGCATTTAATAAATTCGCAAGCGCTTTCAAACCGATTCCGTTTGTATGACGAATAAACAGATAATATTATGCTTGCGTCATAAATGATATGAAAACAAAATGGTACAAGTTAATATGTGATTTCGTGTAACTAGTACTAAAGTAAATTAAAAAAAACTGAGACTCTCAAAAAAAAGCATTTAAGTATTTTTATTAACAAAAAATGTCTTTAAAGTATGACAATACTATCTTTGGTAAACAATAAAAAAAACTCAAAAGAGCGTAGTTAAATAAAATAGTAAAATACACTTGGTGCAATTAAATGATTTGTGATAAACAAACTATATGATAATGTCATGGAATGTTGTTCTAAAATTAACTTTATAAATAATTCCACTTGTATATCGAATGCACTCGAAAATATGTTTCCGTTAGGGCAATTTTCGACAAAATGTAAAGCATTTTTTAAATTAATTACAATCAATAAATAAACATATTATTAAATTAACCGAAAATCGTAACGGAACGCAAAACTTTTCTAAGTAATCGCGAACATATTTTCATTAACATTTAAACAACGAACGATTTTCAATTTGAAATTCGAACGACGAAATTCTTAAAGGAAAAGTATAATTTAATTAATATTTAATTTATTCTGTTTAGAGTGGAATAATTCGAATCACTGGTAACAGACTGTCGCCACATATAAACAAGGTTTTTATTGATATTTTATTAAGTTCGTTTCATTCCTCTTCGGACTCTGTGTCGGAATCGGGTATCGTATTAAACCAGTTCTCCCAGTTCGATGGATTCCCCATTGCGTTTCGACTAAAAATTAAATAACATACGTATTTTATTATATATGAACATTTTATTCTATTTGATGAACAGATGACCAACAGATGATGTTTTGTTCCAACTTTCATAAAAAAGACCAAATAAATATACAAAAAAAGCTATTTCTTAATTTTCCGGGTAACATTTTCAATTTTTCCTCTTTAAAATTATGAAGCAGATTGAAAAAAATAGCCAAATCCATCCAGCCGATCTCAAGTGTTGCGCTTGCCAACGAACATCATTTAGACAATATAATATATTTGACCGAGCGAGCGAAACATCTCTACTTCAAGTCTGGCAAAATTTGCTTTCCGCTGTCAGTTTGTTGGTACTCCTCTTCAGGTCATATTTTAAAACCGTTCTGGACGAATCTTGGTATACAGGTTTTACGACTTTATAGAATATTTTTTTCGTCGGGGATTTTTGATTAGAGGAGTACTACCTCAAAAAGGGACAAAAAGGGAGCTACTGGATATCTTCGCCTTATGAGATCCGATTTCGATGGTGGTGATGAGCAGAATAGCTCCTCAAAATGTAGTTTCTGCTTGCGAGGTCTATAGTTCGTAGAAATACTAGATATAATACATATTTTATTCCTTTTGCTAAAGAATCTTTATGATTTATAAATCACAAATGTTAACAATAAATATACTAATCACATTTGATATATTTTTAATATAGATTGATATCTTTCTAAGATAGATAAAATCGATACTAATGGAAATAAGATGTACAAAGGCCGATAGAGGAGAATTAGGCTTCTGGGAAAATCACTGACTTGTTGTTTAATATAAATTGCCTGTTGCTATGATATAAGAAAATATTATTTGGTATCAGAAGTTACAATCTAATAAAAAGGTAATAAATAATTTAAAATCATTTTTACGGAGTCCTTATTGAACTAAATACCTGACGACATTAATAAATACATGAATTTTTAAACGATGCGAGTTGTTTATTAATTATTGTTATTGCACATTGCAATTTAGTATTGATGGGGTGGGGTGGTGTTAGTTTAGAATAGAGTGTAATATATATTAACTGTGAATGTTGCACAGTCAGGTTGATATGATATAGTGGATGCCTACCACGGTAGGTGTCGGGAGGTGCGCCATGCAAATTCCCTCTTGGTACTTGATGCATAAAAGAATGGGAATACTTCCTAGTTTTTGAGATAAAACCTCATTATTTAATTAAAAAATTACCCATCGATCATCACATAACCACCCATATACATGTAGGTGGCAATGGTAAATGTATTTCTAAAGTTAAAAAAAGAGTATGGACCTTCAGGGGTCAATCAAGGATTTTTGGTGATTTTGAGTGATTGGGTAATATTTGTTATGTATAGTGATGGGATATTTGTTCGTGAAAGCAGAGCTGTCTATTAACCAGTCTTGGGTGTATTAATGTATCGCCCCGTTGGGTGTTGATCTATAGTATGGAGGTTTTTTTAACGACTAATCAAGCCGGGCGTGAAGACAAGAGGTACACTGTGACAAAGTATACCATGCATGTTGCTTCTGGAACTTCTTTGATAACTCTTGCTTATTATGGTCTGTTCTGTTGAGTTTTAGTGAGTAATACTGGCTTTTCTAGCCGCTGAGTCCCACACGTATGTATGCAGGTGGTATTCGTAAATGATTTGTCAACGTTAAATAAAAGGTATTCTAATATAGGTATGTGTTTAGAGTGTATAGAGAGAGACGAGGTACGCACCCGTGCCTGGTGACGGGCTGCGGCAGCGTGGCGGTGGCGGGCGGCGGCGCGGGCGGCGGCGGCGCGCGGCGCTGCAGCGTCTGCGTGCCGCCCCAGCCGCCGCCGCCCTCCTCCCACCTGCACCGACATACCATTTTGTTCTTACTAGAGTTCGCCGAGTGGTCGGACTGCGACCATCATTTAGGCCATATTAAGCTTACTTTTGCAGCAAAAAAAAATGAAAATTAAAATAGTCGAAGTTATTAAACTTTTTATTTAAAATATTCACTTCCGGTTTAACACTAAAAAATGATTCAAATTTGGAATCTCATTAAAAAAACAGTACATTTTCTATACAAAATACTACATTTATTATTTCATTTCTATTTACTTCAATATGAAAAAAGAATCCAAAAATCCCCTTCCTTCAATCTGGTCAATTCTTTAGAATCCCATAACTTGACAACTAAATCTCAAATAAAAAAATATTATGTGTACTTGTTCATATCCCCTAGAGAATATACCACTCAACCTGCGGCCCGCGGACCGCATGCGGCAGCATCAAAAATTGCATTATAACATATCTTTGTTAAAAAAGTAACTACATCGTTGACTTGGAATTACGTTTTCATTAAAACCTAAATAATTTTTGCTTGCGGCCCTCGACACCATGACTGAAACGTATTTGTGACCCCTATAAAAAAAAAGTTGAGTATGGCTGCCCTAGAGGTTCAAATATCCAGAGGTTCAAATATGCCTAATATAAATGAATTTCAGAACCTCACTTTTTTTGTTGTCCGCTTCACGTGAAATGCCTTCATACGAGTATGTGTAGTGTATCAACTATCTGGTATCCATAACACAAGCCTCGTAGCTTAACAATGGAACTAGATGGTGCTAGCTAATGTCCCAAAATGTGTGTTAATGTTCCAACATATTTATTTATTTTATTTAAACATACCCAGAGTTATTTGAGGCTGAATTGCAGTTCTCACACTCGCTGCGGTAGTCGTCCGCCTCGGCGTCGCGCGCGCCCTCGTAGCTGCACACGCACGACGGCTGCAGTGCGGGGAATATACGTCACTACATTTTCATTAACTTTATTTTTATTTAAAGAATTTAATCCTTTTAGTAAATCCCAATCATGTCGTATCTTAACCTAAGTATAACATCACAAATTAAGAAAAAAAAGGAAAATAGATCCAATGCTGCAAAACAATGTCTACCAAATTTTTAACATCAATACTTATTATTTCCTTTCTTCTTGATTTTTATCCACTCCACAAGGATGTGTTGAACATCATCTGTTATATAGCAACTATTACATAAGAGGTAATTTACCTGTTTTTATAAGGTATGCAAATTTATTTCACGGACAATGTCCAGAACGCAATCTATGTAAAACTACAATATAGTTTCGATTAAGTTTAATATTATAAAACCATATTACTCATGAGGCCCACACTGTAGAGTTTTGTACCAAATAGCCTTTTCGGTGTTTCTTTGTGCCTTTGCGAAATAAGCTACCAGTATTATTATCTTTGTTCTTTTCAAAATTTTCGTAATATCTTAAATGCGCTAGTGACTTCACCATTTATTATTCACTATATATTTATTCACTACTGGCAATTGCCAGTGGTTCGAAAAATGGTTCTAGAAATTCTATTAAATATTTTCATTACAAACCGATAATTTCTTAAAAATTGGCAAATTTGATAATCATATTAAATTATCCAAGCGCAAGGGTCCTTTTAAATTTTTGCCAACAACCCTTTCAGGATAAACACAGAGGGTCTACACAGTTCATATTAGATATACTATAAAGGGACTAAACAATAAGCTTCTTTAAATAGAACTATCAAATACAAATGTTTCTAGACGAAAGTTTTTCAGCAACTATCTCTAGCTATAGCTAACAGGGATTAACAGTTTCCTCGAGAGTCTAAACGATTCTCATGACAAACGGCAGTTTTTGTCGCACTTTATTGATGTACCAATTTTAAACCGCGGCTTCGCTGGTTTGATAGGTATTTCGGAAAAAGTTTCATAAGCTAGTCTCTATATCTAAGTTTATATATGTAGCAATATACTCTATGGCTAGTCTTGAATATATCCCCATTATAAATATCTATTATTCTATCCATGTCTATTGTCTAGTTAGTTATCAGTGATCGTATAGTATCGTCGTCGTTTTATCACGTGGCAAAAATGCCGAATTCAATATTGATAGTTTTCAAAAAATGAGGAGATACTAAGTGAAAGTGTATATTTTTTGTGTAAGCTTCATGATATCTCAGCCTAACCATAATCCAATATTCAAGTCTCTCTTAAACATATACATCATTTTCATAATTTTTTAAATAAAAAATCCACACCATTAGGGGACACAATTTAATTTAAAAAGTAATTAATCAAGTTAAGCTTTACATAATATGGATTTACCTTATCGACGGTGAGAGGCAGCGTGGGCGCTTCGGGCTGCTTGGGCTTGTCGGGGTCGTCGCTGAGCGCGCGCGGCCGCCCCGCCCGCGCCGCGCCCTGGCTCCTGCAATATATTACTTACTGAAATAATCTGCCTTCTACACATAGTATAAAACTAGCGACCCTCGCTTCACTCGGGTTCGTCCCTAGGTACGTTTTAATTTTTTTGAGTGAAACCCTAATTCTTTTGCTAAAATAAAAGTAGCCTATGTTACTCCCTAAAACATCAGCTATCTCCCAGTGAGAATCTGTCTGTGAAAATCCCGTCAAAATCTGTCCAACCGTTTCAGAGATTATCCAGAACAAGCAGACAGACAGACAGTCAAAAATTAAAAAAAATGTGTTTTTCTTATAACTACCATATATAATTTTATATGCATTTAGTAAAACGCTGTTACTTTGATATTACAAACAGATACTTCAATTTTATTTATCTGTATAGATAAAATCGCTGTCTTTGTCCGTCTGTTTTTCCGCTTACGTCTTCTAAGCCACGCAACGGATTTTGATACGGTTTTCACTAATAGAAAGAGCGATAAGCGAGGAAGGTTTATGTTATGTCGCAGGGAAATTGTAGAAACCATTAAATTATAATTTCTCTAATGAAATTACCCAGAGTTCAGTCAATTGTTTCCTTTTCTTACAATATCACGGGACAATTTTAGGTACATATATTATAATTTCACTACTTAAATTATGATATCGCTAGTGAAATTATAATTTCACGGATTTTACAATTTACCTGCGACATATATAATTTGTAAATGTTTTGTAACAAAATGGCTGTGCCTAGAGGTTGTTTTGTCAAAAAACTGTTTTTGTACGATTACATAGTCCCCGCTTTATAAGTGTGCAAAAAATGGAAAATTTTAATTATTTCACGTATACAAGTATGTTTCAAAAAAAAATTTCTAACTGTAGTAAAAGAATAAGATATGAAACTACCCAAACCTCAATAATTTTACTCAACATAAATATGATTTGCTACAAACATGCACATGCTTGATGCTTCTTACTATTAGTATCATTACTAGGTAATTAGCACTCGTTGCATTAACAACGCATCTCATTCATAATGTATCTTCTTCATAATACTAAAACTTACTTGTCGTCGACGGGATCGGGCGCGCGGGGGGGCGGAGCAGCGGGCGCGGAATGCGGTGGATGCGCTACAGGCGGGGGGTGCTGGGGGTGCTGGGGGTGCGGGGGGTGCTGGGGGTGGGGGGACAGCGCGTCGGCGGCGGAGGCGATGTTGAGGTTGCGCGGCACGCTGCGGCCGCTGAGCACGCGGTCGCGGTCGCGGTCGGCGCGCGCGGCGTCGGGGCGGTGGAAGGAGCGCCGCACCTCGCCCTGCAGGGAGCGGTCGGCGCGCGTGAACCCCATCGCCTCGAGCGTGGACGTGTCCACCGCCGTGGAGATGCGCGGGATGGTGCGGTGGCTGTAATGGCGTGTTGCAGCGTGTAGCGTGTGGACAAATCCATGTTTCATATGTTGTCACGTGTTAGTGATATTTCAAAAGTTCTCACATTATATAGATCAACGATAACCAAATGTTATTTATAACGAAAGCTTTAGTTAGAAACCACCAATTATTTATGTTACAAATTTATTCTAAAGCGTTATTTTGAGGTAATGTTATTTATTTATACAAATGCATTATAAATTAATATATATTATTAAATATTAACAAGTAAATTTTACGTAAAAATAACAACATTTATATTCTGCGTAGCGCCATACATCAGGGCTGCCAGATCGTATAATTGGATACGAAAATTGTAAAATATTGTTATTTTATAAATATTTCATTTTAAGTTAATACGTATTTTTATTGAATTTTTTTATTCATCACAGAGTATTTCTTAACAGTTTTGTTAATTTGTATAATAAAATTTGATTTGGTATAATTTGAGTGACCTAGCAGTATAAAATAAGTTGTCTCTATTGGCAGCCCTGCCGTACATGCATTGTATGTAAGAATTACGATGTGTGTGTGTGTGCACTCACAGCGCGGTGTGCGTGGCGTAGAAGCCGGGCACGTTGTGCGGGCGCTCGTGGTCGTCGCGCGGCACGCTGAGGCGCGCGCTGATGGCGCCCAGCGAGCCCGTGAGCCGCGCGCCGCCGCCCACTGACACACCGCACTCTCATTACACGTGTACGGTGCAAGTTACAACCGTAGCATATTACAATTCAGCATTTTACTAGTCACGCGTAATTCATTATTAGTGTATCCAGCTCATTATAAGCGTTATCCAGCGTAGTAGACTGTGGCTCAATCCCCCACGCAATTATTACGTCAAAAAATTTCAATTTAATTTAACTACAAAACACGTGATGATTTAATAATTTAAATAAATCGTTAATTGTGTTTTATGTTTTGAAAAACATCCAAGTTCAATGGCACATGCCGATGATAATGATTGTATTGTAATGCATTATTTAATAAGTGTAAATATTTTAATGTTAATATTAAAGTTAACGAAATGTTTGTTTTAGTTAGATCAGCTCTTTTTTTTTATTTAATACGAAATTATTATAATGAAAGAGTTTTACCATGATAATAATTAATTTATATAGGATGGAAAACTAACTGTTCTGAGCCAAAGGGTGGGGGATGATCGCGGCGTCGGGCGCGTGCACGGGCTGCAGCAGCGGCGCGTTGTAGCAGTTCTGCGTGTTCGCGATCTAAAACAAAAATAAATAAATAAAACTCGGGTGTGCGTGAGTTCATTATTCTTTTTCTCCAAAAGGGCTGATTTTGGTATATTTTTGTGTACTCATAAGGTCGCATTTATACATAGGGTAGGGACATCAGTAGAGTCCGCTAGTACATCTTTATATATATAATTCTTCTGTGAGTGTGTATGTCACTGAACTTCTCTTAAACGACTGGACCGATTTTGATGAAATTTTTTGTGTGTGTTCAAGGGGATCTGGGAATGGTTTAGATTCACAATTGTACACGGTAGGTGGCGCTGCTGTCGGTGTGACAAAGGGTTTGTTTTTTTTAGTAGTTTGATCGCGGGCGAAGCCGCGGGTACAGCTAGTGAATATATAAAATAGCCTCAGTATTCACTCTGTATTCCGAACTCCTTCAAAAGTTGTATTGTTACAGCATGAAAATATAACAAACACATACATTTTCACTCAGTTACTTTCCATTTTATTATTATGACTAGCGAGTAGCGACTCACCATCGCGCCGTCCGTGTTCGTCCCTAGTTACGTTTTAACGTTAAGTATAGATTTCTCAAATATGAGATATTTTCCCGCAGTAAAAAGTATCCTACATGTTGACCCCGGATAACCAACTATCATTAAACCAAATTTCATTAAAATCTGTCCAGTGGTTTTCTCGTGAAGCGGTCACAGACAGATAGACAGACAGACAAGAGAGACAAGAATTCTAAAAACTATAGATTCGGCCTCTGTGTTGATAATTATGACTATTTCAATAATTTTTTCCAAAAAATATTTAATGTACAGATTCGAATGAGTATTAGGTACATGCAATGACGCATGTAATGCCACGCACCTGTGCAATAGGGCGCGGGATGTTGACGTACGCGTGCGACGCGCACAGCTCGTCGCGCGCGTCCGCCGCCGGGTACGAGCGGTGGAACGACGTCTCGTTTGTTACTCTGGAATACATAAACACAATACTTACTTAGATTTATGTGAATATATGATTTATAATAAAACAAAGTTTTCGGATTCTTTCGCGATTTTATTTTGATTTTTAATTATCTATATAGCGGTTTTCAATTTTTTTTTAGCTAGTCAATTAGCAATCCGTACCCTAACTGATTATATTTTTTTAACAGATTATTTTGATATATAATTACTAAACTGATTGTGTTGTAGTTAGAATACTTTCTTGTTTGACTTGAAAGAACAAATCTCACTAAAATTAAGCTTCATGCCTAACAACATTTTATTTAACTCTCGGTAGGAACTTAAGTTGATTTATTTTTTTGTTATAAAAATTAACTAAATCGATATTTATATTAAAATAAAACCATAAATTAAACAAGAAATAATTAACAAAGTAAAAAAAAAATTGGCCGTCACGGGACGCCCGGCAGATGTGAAATATTTATATGAATATTAGAATTCATAATTAATAAAAAAAACTATAACTAAATATGGAGTAAAATAAAGAAATAATAGATTTTCAAATAATCAAATAGAGGTTGGAGTAAAATGGAGGTAACTAAAAATAGAGGTTGACAAACAGAGGTGTATTTTTTTGTCTCTATATACATAGATTACTTTCACAATTTTTTTTTATTACAATTAATCCTTTATAAGAGCGTGTAGAGGTTGCAGTTTATTTTATTAAAATCTGTATTCGTAATAGAGAAATTAAAAAAGATTAAATCATTAAGTTTATATTATAAGTATGTAGGAGTATGTATATGTTCTAAAATTCCTTTTCCATTACAAAGAAAATGTATACGAAATGTATTCGTGTAATGTATAGGAGTGTCGTAAACTAATGCTAGTACTTCGACGTTAATTTGCAACTATGTATTTCATAAATAGAATAGAAGATAATATGTAAGTATTTTAGAGACTGATTTACAATGGAGCGTGTATAGTATACGCGTGCGCGCACACAAGGGAGTCGAGAACGGTGGCGTAGAACAGACATGATCGCATGACAGTTCATACCCGTCACGACATATTTTCCGTAAAAACACGAGACGGTTTCACTGCTAAGGCGCGCCTATAGGTGTTTCACATTAAAAATACGTAATATGGAAAGTAAATATAATATGGATTACAAATGAAAAAATGTAATATGTATTTAATTTAATGATTCTACTAATGCTTTTGTAACAAGACAAAATAACTCTTCAATTCAATTTTCTTGTTAATAGCTTCAAAGCGTGCCAGTTGAGAATAGAACTTTTTAAAAAAATCTTTCATTAAAAATTAACCAACCGTCCAAGTGCTGACCATTACTATTCATAACACAACATAGTAGCTATTCTGCATACAAATTAAATCGATTCCAATCATTATCATCTACAATGGACAGGATCGAATACTAAGATCTTAACATTATATGTTTTGTAAAAGCTTTAAAGCATTGAATCTCACCGCATAGGTTCAGATCGACATTGCGCCATTGCTTCTTCATAAGGCGGGGGAGCTTCGCCCCTCGGGAGGTAGTTAGACGGTGGTTTCCATGCCCCCATAGGAGCAGTCTCGCAACTCCCTCCCATGTACCCCATACTTCCACTTATATATCTGCAAACAACATTAATTCAATCAGAAATACTTACGTAAAAACTTAAATTTAAATTTCCAGTCATAACAATTTAAAATATTTTATTTCTTTTGTGGACCGGAAATAACAAATATAACCTGTTTGGCAACGATTTCAAAAATTTGTAAACAATTTAATAACTTGTTTTTTTGTTTTGTTATTGAATAATGAGCATGAGAAGTGGAACAAAAATTGTCAATAACAATAAAAATCAAGATTAGTATTTCATTTGAACTAAAATCGTACATGTTTAGGATAGGTAAAAGCAAATATTTTTACGGTTCTTGGTAGAACAAAACCCCATAGGAATCAATAACATGTCTACATCTTACCCAATGCTTGTCAAACTCCGTTGATCTTCCGTGTGAGGCGGTCTACGTCGTTTCTGCTTTCTAACTCTATATACAACAAGAGCTACAGTCAACAGCACTACGGCCGCCGCCCCACCGGCCGCGACACGGACATTGGCTTCAGCGCCTTCTGCCGGCTTCACGACATCATCAAGACAGATAAACTCACAACACGTGTTACCCACGCGGAATGATCGGCAGTCCTGGAACGTTAAAACTATTATACAACTACATTTTGAATTTTTTGAGCGGAACTCTAATTCTTTCACTGAAATAAAAGTAGCCTAAGTTACTCCTTATAACATCAACTACCTGCCAGTGAAGTCCCGTCAAAATTGGCCTAGCCGTTTTGTAGATTAGCCGGAATAAACAGACAGAGACAAAAACTTAAAAAAATATGTTTTTCTTATAAATACCGTATATAATTCCATATGCATTTAATAAAAAACTGTTATTTTGACATTACAAACAGACACTTCAATTTTATTTATCTGTATTGATGTATATATAGTCGCTGGACTGATGTAACTGCTTCGTTGGTCTAGCGGCAAGCATGTACACCGCTAGTAAGCGGTTGCAAATCTGGAAGTCGAATCACGGATCGTACCAGGGTTAGTTATTTAGGCTTTCTGTTAAGGAATTCTCAGTAATAGCCTGAAGATGGAAAGGTAAGAATAAAATGGCGGGGTTGGTGCAACAACTTGTGCAATATAATATCCTCTGCACAGTATCGCTAGTATCAGTGGGATTGCCCTCCGTGGCTAAAATGTGGTGTGAGTTTATCTGCCCTTCTGCACCAAAGTGGGTCCGATTACTCAGCACGCGACTAGTGAAAGGCCATATGGGACTTTACGAATAATATAACCCTGTTATATTTAATTACACTAAATAAAAATATCACGACAAATGACTTTTAATCAATTCCCCATACAAACTTTCATCCCCATTTTCACCCCCTTAAGTGATGATTTCTGGGATAAAAAGTATCCTATGTTCTTCCCAAGGTCTCAAACTATCTTGTTACCAAATTTCATCTAAATCGGTTCAGTAGATCCAGAGATTACCCCCTACAACGTCCCAAACTCACAATTCACAAACTTTACCTCTTTATAATATTAGTATAGATATTTAGTTGTTATTGTCACGCACCATAAGGTGCGTAACAACTAAATATAAATTAAATAAGCGGGCGGAGCCGTTTGCAAAAGATATTTAAAATCATAATACATAGCTCCAAAAATATTAAAGAAAATATAAAAAACCTGCCACCATCACGTGAGTCCAGTTGCGAGTTGGATTCATGTTGGCCAATTTTTTACTTGAAATTGATTCAGAATATAAGCCCTTTTACAAATGATAGACTTAAGATAACTACCATATTATATTACTGACCTCTCTGCTAGGAAACTCAGAAAATACATCTTTTATATTATGAAAACCTTGAACTAAATATATCTTTGTGAATTTAAAAAATATTTTAGTTATACGTTACGTTACGTAAAAATCCTTATTTATTTTTAAATGTTAAAAATATTAGTTAATAATTGGCAAATTGTAGTTAAGTTAACAAATGGCAATTGCAGCAAATGAAAATATATTACTATTGTTTTTTACTTGTTTACTAGAAAAAAAAATTAATATGTTAATTATAACATAAATAAAATTATAATATAATTGTTAAATATTGTATGAAATTACCCTTAGTGTACAGTCACTTCCGCACGCAAACTAGAACTTTTCCGCATTGAGAAATCTTAAATTATGAAATAAAAAAAAACTTGCCTGAGGGGGAGAGCATAATACCGCCTTGCACACTTTAGGAACGCCATTGTCACAGATGCATAACGTGCAAGTATCTGGGCCGGGCACATAGTGTAATCCACTAGAAATAATTCTGCCTCGTAAATCCGTACACTCTCCTTGGGCCGCTACACCTATAAGACCGAGGCAACATCACGTTTATTGTGATCACTCAATAGCAGATAAGATATTTTATTAAAGTACCAGAACAATTCCCTAAAGAACTTACTATAAAAGTGTAAGGTCGTCAGGCACAACACGGCTTTATTAAACATTTTATTTGGCTATTTGCACAAATTGAACTTCAATTTAAGTCCACATTTTTAAAGCTATAGGACTTTTGTCCTATATATTTTAAATCGATAGTCGTTCGCTGACCGTGGGAAATCTTTACAAAAGATAGGGACAGACAGAAAATTGATCATGCGTCTTAAGCCAAAGCGGTATTACTACGTACTAAAGTCTAAACCTATAGGTACGTTTATAGTTTTACTTCTCAACAACAGATGGCGCTCAATCAAAACTTTTAAATTAATCCTTTAAATATAGGTAGATAGTCAACAAAATTAAAAACAGCACGTAATATTATCTACACTTTCTTTCAAGGCCAAGATTTCATTATTTTGCCTTTTACACCTGATGATCTTCGTTTTGTTTAGGTTACATGCGTCTCTAATATGTCAACATTACAAATCGTTTGACGACTGACGTATTTGGTACGCGTTCTGTCACGGGTCACTCACAGAAGTTAGAACCATGGATGACAAATAAAAGTTAGAATTTACAATATCTATGGAGTGAGAACCCTATCCCTAACTTGTATCCAAAAATTAACGTTATACCTTGAATATAATTTACGCTACTCTTTAAGTTGATTACCTATAAATTGTATTACTCTTTAGATTTATTATAAGTCAGTTAATTTAAGAAAATACATAATATAATGAACCATATATACATTAACATTATTAATTAACCAAGTGAACCCATACAAAATGTAAATGAGTAATATAAACAAATTAAATAAAAGCAAAACACCTCGTCTAAAGTAGAAATCTGCAACGATGGCAAGACCCAGAGACTCGTATTTCGAACAAGATCAGCATAGCAATTCAATAAGGAAAAAAAGTATAATAAGCGTTTAATTATTTCTTCTGAATTCTATAGCTTTTGATGCTATTGTTAGAAGAATACCTAATTCAATCCTCAAAAATGTTCTACAAAATCAGAAGTAATTATTAGAATACTAATTTTGGTTCGTAGTAGCATTAATGTAAAACAAGCTTTAAAATATTATTACTACGTCCTGAGTCGATAAAAACGATTCAAAATGATAGGTATAGAAAGAAAATCGCATCGCACTGGGTTATTTGATTAATTACTCTACATTAGAATATAATCTGTGAGGCACATTATTCTATTAGTTCTACATCAGTATATATCTATACTCTTTGGTTCTACATGAAGCGCCCTCTACGGCCTAACGTCACATTGTCAAGCGTAAAAAAAAACAAAACACAGTAAAATCGATCGATTCCTGACGCGAGAGTGACATATTGTTTACTTTACAAAAACAAAAAACAATTTGAAAAAAATGTCTACAATATTTTAGCTTCAATTTTAAAATTCTTTTGTATCAAAACGTTTCCTTTTTTAATTGAAATTTTACATTATTTATATTTCGTCGGTCAGTGCATATTTGTGTGGTATTAAATTTTTACGTCGCAAGTTGGAAATCGGTAGCCTCTAATATTTTTATTTTATAGATAGATGACTTTGGCAATGGACGGTCCAGCAATTGAACATAGCGACTCTGATTCTGGTGATAGTTGGACTTTGCTTGAAAATTCTGCGTACGCAGATGATACGCCAGATATATCTGAACTACCAGGTGAAAGGTAAATATTTTTTATTATTGATTTGTAGGAACCATATTGCATAACTTAAATAATTACTTTGAATACAAACACTAATGACTTTGTAACTAGTTTGTTTCGTTCCTTCATGTAATTTATGAAATTTTAATTAAAATTGTAATTAGTAAATTATAAATTAATTAAATATTTGCATAATGGTAAAGAACAATAACTGACATTAACTATGGCGAAGTTTGCCTCATAAAGGAAATGAGTAATTTGGCAGAAAGCCAAATTTAGTTTATTATTGTTTATTTTGTCACTAAACAAACATTATGGTACAGTATATCAAACTATAGATATTTATCTAGTGTAATATGTCTACTAAATTTTAGATTCTAAAGTTTATCCTACCAAATATTAAATTTATAATGAATTATTATTTTATTTATACTGAAGAAAAGAATAAATTTTGAACTTTCAATAATTATTTTTTCAATAACTGTCTACATACTGATGAACAAATGAATTTTGTTTTAATTTACTTATAAGTAAACATATATTTTAGTCAATATCAACCTAAGTAAATCTGCCTTATCTATATATGTAATAAAATTGTAACTAAGCCGAATATGTACATTAAATATTTTTTGGAAAATCTTATTGAAATATACATTATTATCGATACAGAGGTCGAATCTATAGATTTTAAAATTTTCGTCTGTCTGTCTGTTACAGCATCACAGAAAAAACCACTGAAAGGATTTTGATGAAATTTAGTATGGTGATAGCTGGTTATCTGGGTCAACATATAGGATACTTTTTACCACGGGAAAATGTCTCATTTTCCCGTGTAGTCTGCCATAGTTTTATTTTTTTTAGATTCCTCGTATCTGGGTGTATCCGAAAATACCCCATGTATGTTCGGTGGTTTTTCGTAGTTTAGAAGTTATGATTTTTTTAATGATATTTTTTATTTATTTTTTATGATGAGATTTGATTTTTTAATTTGCTCCAGTAGAAAATTAACAAATACACATTAAAAAAATCATAACTTCTAAATTACGAAATATCGACGAATATACATGGGGTATTTTCAGATACACTCAGATGTAAGGAGTATAAATGAGAGCTAGAGCCAAACGTGTCGTCAAAATAAATCTAACAATATTTTTTGTTTTAGTCCTACTATAGAACACCATGAAAAAGATGAAGACACAGATGGCATATCTATTATCAGCGATAGTGAACCTGATTCACCATCACCTTGTCAAATGATTTATGAAACTCTAGAAGAGAACCGTCCACCCGAACATGAAACTGCCGAATATATATCAGTTGATCCACAGCTAACTAAAATGCAGAATGACCATGAATCTATTAAGGAAGAAGATGATCTACTTGATGATAGTAGAAGAAAAAACAAAACATATGTACACAGGCGAAACAAAAGATTGAGCACAGTACTTAATATTGTAGTATTGGCAAGTGTGATTACGGCTGCAGGTGTTGCTATTGGTCATATGTGGGGTGCAAAAACGGATTGTACTCTGCAGAATACACCAGGTATTAATAAAATTTTGTCCAGGTTGTATCGGTTGCAAGAAGAAAATGCATATCTAAGAAATAAGTTAAAGGAGATTACAGCATTAAATAATCATCAGGCCAATAATAAGGTACCATTAAAGCAAAACAAGTGTAGGAAAGTATTTGAAGAGTCATTACAGAATGATAACACTAAGAAGCTTACAACTTGTGTGGATGATAGAATTGATAATGATAACCGATTACTAAAAAGCCACATGATTCAAGTTCCATATGAAAAAGATTTTGTACAAGATATTGGAAAATTGAAAAATATTAATGTACAAAATAAAAGTTGGATAAATGAGAAAACTGTTAAGAAACTCAAACAAGTTTATGAACATCTCGAAAATATGAACAATTCACCCAATGCATATAATGAAAATGATACAAAACATAAATTTACAATTAAAATGCTTCCTGAAATCTTAGAACAGTCTGATAATGAAAAACCAGAAGATCATACTGAAAGCAGAATAAGTTATGCAGATTCATTAAAATACTCTGGTATTGTGAAAAATAATAATAACAATAGAATTTCTGATAAATATGATATTTCATTTGACAATCATAAAAACGAATTCAAAAGAGAAAATGATAGAAATACTCAGAGGGATGCCAAAGAAAGTGACAATATGCAATATCATAAAAAAATCAGTAAGAGGGACAGTGATAAAATGTATGAAAATAAAATAGATTACAACAAAAAAGCAAACCCAAGAGGCGAATTCGATGAAGATATTGATTTTTATAATGAGAACAATGAAGACCGAAAATTTAACAAAATAGATGATGCTAAAATACTAGATGAGAAAATTGATTATAAAAACATTTATCAAAAGGAACGAGTAGTCAATTCTTTAGGGAAAATGGAGAAACTAGACAAGAGATTTAATAAAAGAGACAGTGATAAAATATTTGAAGCTAAACTCAATAATCGCAATATAAACCCAAGAGGCGAATTCGATGAAGATATTGATTTTTATAATGAGAACAATGAAGACCGAAAATTCAACAAAATAGATGATGATAAAATAGTAGATGAGAAAATTGATTATAAAAACATTTATCAAAAAGAACGAGTAGTCAATTCTTTAGGGAAAATGGAGAAACTAGACAAGAGATTTAATAAAAGAGACAGTGATAAAATATTTGAAGCTAAACTCAATAATCAGAATATAAATCCAAGAGGTGAATTTGATGATGATATTGATTTTCCATCTATCGATGATGGCAAATTGGATGAAAAATTTAATGAAAATGATCATAATAATTTTATTTCAAAAAGTAATATAAATAAAAAACAAATTCTGAAAGACTATCGAGGAGATGATGATTTACATTTCGATAAAGATAATGAAGAGAATAAAAAATTCAACAAAAAAGATTATATGAAGGTGTTTGCAATAAAAGAAGCAATTGACAAAAAATTTGAAAGAAATTACTATGGGGACACTGATTCGTTATTTGATGATTTTATGAAGAAAGATAACAGATACACCGGCCCCAAACACAAACAAGAGAGAAAGAAGTATGATCGTCAAAAGTTACATAAGAAAGATAAGAAGAGAAATAAATATGAACAGTGGGAGATGAAAGGTGGATTAATGAAGGATTATGACGACATTTCTTTGGCCTCTACTCAAGATAACGTTGTAAAAGAACAAAATTTAAGAGGAGACACTGGTGAACGTTTAAATTACCGTTCTAATAACAAAATCGATAGTTCCACAGCCACTTTAGATGTAGATTACGTGGACAACAAATCTGCTGGACACCATCTGAAGAATAACCAAAATGACAAAATGGTACCGGAACTGAACTGGGTCGATCGACGAGCTGTTATACGTAAAGAAGCAAGAAAACGCATTGAAAAGGAGTTATTCGATGATAACCCCACTACTGCTGGTTGGTATTTTAAACGCATGCGCAAAAGAGAGCAATGCCGCGCCAAAGGCGATAACAGCACATATCGGAAATTATCAAAACAATTTAAAAATTATAAAACAAAAACTTAAATACTAGCATATTATGATATTCAATAACATCTTTGTATTATTAAAATTTTAAGATTATCAATATCCATGCTTTCTTTAAGCATTTAAAATATTAAAGAAATTAGTTTGTAAATTAACTGGTAGCTTATTATTATCAAAGATAATTATTATAATATAGTATTGATAAGGAACTGTTACATTTCTTGACAAATTAACATAAAAACTTGATTTGCTGTGATTTTATTTAGGTTTATTGAATTATTTTGTATTACTTTTATCTTCAAAACCCTTTTTATCTTATGTATTTCCTTTCAATTATATTTTAAATATATTTTTTTATGAATCTTGACATTAATTTGCTATTTACTTATAAATTAAAATTTGAATGAATGAAAAGGAAATTGTGTAATAACTAATATAACATTATGGAATAAATTGTTACCAAATAAGACTAAATAAAACAGTATAGTTTGTGGAAGTAGTTTATTCATACTTCTTAGTATCTCTTGACACTTGCCCTTATGGATTATTTTATCCAGTGATATATAATTTACTTCAAGTATACTAAATTTGTAAGTATTAAACAATAAATTTATGAATAATAATTAATGTTTTATTCATCCTAAAAAACCATTAAGATACATAGAAAGGTACTAGTTTTAATATTAATCATCCGCGATAGCTCCGCTGAAGACTAAATTAATAGCTGCATTCACATCACCTGGAAAATAAAATAATTTTAACATTTTTTATTAATCTGATAATTTAAAAGAATAAGGTGGTAAAATCAAAACATTTACAGAAAAATTTGTTTACGGATGAGATTTTTTTTACAATTGAGCAATATTTTAACAAACAAAATGACCGTATTTATGATTAAAGCTCTAAGGAAGCTTCCCAATTAGTCAACAGAGTACAACGTGGGCATTATCCGACTGCAGTGATGCTTTGGTGGGGTGTTAGCCATGAAGGAGAGACTGCGCCATATTTTTGTAAAAAAAGGTATCAAAACATCGGCACAAGTGCATCAAGATACCATTCTGGATAAGGTGGTTAAGCCGCTTAACACCATGTTCAATAACCAAGAATGGTCCTTTCAGCAAGACTCGGCGCCGCACTATGGGAAAAATCGCGTATGTTTCGTCTCAAAACTCCGTATCTCAGTTGTTTCAAAACTAAATGAGCTGTAATTTTGCACACATATACTTGTATGTACAAAGTTTAATGGAAACAATTTTGATTTTGAAAATTCTGTTTATTAATTAATTTAAGAAATAAAACTTAAAAAAATACATGCATTCATATCATATTCATTCATTCATATTGAAAAATAAACAAAATTTGTCTTTTTTTTTTGTAATTTACATAAAATGGAATAATAGTAACAAACGAGAAAAAAAATATGTACAAAATTCAGGAAGCTCCTACAGATTTTCGTTGATAGGAAGAAGGGCCTTGGCTTCATCTAAAAGTTCTTTCGATATTGTTTCTGAGGTGTTTCTCAAACTTGATATGTATGGATCAGAAGTGTACAATAAGGTATGGAACACGTCTTCATTGGTAGCCACTCTTGAACACTTTCTAGAATGATGAAGTCTAAACCTTTTGTAATCCTTATTTCGGGATTCTTGCGCGTCTTCGGACAATTGTCCGATAGGTTAAATAGCATAGTACTCAATGATTTTTTCTCCGTGAATAAGTATTTTATGCACGGACGAAGGCATATAATACCATTTATAAATATTTACGTACAGTTGGGCTGTACTATATGCGTATTCACTGAACTTTTTTTAATTAATAGCCATTCCAGATGACATAGTTTGTAGTATTATGTACTTTCGTTTTATAAATTCTACGTCTACACCTGTAATGTCTGCAGAGCAAGAGTAATTCTGAAAAAATCTCCGAGCTGTGTTTCCGTCATTACTATTTCCAGTGCCTTGTCGAGGTTTATCGACATGTAGTCCCATTTCCTCCCTAAACCGCTTTTGTACCAGTTTTTACTTTTCGTCTTTGTTTTTTTTTATTTTCAGGTATAGTAGCTGACCACTTTTCAAAAGACAAGTTATAAGAAATGTGTAAGATCATCTCCATACTCCTTATACAAGCATGTAGTGTTGACAGTCCGTATTGAAATGAACTTTCGATCACATCTCGTGTCCTAACTGCCTCTAAGTTATTCATTTGCCGAGGAGTAGCACCACAAACTGTACAAGAAGCGCTCGAACGAGTCTCAGTTAAAACTTGTGCCACTTTACCATCAATCATGGTTAAAAATAGGTCATGAGTCATTTCGATTACCTCACCATTCTTATTTATCAGGGAGAGAGACAGATTTTGTTTTTGATTGTTGATATCAGCCACAACAGACGCGGTTTTTTCAGGATTTCTTTGGCAAATTCTAACAATATAGGTCTGCAATATCTTACAGATAAGCAAGTTTCATTCTTCCAAACAACAGTATTAGTTGTCTCATCTATGAGTCTAATGGGTACAAGTGGAGCAATAAAAAAGTTTGCATCTGATATTAAATCGCTTTCTTCGGGCAAAACTTGCTTGTATTCACTCTATCCTGTTGACCCGTCACAACCCATTTTACAGAATAGTTTCAACTTTCTTAAACAGTTTTTGTAAACTGAATCAATTAGTAATATACGTGCCACAGTATGATCCAACAAGTCCTGCAGATTGACTTTTGCACTTATGTTAGTAATGGTTATGCTCGAATCTAGTGGGTAGCACATCTTCTTCGCTTCGACTAAAGTTGGATAAGAAGGAAACACTGAGCAGATTTTGTCTGCCAAACAAAGTCGAAGTTTCCCATACTGTTCTTTGTTAAGATCTAAGTCAATAAAGGTCCGTAGTGCTTCCTCCTTTGAAAAAGGTTTAACGTCTTTAAGATTTTTTTTCTTATCATTTTTTGATGCAGTTCGTATAATATTAACGATTGTGGCATGCTCCGTCTCACCCATAGACCGTAACTCCTGAGCATATGCATTGAGCACACAGTCCAATCCGTACTCTTGTATTAATTCCATGTTTTTTCGTTTCTTTGTTTTTTCTGAAGATGCTTCGTATGGTTTCGAAGGTCTGCCACCACTACTTCCAGACGTATTAGGGTCATTAAGGTTGACTCGACACTCTAGTGGAACACGAAATTGACCATCTAACCAATTGACGTTCTTACTTTCAAAGCGTTCTTTTATCCGAGATGCATTTCTCCAGCGTTCGTTACATTTAGATACCAAGTTTCGTTGAATGTAAGAGACCACAGTAGCCTCTGGTGACAAATTGAAATTTTCTTGTAAGTAGTCTTCTATATTATTCCCATTTATCAAAAAATTACACAACTCTCGCTTGCTACAAAAAAAATAACCCATTTTTCAAATCAGTTAACTTTTGGGAATATTTGAAAATAGGTATTAACTGCTTTTTAGGGCAACTGACTGTCTGACCAACAACTGTGAATTTTTTAGGGCTCGCCTTCCTTTTATAGGCCAATGAAATAGTGCTATGTGCAAAAAGATAAGAAAATAATAAATTTTCACTTATTACAAATGCACTCTTCCCATAACTAACCTGTTTTTAATTCGACCCTAATAGATAAGTGACCATATTTTATCAAGTAAGGTGGTCAAAACTGTATCAAAACCAGAAAAAACTATTAATAATACTCATCACTGTAATGAACTTTTTATCAATTTGACCTTAACAGATAACAAATGATTTTATGAGAAATAAAAAGAAATTGAAAAAAATAATGATTTTTACCTTGCGATATGTTTTGACACCGTGTCAAAAAAAGTGCAAATATGTGCAATATTTTTTTCTCCTTGCGTTAGCTTATGTATAAAGATCTTAATACAACAAATATCTCGACAGCGGCAAGCAGCGGTAATGGGTAAACGTCTAGTTAAAAAAAATTTACCCGAAAAACATACCATATTAAACTATATTGGTTAATTTTATTTTATCAAACTAATATATATAATACTAATTACGAAACGTTAAGACGAGATTATAAGGATTTAAAAAATGTATAATACTTATACATTTATATCAAAAACTTTCGAGTAATATGGCGTTGAATTGTAGTAACGCATTGCGTCAATATTACGTTATTGAACATGAGTTAGCTTTGAAGCCTATTTATATACATTATAACAAAAAAAAATAGGATAAAGAAAGCTTATTTATTAGAATATATTAATTTATTATTTTTATTCCATAACAACGACTTTCTCATGAAACGGTTTTGAGACGGCTTTGTATGGGGCTTTCCCATAGTGCGCCGGGTCATAATCGGGGCTTGATCCACGCAATCTTGGTTAGAAACCCACGTTTCGGACTTCATCAGAGCTGAAGCCTAGCCGTCATCTAGTCACGATATTAATCCGCTGTTTTATGATTTATGGTCAGTTTTAGAGAGTATGGCTTGCTCTAAATGCCATGATAATTTGGTGTCCCTACAACAATCCATACCATTGGCAGTGAAGAATTTTCCCATGGAAAGAGTGCGTGCTTCTAATGATAACCGGTCTCATCGTTTAAAGGACTGTATTGCAGCAAATGGAGACCACTACGAATTAAAGCTTTATATAATTTTAATGCTTTTATATTAATGTATTTAACTAACACACTGTAATAGTACCTAATAAATGTTACGTGTAATAGCAAAAATGTTTTCTTCTTTGTAAAAATATTTAGGGCAAGACTATGTATCCCCCCCAACGTGCGTTCACCTTGTCGTGGTGGGGGGGTTTAGTTGTGCCCGGCAACCAACCGGGCGCGAAGTCAAGAAACGCACAGGGAGGTGGCCCACTTCGGTGGGCTGTGGGAGGCGGCCCTCTTAGGAGGGCGGTGTACCACGCGGGTTGCTCCTGGTACTTCTCTCATAGCAGAGAGGACCTTGGAGCAACCCCATGGTTGTTGTGGTCTGCTTCGGCAGACCTGCCGTCGGGGCGTCGTAGTTGAATGCGTAAGCGATCCTGCGACGCCCCATTAAGAAGGGGAAGGCTTTGTTGGGTTTTAGTGGGTAGTACTGGCTTTGCCGGTGAGTCCCACACCTCGTGCGTAAATGCATTTCCCAACGTTAAAAAAAAAAAGACTATGTATATATACATACAGGTTGTCTTAGAAAGTAGGAGTCAAGTGGAATTCCAAAGATAGAGCACTCCTTGGGGTATCCGAATCCCCCATATATATTACGCGATTGTTCATAGTTTTTGAATTATGATTCTTTTTCAAAATGAACAGCTTACATGACAGACTATATAGTCCATGTATTCCATACTAACCCTCATAAGGTATCCAGGTACAAACCCAACCGAAGCAAGGGTGAATCGCTTGTTAATAATAAATAAGTAAAAAGTTAAATAATATTGTTATTACTATTACCTGCACATATGTGTAGCGCTCGCACGTTGAGCGCGTCGTCCATTAAGCCCATTTCATGCATGCGTTGCAATTGCGTGAGAAAATCTTCGTCTCTCGTTACGGGGCTTTGAGAGGACGAGGCTGGAGTAATAAAACAGCTTTTAGATCCTATAGGCTTGTTGACATAAATTCGTTGGCTTACTAAATAAGGTTCTGTTTATTTTAATGAAGTTTAGTAATTTTTACATAGAACTTCGTTATTTTGTTATCGTAAAAAAATAGAACTATGTAAAATTGAATATTTTGTTGTTAAAGTGCCGCTATTTAGTGGTTTGTTTTTGCAAAACTGTAGCTAATGACACATAGAACCTTGTAGCATTAATAACTAAATAAGTACTAAAATTGTAACATAAAACCTTGTAATAGTGAGCCAACGATATGTATATACGATGCCGTAAGGTTGATGTTTCTGATTGGAACTCCTAAGCTACTATATAGCATACTTTTTGAAGTCCTTTAAATAAGCGTAATCATTAACATTTTAGGCAAAATATGTCTATCTGTCTGTGACCGCATCACAAGAAAACCACAGGATAGAATTTAATGAAATTTGGTATAATGTTAGCTAACCAGCTATTATAACCGGCGGATAACCATCCGGGGCAACATATAGGATACTTTTAACTGCGGGAAAACACATTATCTCTGAGAAATCTATACTAAACGTTGATATTCTTAAAAAAACAGCTGTTCTAAAAAAAAAACATTATAGGCAGCTGTTTTTTGTTTATGTACCTAAAAATATTTATTATGAACTTCATTAAGGTTATCATTGTTATCTTACAATCAACACTGTTTCAAGATCCGTACCAAATTGATAAAGTTGTTTACGTTTTTCTTTATTATAATATTTATTCGAATACAAGCCTGCACCTACATACAGGTCGACCTGTGAATAAACTCACAAAAACCTCTGTTTGGAGTAAATATGTATGTATTATAGCCATGAGCAGCGGTAGATTTCCAGAGGGATTCATCTCTCTCTATCTTCTTTACATAAAACTACTAGGTAATCTTTAAATGATAAACTTTTTAATTTTTATTCATAAATATATTTTGTTTTTAATATTTGTAAGAAATATTTATTCATATTTTTTTAAACTTTATAAATATGTGATAAGCGGAAAATTACTTAAATTAATCGAAAGTTATTTGTTAAATCGTGAAATGAACGTTGTTTTGGGAAGTTATGAGTCAAATACATTTTTTTCAACTTCCGGAGTGCCTCAAGGATCGAGATTTGGTCCTATTTCATTTGGAATTTTTATCAATGATGCCGTGAATGTTATACATCATAGTGATTTTCAACTTTAGGCAGACGATCCATAAATGTATAGAACAATAAAAACTATTGAAGACTCGGTTATTTTGCAACAGGATTTAAATAGATTTGCCATATGTTGTTCTGAGAATCAAATGAAAATAAATAACTTTAAATGCCACAGCATAACTTTTAGTAGAAAAATAAGTGATATTAATTACAACTACAGTGTAAACGGTTACTCTCTTAAGTCTTAACAAAGTTACTCAGACACCAGATTTGGGTATTATTGTTGACGCAAAGTTGAGTTTTATTCCACATATGATTATGCTATAAGCAAATAATTAAGGAGATTAGGGTTTATAATTAGATCTACTAAAGCCTTTAAAAATCTAGTACATTAATAATCTTGTTTAATTCATTAATAAGAAGTTAGAATATTGTACAATAGCTTGGAATCCATATTATCACACGCATAAAAATAGATTAGAACGAATACAAAAGAAATACTTAAAGTTTTTATCATACAAGGATCGAATTAGTAATGAAGTAAGCAATTATGATTGATTTATTACGGCATTATAAAATATTGAAACTAATTCATCGCAGGGATATTTCAGATCTCTGCATTTTACACAAAGTAATTTCAGGAGATATCGATTGCCCTAGACTTTTAAAAGAACTTAATATAATTACTCCTAAACCAAATGCAAGATTAACTAACGCTCAAAGTTTTAAATGTCAGTTCTCGAGAACGAATATAGGTTTAAATGCCCAACTAAGCAGAGCTGGAAAATGTTATAATAACTTACCAAAAAATGACTTTGATATATTTTATGACTACACGCTACACTGCTATAAGGCTTAACTCAAAACCGACTTTATAAACTTATATCAATCAAAAAACCCCTAATACCTTTGACATAGTAATTAAATTATTTTTTATATTTTTTTGCGCATTTTTTTCTGTTTTGATCATACTGCAGTGTATAAACATTGTTTTCTACCTGTATAATTATATACATATTAATGTATTTACGATTTATGTAATGTCAAAATTTAGTTATATTTTTTGTTGAAAGTTTTTTTTACACAGATATTTTCGATTTTGTTATTTAAATTTTAGATTTATTTCTTTTTTTATTTTTTTCGAACATAAGTGAGCAACAACCTTTTTCTTAGTGCAACAGTTATTATTTGCATGTTAAGTTAGCCTGTAATTGTGATATACTTAATGACACTTTTTATATATAACTATATGAAGTTAAGAAATGTATTCTTAGTATATAACATAGGCTTCCTAATAAATAAAATATAAATATGAGAGGAGAGATTGGTTTGTTGTTTGTTTATTTGAAAAAGCACATCTGTGTCACGGGCAAAAGATAGTTATAAAAAAATTGCAAAATATTATCTTTTAAAAATAACACAATGTAGTACAATATATCTATTCATATGAGTATAATAAAATTCTGAGTTGAATCTGCACATTTCGGAAAATCTTATTGAAATAGTCATTATTATCGATACAGAAACCGAATCTATAGTTTTTAGAATATTTGTCTGTCTATCTGTGACCGCATCACGAAAACCACACTGGAGGAATTTTGATGAAATTTGGTATGGTATAGCTGGTTATCCGGGTCAACATATAGTATACTTTTTACTGCGGGAAAATATCTCATCTCTGAGAAATCTATATTAAACGTTAAAACATAACTAGGGACGTTAAAACCCGAGCGGAGCAAGGTTGAGTCTATAATAAAATCAGTAATTACTATTACCCCGCTCCTACTTCACTTTGACCCTCCTATAACAATAACACCATATAAAAATCCCATAAAACTTCCCCGAAACCGCAGAACGCTATCCTTATTTCAATATAATTACTTTTTGACCGACTTCAAAAAAAGGAGGTACATACTCAATTTTTGTAGTTATTATAAAAAAAATTACGCGTTATTTTTGTCAATTATGGTAGAATTACATAAATAATGATCTAATGAATAGGGTATTGATCACTGACCGGCAGCGCTCTGTTCCATGGGCGAGGCGGCGGGGTTGGCGCGGCTCAGGGCTTCGCTGATGGCCTCGCTGAACATCTCCGCCGTGATGGCGCTCCGCCCCGCGCCCCCTGCACCCCCTGCAGTCCCCGCAGCCGCCGCCGCAGTGCCGCGAGCTGATGGGACATAGACATAATGTTATTTAATTATTTTTTAATAACAGTCTGCCCAGATTTTGCTGCTCTTTTTTTTTAATTTGCCATCAGGGGTTAAATGTGTGCATAAAAACGTATCGACCAGCACACTGGGGACTTACTTTTACGATAAATAAATAAATAAGTTGGGACAATAACACACAACACCATCTAGTTCCATGGTAACTACCACTACCGAATCTGTACATTAAATATTTTTTGGGAAATCTTATTGAAATAGACATTACTATCAAATCGATACAGAGGCCGAATCTATAATTTTTTGATTTTTTGTCTGTCTGTCTGTTACCGCATCACGGAAAAATCACTGGAGGAATTTAGATGAAATTTGGTATGATGATAGCTGGTTATCCGGGTCAACATTTATTTTTTTAAATACATAAAAATATTTTATTCATTTACAAAATGTTAAAAATTTACAAACAAGGTTGAAATCGCCTTTTAAGTGTAAAAAACATGTGACAGACAATCTCGCTCTTCCATAGCCACATCAAAAGTAACTTATTATAGCAAATTAAGTACATATAGGATACTTTTTACTGCGGGATAATATCTCATTTCTGAGAAATCTATACTAAACGTTAAAACGTAAGTAGGGACGAACCCGAGCGTAGCGAGGGTGAGTCGCTAGTATTTAATATAAATTAAATTTGTAATAATATATCTCGTAAAGTAGACATAATGATTGATCTAAGGAGTGTTTCTAGGCCCGGATGAAATTTCGAGGGTACCCCGAAGAAAATTCTGCAGTATATTACAGCAACCAGGGTCAGTAGTTTACTCTTTAACATGCGGCAATCACAATAGATCAGGCATGGTAATCACAATAGATCAGGAAGTGTAATCCTTAATTTTAAAAATGTCCTTCTGACTGATTTCGGCCACCTCTACCAAACTCACTGAGACTAGGCAGATGACAGAAATTATTATAGTGCAGACACAACGTGCACTCTCTATTTCTGACACTCTCAAAGTCCGATGGGACGATACTTCGACACTCGCGGTGAGAGTTAAGGCACAAAACCGTCATGACACGTGCTGTCCGAGGCACTTCCCATCTACTTCCCAACTCCGGGCTGTTACTGAGAATATCTTAACAGAAAAATTAAGTAATTAAACTTGGCCTGACCCGAGACTCATATCCGGGACCTCCGGATCTGCAGCAGTACATGCCAGCCATTAAACTACTAAGGCAGTTAGTGTTCCTATATCCGCAACATAAAAATAAAAAATAGAACAATGAGTCAGAGTAGAAAGGTTAAGTGATACGATTCGCTACATACCTGGTGTACCCTGCAACAGACGCAGCAATCCGCCGCGGCTGCTCGACGACGACAACGCCGCCTCCGTTGCTGCCTAATTACATAATCATATTAATACTTTCCCAGATACACATTATTATTTGAATAATTTCATTTAATTTCATTTTAAATAAAACTATCTTTTCTGATTGTTATGCGGATTTAATTTTATTTTTGATTCTCAACATAATAATCCTGTTTTGTTTAGTCTCTCCCGTGACCATGATTACTGTAAAGCATTTGCTGAAGCTCTCCCTGTGAGTTTTGTTCAAGTTAAAAGTTTAGCATTAGTTTAAAAAGATAGCCTCCTCGTTATCAAAGAAAATTGGCAATATCAGCACCATCCCAAATACAAAGACATATCAGAGTCTAATAATGTGATATATGAACCAGGCGATGGAATAAAATATATTATAATTATTGACCTGTAAAGCAGCAGCCAACTGTTCTTGAGTTATTGCACTTCTGCCTTCTCCTTCTTCAGTCTCTTCTTCTTCTACATCTTCATCTTCAGAGAGCGCCTCTAGTGAATATGCGAAGCCGGATGTTGGAGCTTTGGACATATTAAAAGCATATACATACTTTCAATTGTTATACAGACTTGTGTTTCTTATTTTCTTATTTATTTAAGACTAAGTTTATATATAGCAAAGTAATCATCACAATAAAGAAAAACCTATAGAAAATAAAGAAAACAAGGAGATTGTGTTTAATATAATTTATATGGTTATGTTAAGAAATATAATTACCATAATCAGAAGTATTTGCATTTGATCGAGACCTAACTAAGCGCATCAGATGTCTCAGTGCATTTGGTAGGTCAGGATGTGCTTCTGCCCCACGTCTCATTGTTTGAATATTTGCTGCAAGAGCGGCAAGAAGCTCCACTTCATGAAGGATAGACAGGGTCATACAATCTTCAGATAAAGATGGTGTATGCTCTATTATTTCAGCCATTGCTGATTCATCATTTAGTAACTGCAAAGAAAAGCCATTATACCCAAACAATCTTATATTATATTTTATGAAAATGAAAAATTAATATGAGCAATAATAATATAAGAAATCGGTTGATAATATTATCAAAGTTCAGAATACTGTGCTTATCATGTCATTTTGTCAAATCGGTGGAAACAAATGTGTAGATCATTTTAATGTTAAAACAAACAAATGTATCAGCAGATCATACATCTTCACAGCAGATCATACATCTTCACATCAGTTCAACAGTATCAAATTATAATACTGTCATCAAAGCTTCAAATTAAGATGGTAATATTTAGAAAGTATGTATAGTCTGATTTTTAATTCCATGGAATTCTGACATTTCAGAAGTGTCTGAACTTTGAAACATTGTCACTAAAAACGGAAAGCATTTTAGCAAAATAAAAAAATAAACCTTTTTTAAAGTTAAGGTTTCAATTAGAAAAACTAAAACTTAAAAAATTATTGATAACTCTAAAATGGTAATTATTTTTTTTATTATCATATATGAAGTTACAATAATTATTAAGGAAATTACTTTCCATTACAGAAATCCCTGTCCAAAAATCCATTGGTTTGCAAGCCTTTTTTAGTAAAACCCCTTTGTTTGTAAAATATTTTGTTTTACTCTGTTTTGGTCATTTAACCATTAAAAATTTACATTATAGTTAGCTTGAATTGATTGCACAAAATAAAGACTATTTACAATGTCATACATATAGTTTACTAGATCTAATTCTGTTTCATATTTTTTGTTATTTTATATTAAAAAAATGCAAAGCAGAAAAGGTTTATGATATCTGAATTGTCAAAGAATGATAGCTGTCATATTTCTGTGGAATTAAAAATCAGACTATATGTTATAACGAAATTACAAGAGTTGATTGCATTATTAAAAGCATATTAAAAATATTTGTGTATCTTACTTGCATGGCTCTAGTCCATCCAGGAGCGTTAGGTGTACATCCAAGTGTTCTTAAAGAAGCGTTTAGTTGTTGCAATTCTGCATCAGTATAAGTTGGCGGTGGTGCAGCTGGAGCTTGCTCTTTTTTCTTTACCACATGCACCATTTCACCAAATTTGACACCACTATCAGATAAAGTTGCATTGTCCTTTAAAATCTTACCATGATGTATTAACTCTAAAAAAAATAACCTTGTTATAGGTACTATCTGCTATAGAGATATTTCTAACGTAATTAAAGTAAATTTGAAATTTCTCTAAATGACATTTAGATGATTCTTATACACTGTTCACAAATATATTATTATATTTTTTTGTCAGTATGCTATTCTCCCTTCAGTTTATTTTTACTAACCTAATGATGCAGATGGAATATTAGCTCTTTTTTCAGCTTCGTTCCTTAATAAATCCACAGTATTATCAAGCGCAAAATTCTCCAATTTATGGCGTTCCATTGGTCCAGGTTTCACTTTAATGCCTAAGAAAACATATTGTTGATTTTCGACAGCTTCCATGTTTACTAGTGTAGCTCGCAAAACAATGGCAATTGGCAATTTATCTTCTAGTCGTATTAAACGAAACAATATGTTTTTATTCTTAATCAAAATGTCGCAACAAAAACATTAAACAACAACACCAAAAGCAAATCGCAAATCACGATGACAGACAAATGACAATCACAGGAATCACCACACAGATTACAGATAATAGGCATAGACCAAGATCACAGAGTAGACTTGACTTATGCAGAGACGGTACATAAATCTCACTATACAAGTGAGTGGATTACGTTTGTTACATGGGAAGAAATATCTAGGTGAGTAGGTAAGTGGTCCGTTTCGGATATGTTGTCATGTAGAGTGTTTATTGTTGATGCTCGTACCGGATTATAAATATTTATAGTGCATTTGTATAGTCGTCACGTTTAATTTACTAGAAAAATCAGACTAAACACATTTTTAATCTGTTATTTTTAATATGCTTTTTTTTTACTATCTGTGATATTTTTTTACAAGTGTCATATGTTTGGCCAATGTCTGATGTCTCTTTCTGCTTTCATTGAAATTAGTATTGGAATAAATTCTCATTGATTGCTGTAAATGATGCAATGTCGATTGAGACATGATTAAATTGGGTGATAATTTTGACATTCGGAAGACTGGAAAAGTTTTTTTAAAATCAACATCTTGACAAGTAAGTAAAATGACTTGAAAATGAAGAACGGATGTATTAATGAACATTTGGAATCCAAATTGGCTGAGCGCAGCGAACGTGCTAAGAAGGTTTATCGGTAAGTGTATTTTCTAACGAACGATATATTTTAGTATCGTAAAGCTTGGCTTACAAATAATAATACAATTTTAAAACCTTACACCATACGTCTTTAGATTTAGAGTTTAGTGACGCATGCAATGTTTTGACGTATTATAAAAAAAGTTTTTGTTGTTAAAAATAATTTAATTATTTCAGATATGTGAGTGACGTTGCTCGACGCCTCAGTGAGGCTACAGCGGAATGTCGAGTAATCGCAGATCTCTTTTCAACTAATATTGAGTGTTTACGTCAAAAATTACGAGATCATTGTGAAAAATTATTCTTCTTAGATCCAATAAATTATGGTAAAAAGTCTTTAGAACTGCTTTGGCGCAAAGTATATTATGATACAGTTAGTGCTGCTAAAAAGCTGCGTGAATCTGATAATGGATGTGATAACAACTTGTTTACCCATATTGTTTGTGGTATTGGTCATTTCCACCACTTAATGATAAGAGTACAATCTGAAATGAATATAGAATTGAAAAATTTAGATTTTTTACCTCTGTATTTTGAGGATGAGCAAGAAGAGAATTTACAAGATAAGATAATACAGGAAGATTACCAACTGGGCAAATCAGTGCTATATTCTTGTTTAATATACCTTGGTGACTTAAGTCGTTACCAAGTTGAAATATTTAATACCTTTGAGTCATCTTTAGCAGCTCGTTATTATCTTCAAGCTGCTCAAATTGATTTAACTTCTGGTATGCCATTCAATCAACTTGGGAATCTTTATTTGGATAAAAATTACAATTTAGATTCAGTGTGCTACTACATACATTGTCTTAATACTTTGACACCATTTGAAGGAGCTATGGGCAATTTAATTAAAATTTTTGAAAAGAATGTTCAATTTTGTGATGCAATAACTAATACAGAATCTTTAACACAAACTGAGCATATGCAAATGACTATGGCAAACTTTTTGTCATTGATTGAAATATGGTATTTAGGTAAAGATGACATTAATATTCCTAAAATTTGTAACACAATAGCTCTTCAACTTAAAATAGCTATGGACTTTAACAAAATGCCACTTCCAGATATAAATAAAAATTATACTGAATATACACAAGCAGTAGAAGAAGAAAATGTGAACCCATCTTATTTGAATCCAAGTATTATACATAATATTGTACGAATCTGTCTGTTCACTATAGCTAAGTTAAATGAAACTGATGAATCTAAAGCCTTTGCATGTAAAGCTTTTACTCTTGCATTTCTTTCCCAAGTACTTCAAAAACTGCTTAAACAGGTTGAATCATTTGGGCTTAAGAATCCAGCACATAAATATAATGAAAGATTTGCGTCAAAATTTAAAAGGCAAATGGATAATATTGAAGTGACAACGCAAACATGTGAAGAATCAAATGAGCCCGCGATAGATGATATAAAGCTTACAAATGGAGACAAAAATGATCATGAAGAAAATTTTGATAAAGAGGTTACATCAGAAAAAGAAATAACCACATTACATAATGGAGATGCTAAGAACACTAAAAAAACAACAACAAAACGACGTAGAAGACGCCGCGTTGCGTCATCTGAAAGTTCAGATATGAGTGATATAGAAACTGAGAGCAGTGGAGTTGATTCAGACAAATCAGATTCTGAAGAAGAAGAACTGTCTGATTCAACTTTTCAATCTGATGATGATTCTAAAAGTGAAGGCTCTGTTTATGACTATTCAGATAATGATGAAACTAATATTCAAATAAATGGAGGAGCAGAAGAAAATATTGACGAGAGTAAAAATACTAATAAGATTAGTGCAAGTAATGAAGTTAACAATTCCCTACAAGAGTTAGTTACTGAGAATGAAAAAGATAAACTGGTTATTTCTGATGTAGAAAACTTTTTTTTGGGTGACAACATTTTACCTAGTTTAAAACTATTACAAGACTGGGTTTTGACTGAAAAAGACCTGATTTTATCTTGTGGAGACAGTGGTGAGGCTCTGTTTCAATGTATTGTGGACTTACTTAACATTTTCCTATTTTACTTTAATCCAAAAAATAATGAAGTGAAAAATCTAGGATGTAGAATTTTGATCCATGCTAAGAAATTAGCTAAAAAGCTAAAGCTTGAATACAAATCTATACCATTGCCTGAAGATATTAACCTGCGAGGAACAGACATCTGCAAATTTGATAAAGATGCCACCGAATGGCAAATGATGGAAAAGTTTAAGCCAACAATAATAGAAGAAAATGTTATAAGGATTTTGAATTTTATAGATTTTGGATATCATACTGCAAAAATCATACCAAGAATCAGATACAATAGATCACTCAAGATATTTTATTTCAAGAAGGTTCTCCCCCCAAAAGTGAACACCAAAATGAATCATAAGAAAAATCGAGAGTGGCATAATTCAAAGAAACAGGTAAAATTATAAAAATTATAAAGTTAATCATATCGTCATATTAATTTTATTACCAAGTACACTGCTATCTATGTAACCTACTTACTTTGAGGTTGATAAATTATCTGTTGTGTTACTTCCTCAAAACACTAATTACTAATTTTATAATTCAAATAATCAACAAGCCACCAATAGTCCATGTAAGGACTTCATCACATTATAAATTTATTTTTTTGTGTAAAAGTTATATATACTTCGTTATTATAATAGTTATTTTAGTTTTTGTTTAAAAGTATATTTTTAATTACTTTTATTCTCATCATATTATATGGTAACAACAGTTTTAAAAGTTTTTACCGATCTTCACTTTGTTCAGGTCCCTACGTCCCTAATGTATATGTTACTTCAGGTCATAGTTTATTTGTATACTCCATCCAAATCCGTCCGTTTCATCGTGAAGGGACAACAAACACACACACAAATTGTCGTGTTTTGTAAGGTAATGACTTAAATGAGAAAAGTACTCAAATCACCTTAATAATACAAGTGTCAATGTGTTTTAGGCGGAGTCAGGTGAGAGTGGCTTGTTGCGTCGGCTAGGGCGTCTCTGGCTGGCGTCGCAAGTGCGGGAACTAGAGCGTACGAAACAAACAGACGTGCCATCCCTCCTCGCCATAGACACCGCAACACTCTACAAACACCTACGGAGAGTTAAACAGCTGTTAAGGACACGCAATTTCATATTCCTCGTGCCAACAGTTGGTAAGTCATGATTTCAATTTAAACTGATCAATATAAGTGTATATTTTTTTTTTACAATTGTATGTTTCGGAAATGTAAACCGAATTCTTTATGAAGGTAGTCTATGATTAATTTTCAATAAAATGACTGCATCTGATTCTGTTTAAATTATAGTGTTTACAAACCATAAAAATCTAATCAACGCCAAACTATGTGGTGCCAAGTTAATAAAAGTGAAAAAATCACCACTTGCCGCATATAACGCAATAGACTAAAATAGAGAAGTGAAACCCAAAATATTTTTTATTTGGCAATTGATTCAAGTGCGAGACGTCGTAACGTCTTCACCATTTTTTTAATTTTTTTTTTCTCTAAATTAAATTTTGATTTTCATTTTCCATTAAACTAAAAATGTTATTCTACAGTATTTCAAGAATTGGACGAGTTGAAACGAGAGAAGAGTTCTGCCCGTGACGCCATCCGCTGGCTGGAGGTGCAACTGAAAAGTGGCTCACGGTTCCTTCGAACGCAACGCCCGGGGCAGAGCAGACCGCTCCCTCTATTAAAGTACCCACGGAAAGCGCCACCTCACGTACACAATTTCATACAAATACTGGAATTTTGCAATCACTTCATGGATGAAAAGCAAAATCAAGGCGGCAACGGTGACCCTGACGCGTCATACACAAAGTCTGCCCCACTCCTCATACTACTTGTTGGTAACGAACTGGGAAAGAGTGATGATGAGTATAAAGAGTTTAGTGTGACTGGCGCGGCGCAAGCCTCTGGGATACCTATCAAATATATAGGGGATTTTTACACAAAATGGCGTCAAACTGTCCACAAGAGCAAGAAAAGATGAACGGGGGGTAATATTACTCAGGTCTCGATTACTCAAAGTGGGCGCGATGCAGACGCAGATAACGTACGGATTGTTGCGCGTTGGGATGTGCCCTAATTGCATCAACGGTTGAATCGAAATTAATTCAACGTCGAATTAATTTGTTCCCTTTGTCTCTTATTAACTGTCATTTCATTTTTTTTTTCATTATTGTCTATGGAATAGTTTCATTGTAGAGAGTGTAATACTTTTTTTGATATTATGGGTGGAGTTAATTTGATCATCTTTCTGAATATTGTATTTGTTCATCTGTCATTATAATAAATATTTATCATTATAACTCTTTTTTATTTTAATATCTTTATAATAAGCAGGACACTTAAATCTCTTAAAAGTTCTAAATGTAACAATTTTATGGAACCTACAGATGTGATTTATAGTAAATTGATTATGTTTTTTCTAAAGTACATACCTGAAATCAATTTTACATGACTGCGGCGAAGTCCAAAAAGCAATTATTTGTTTGTCCTGTATCACACGTAATACTATACTAGTACAGATGCCACACCTCATACAAAAACATGGACAGCGCTAATTCGGGCTATTTTTGTTTACTTGAATAGATGATAGATGTCATTTATACGCGAATAGTTAAACTGTTTTATTTTATAAATATGTGCAAACTAACGTATGATAAATATTATAAAATTCATCCTGCATTCGTTTAAAAAGAGTCAGTAATTTTTAACCATGATAAATAATTCTTAAAAAGTAAAAGCGCCATCTGTAAATATGCACTAAAAACCTATTATCTGGTTGCTAATATTCCAATTTTCAGTAAAATTACGCAAATTTGATTTACGAGCTCGTTATTTCGTGTCACTGTACTAAGAATATTTTTTAAAACAATAATACACCTTTTTGAGATCAATTTTTTTATCTTTTGTCAATTTAACACTTTTATAACAGAATCGATACATGTCACGTCATCTATTGACATTTATTTGAACTAATTTTTCTTTGTTCGTGATGAGAACCCATGACTATCAGTTCAAATGTACATTTGGGCTTCGCCGCAGTCGGTTAAAAAAAGCTATGATCTATATATATTATAAAATTCTAACTAAGCCGAATCTGTAATGTAATGTACCTACATTAAATATTTTTTGGAAAATCTTATTAAAATAGACATTATTATCAATACAGAGGCCGAATCTATAGTTTTTAGAATTTTTGTCTGTCTGTCTGTTACGGCGTCACGGAAAAACCACTGGAAGGATTTTGATTTTTTACCGCGGGAAAATGTCTCATTTATGGAAAAAAATACAAAAACAGCAATGTAAGAGTATATTAATATGTAAAACTATAGAATTAAGTCTTTGGTCATCTGAACGCGGGCGGAGCCGCGGGCAATACTAGTAAAAGATAAATACCTATATCAACATTTAGGTTAGGGTGAGAAATGGAAATTTGAATTCGAATAAATAATGATAAACTTTATTGCACACCAAAAGAAAGGAACAAAAACAAAGAAAAGATGCACAACCTTGAGGTGAAGGAGTATGACTCGATGCCTGCTAATGGTGTTTAGATAGGTTTAACTCGTTAATCTATATATATAAAAATGAATCTATTTATTATTTATACCTATTTCCCTTGGTCACACCATCACGCGTGAACGGCTGGACCGATTTAACTTTTTTTTGTTGTTTGATATTGTCAGAAGATTCTTAGAAAAAATTGAAAAATGAACGAAAAAAAAATTAAAATGTATATGGCTAACGCTGGCTAATAACTATTTATATCTATTTAAAATGTACCTAGCGACGAACCTGAGCGAAGCGAGAGTCAGCCGCTAGTTTTAATATAAGATGATGATGTAAGATTTCTTGAATAACGTCGAGAGTTATTGTTAACACATTTTTGCTCATAATATAATACGTTTATTAAATATAACCTTAATTTTAAATAAAATTATTTAAAAGATCGATGATGAACAGAATTTTTATTTGTACCAAGACAAGTAATATTCTTTTGATACGGACTTTAATTAGTTTTTATACCGTTCTTTTTTCTACGTATTGTAAAATGTTAGACGGTGTGGTACTTACCGGTAACATATATTTACAGAATTTTCTACATACATTTTATATACAAGTAGCTCAGCCCTTTCGAATCCTAATCGTAGACGATTTTTATTTGAACAAACAGTTACAAAATAAAGAAACCGAAATATCTTCATCAAAAGCGCCAGTCGTATTTTAAGTTTCGTACATGTATATAAATAAATAAAATTAAAGTGTCTGTTTGTAATATATAAATAAAAGCCTTTTACCGTATTTTATATTGTATTTAAGCCGAATACATATGAAAGTATAGGGTACCTATTTAAAAGAAAAAAGATTTTTTTTAAGTTTTTGTCTGTTTGTTCCGGCTAATCCCTTAAACTGCTGGACCGATTTTGACGGGACTTTCACTGGCAGATAGATTATGTTATAAGGAGTACCTTCGGTTTAATTTAGAAAAAGAATTAGGGTTCCGCGCAAAAAATTACAACCTATGAACAAAAAATTGCGTACCTAGAATGAACGACATTGGACTTCACAAGTAATCATAACTCAAATTATAAAAAGTCTGCGTTTAATTTAATTTTCTTGTTAATGGCTTCAGAACGTGCCAGTAGAGCAGATTATTTCGCCAATGTCTAAATAAAGAAGACACGAAGAAGATTGGTGAAGTTTGCAATGTAATAGCTCAAGGAGTCAAGTCAAATAAGTCATAAGGAGGTAATATTTATCGACATAGGTGACATGAGCGAAATGCCAGGGAAAAACTAGTGTATAATTAAATTAAATTTTAATTATTCATTTTGAAAAAGCCACCATTATTTTCGCAAGAGTAAAAAATAGGATGTCATTTTGGGAAGTTGGATGAACAAAAAAATAGTAATATACACTCTATTTATTTGAATATATACCTAAAATAAGGGATAAATTAAAAAATAAGTTATATAACAAACATAATTTACAAAGCTTATATAAAACAACCGAAAATAAATGAGCACTTAATAAAAACGTAATGCCACAAAAAAATCCATTGCCACATTGTGTAAAACATTTGCAAAGATAATTTAAATGTCAAATTTATGGTTTTTTTTTTTTAAATAATATTTTATAAGTTAAAAGGAACAACAAATAGGTTAAAAATGTGCAAAGTATAGCTATTTTGTAAAAAGTTGTATTCACAGCGTGTAAAAATACAACCAGTGTTTGTTACAAATCATTAACATAGCCTCTCTAGTCCCATCGACTCAGCGAGGTAATTAAAAACTCTCGAATAATTAACTTACGTTATAATAAATCAATACAATATAATGTACAAAATATACAATACGTTTAACAATCTTTTAACAGTCTTATAACTTTATTTATACTATACACAATATTGCACTTACAACTCCATTCAAATTACTGAATGTGAAACAGCTAGTAGTAGATGTTTGAGATTATTTCTTATTCCTATAGTTAGCTCTACATGCATCACTTAAACTTATTTTATAAATGTGATTTATTTTATTTATCTTAAATCCCGAATCGGACGAATTTTAATGATTTCTTCATTGTATGCCTTCAGCACATACACACTTACTTTATTTTTATACATATTAGTGCTTAACAAATGCATCGGAGGTTGACTAATTCGTTGATGAATATGTAATATTTTTTTTCAAATTGTACAAATGCCTTAGTGCGTATAACAAAGCTTATTTACACTCGCCTTCAAAGGTCCATAATAACAGCTAGCAACCTACTAATTGTATTAACTGCTGCACTGTGGAACGATCTAACAGACACAGATCGAAGTCGAACGTTTTAGTAGTCACTTCGTACCGTCCAGTCTCTGCTATGAGGTTCACTACTCTTTCGAGATCTTCATTGTTTTTGATCGTCATTATACGTTGCTGAAGGCCTCGTAACTGCACCATGTAGTCGGGCGACAAGTCCCCGGGCTCGGCATCCTCACCTAAGCTACTCGACACACCATTATCCTGCACTTTGGTTTCTATCGACGTCGATCCACTGCCCTCCCCATGTTCATTGTCATTGGAGGGCCCTGAATCTGCTACTTTCGCAATTTTTCTACTTTCTGCGTCCTCTTCCTCGGCAGCCTTCCGCTTTCTGCGTTTTTCTTCTCGTTTTGATTTGTCTTTGTGTTTTTTAGATTTCTCCTTTTGTTGGATCGGCGGCGGCTCCACTACAGGCTCCGGGTCAGGTTCAGGCTCCGGCTCCGGTTCAGGCTCGGGTTCCGGCTCAGGCTCGGGGGAAGGTTCTCGCTTAATAGGTTTAGGAGAAGGGTTTTCAATTTTAATTTTAACATCTTCTTCTTCTGCAATCATTGAAACCTCTGAGTCAGAATGACAACTATTTATATCTTCAGCCCCTATGTGTATTGCTTTTGTTAGTCCACTCTTTGAGCTGCACTGGGATGCTGTATCAATAGAGATAGGTGATGCCGGTTCAGGAATGGGATGTTCTTTTTTAACTGGAGTTTCTCTATGTTCTATAACTTCTGGCTTTTCCAGAGACATTTCACGCATTTTTTCGTGCTTATGTTTTCTATCTTTACTAGATTCTTTGTGCTTTTCTTTTGATTCATCTCTTTTTTTATCTTTTTTCTTATGCTTGTGTTTTCTTTCGGAGTCACCTTTATCTTTTACTTTGTGATTTTCATGACGTTCAATGTTTTCTGGAGGAGGCGATTTTCTTAGGTTTTCCTTAATTTTCTCTGGTTTTGTCGGTTTCTCTTTTACTGGCGAATTCTTGACTACTTCCCTTTCTTTTATGATGTCTCGAGATTTTGCTACCTCTTTAGGTAATTCTTTTAATGGTTCTTTAGGAGAATCTTTAGATTTGTGGCTCTCTTTTTTATGTTCTTTCTTTTCTCTTCTTTCTTTATCTCTGTCATGACTCTTTTTCTCTTTTTTCTTTTTCTCCTTTGAATCTTTCTCTACTTTGATCTCAGGTATTCTTTCTTCTGTTTTAGATTTCTTTTGGTCAAAGTTATCCACATTATGTTTTGAAGCTTTATAGTCTTCTTTAATACTAGATGCACTACTAGATCTTGGTGAAGGACTTGGAGGTTTTCTGCTTGGACTTATACATTTTTTCTTTGCTGGTTCAGGAGAAGGAGGTCTTTCAATTTGCCTTTTACTTGCCTTTTCTTTGGTTCGTTCTGATTCCTTATTGTGATTTTTTGATTTTTCCACTTTCTGTTTTTCTTTTTCTTCTTTTGCACTAATCTTATCAGATTTACTTTCTTTGTGTTCATGCTTTGTTTTCTTATCTGAACTTGATCTTTCTTTGTCTTTTTTGTCTGACTTAGCACTCTTTTCAAACTTCTTTGGATCAGGAGACACTTTAGGGGGCTTTTGAATGGGAGGTCCAAATAAATTTTCAAAACTGTTATTAACTTTTTGTGGTTGTTCCTCTTTGTATTCTTTTGTTTTATGTTTTTTCACATTATCTGAAGACAGTTTTGGTTTACTAACAAGATGAGGCTTTTCATCAGTAAAAGAATCTCTGCTTCTGCTTTCTTGGTCAGGGTTTGCATAAAACGCATTTTTGTCCCAAACAATTCCACCACCTTTTAGTAGTCTCCTCCTAAATTCTTCATTAGGATTTTCAAAAATATATCTGTCTTTTAAAGACCCCCCATGCTCTAGAGTCAGATCATATACAAAAACTATCTTTTTGGGTTCATCTTTATTTTTTAAATATATTTCAATCGGTAAAACAAAACCGGCATAACCTGATTCCTTTATGGAAAAAGGTGGTTCTTTAACAACTGCAAAAGATATAAATAATTATATTATTTTTAGTACTATATTGTTTATATATAAGATCTAGTGATAAAATTTTATTTACAAACTAAGATTTAAATTAAGTAGCAGTTAAGTAAATATATTTTATACATATATAATTAGGATTAATGTTAGGTAAAAAACTTATAGGAACAAAGTAAATAATTATTAATATAGTAAATAATGATATCGGATATCGGAATAAATATTTTTTGGGATACGGATTTTAAATATAATATTAAACTTTGTCATTTAAATTATTTTTTTCACGTAGTGCTTGCTAGTCAGAAGGAATAAAATGTAAAGATAAAAGGGATTTGCTCTTATATTTATTTTAAAAATTTATCTATCAATTACATTACATAAAAAAATATAAATTAATAATAATTACCTCGCCTCGGTTTTTGGAAGGTTTCGTGTAATTTAAAAACGACTTTTTCAACGAAATGACTTATATCAGTACCCTCTTGACCGCGTACGAAGACTTCCCAGTCATGAGTGAATCCTTCTGGGGTTTTCTTTGATCTCATCGATGCTTCATGTCCGATTTCAATATTTACCCTAATTGAGGACATTTTGAATCTAAAAGTAGTAAAAATATACATTTATTATACAGTCTTTACATATTTAACTCAACGCATTAAAAAATAAAACAAGTGTAGAATATAAAACGATTAAATTCATTATTTTAATACTCACAATCAAAATAATAACTGTACAATTGTAGTCGATCTTAAATAAATTGTTAAACACTGCAGTTTTTTATCACTGGATAGAAATTATAACAAATAACGAAAATAATCTTTTAGCGCCCTTGTTATTTTTGTCCGCCATATTCAATTTCATATCGACATTGGTCTTGAAGATGCGTTCCGTTCAAAACAATAATAAAATTTATTAAAAAATATAGTAAAAATAAATAATTTATTGTGGCAACAAGACATTATTTTTATCTTTACTTACAAAGTATATAGTAAAAATTTTATCAATTTCTATGTCTTGAAAATAGGTAAAAATAAGTAATTAAATATAGGAAATAATATTTGGTAAATTACAAAATTAAGCGTGGAAGCGACAGTATAATATTATCTGATTTTAATATTATTTTTACAAGATAGCGAATTTTCTGTCATGGTTTTCTAGCCAAATACATTTATGTGTACAAAGTAATGTAAAAAAAATGTAAATAGACGATTGAATTTTGTTTGATGTCGAAACGAATTTTCAAGAACAAATCCATATACACACGACAAGAGGTGCTACAAAGTAGGTACATTATAGAGGTTACAATGTAGCACAGTAGCATATATGCTCTAATAATGGTTGATAGTAGCAAAACATCTATACATCTATTATGTAAGCAGAGAAATAGAACAAATCCAGATTTATTTTTCAATTTTTGTTCTCTGTCTGTTTGTACGGGCTAATCTCTGAAACTGTTGGACCGATTTAAATGAAATTTTGCATGGTGGTACCTTATATCCTCGGTCAACATTTTAAATACATTTCATCTCGGAAAATTATAGAGTTCCTGTGGGATAGTTAAAAAACTATAGTAACTTATACAGCTTAATACACAAAAACTACTTATTGGATTTTAATGAAACTTTAGAGTAATATAGTTCACACTTCAGAATAACAAATAGGCTACTTTTTTCCCGAAAAATTGAGATAGATTTGTTTTTATTTGTCTAGAAGCGAACCCAAGCGAAGCGAGGGTAAGCCGCTAGTGAATAAATAAAATTACATTTTGTTATGTATACAACAACATATAATATATTGGTACATATTATTATAATGAGTGCTCTTTTGACATTTGGGAATAGACCAAGTCCGACATCGAGACAAATGCGGACTAAATCGGATGGATGGTTGCACTCATATGTGCTGTACATAACAGTTACAGATCTCAAATTCTCATTCCTTATTCATACATACGTGGATACAAAAACGATACATTTTATCCATTATATTTATTTTTCTTTAATTATATTCAAAGTGATTAGTTACAAACGGTAAATAAAAAAAAATACATAAGCTGCTTAAATGTCATTTTATTATTATAACCTATTTTCAGAAGTGAGAAGAGAAAAAAAATACGATTTGTAATTTTTATGTAATCTCATAACTGACTCTAGTAAATAATAATATTAACTAGTTCTCTTTTCCAGTAATAAATAAAAGGATGTCTCGACTAATAACAGCAATTTTTCAACCGCTAAAGTAAGTAAAATGCTTTTTATTTCTAATGATTGCTATTTAAATAGATATAATTATTTTGTTTATTTTACAGAGCTGTGACACGATCTGCACATTTTTTCACACAACCAATTTCTGCAAATACTACCAGCTTAGTTAAACCGGAACTTCCGTTGTTGTCTTTTATAAGGTCGAAAGTACGATGCTATTTCCCACGACCAAGTGAAGTAAAAAGAGTTAGACGTCACGGCTGGAAAACTAGAATGTCTACTCCAAACGGTCGCAGAATTATTATGAGAAGACTTCTAAAAGGTTGTCATGTGTTATCCCATTAATTAGTTGATTTTATAAGGTTAGGAAAAATATAGATATAATGTGAAATAATGCTTTTATTTTAAAAACAAAATAAATTCAAAATTAGCCACTTTCCTTAAATCCTAGCAACAAATGTACAAAAATATCTACATTCTACAGGAACAATAATTAAATAAAGAAGTGGTTTTGAAATCAGTACAAATATAATCCTAAGAATATTCCAATTTAAATTTTAATTACAATTCTTAAAACAAGAACTTGAGACAAAAAAACGGATAAAAATACTGATAACAATTTCAATTAATTAAATAAATATTTCTGCTGAGAATGAGCAGAGTCCTCCGAGTTGGTTGGAGAGGCAGGTTTGAGGAGATTAGACATTTCAGATACTATGAATGTTGTTAATTTTATTATTGCTAAATGAGCAGCAAGTTGCAGAATCAAGGCTCCAAAACCTTTATATAGACCTCCAACACCCTCCTTAGCAATGGTTGTGTTGTAACAATCTATGAACCCTTCATAACCAGTTAAGATTGGAGTTACTGATGTACCTGTATCTAAATTGTCAATTATAGTCCGTGTTCCCTGTAAAATATAAAAATAGATGATAGGTTTTATGCAAAAGTGAAATCATATTTTATTAATATCTATTATAATATTTTATTCATGGTCAACTATAGTGACTCGCCCTTGCTTCACTCGGGTTCATCGGTGGGTTGATTCCCCATACAGACGTTCATCAATATTTTCACCCCCTTCAGGGATGATTTCCGAGATGAAAACTACCTGTCATTTCCAGGGTCTCAAACTATATTCATACCAAATTTCATCTAAATCGGTCCAGAAGTTTTTGAGTTTATTTGTTACAAACATACATATCTTTCCTCTTTAATATATTAGTGTAGATTATTGTTTATCTTGGTCATAGAGAGTACTGATAGTACTATAACTATACCATAAGTAGTAGTATAGTAGTAGAAATTTTGAAATAAAAAAAATGATCACCTGTATATGAAGTCTATGTATGATTGTTTCAACTGGGTAAAACAATATTTCCATAGTAATAAAAGAGAAAATATTGGCTTTTAAGTTGATATCTTCAATTAAGGGATTTTGTGAATTTTTAGAATAGTTTGAGCTGTATGAGTCATGGAGTTCATGTTTATGACGCTGTTGAAAACGGAGGATCCTGACTGTTACACTTTTCAATAACATGCTGAAAATAAGGAAATATTTAAGTGACTGTAAACACTAAAACAACAAAAGATATTTTTATCTAATTCAATCAAAGAGACAACAACTTATATTGAATCATAAAATATAATATGATAGTTTGTTAAAAATAGATTATCATAATTTCATTAATATGTGACTTACTGGGCAAAATACTTTGATATACCAAGACCAACTGTTGGCAATACAATAGCCCATATAGGCAACATTCTGCCACGGCTTGGAGTTCCCCATTCCAAAATTCGAACAAAACCTTCTCTGAATACATCAAAAATTGCTGGTTTATCACTAGCAATATCACTTTGAACAGTCTCAACAAGACTTGCAGAATAGAAAGGAGTTACAATAGCTACACTTATACTGAAAAAAGTTATAAACATTAGAAATTAGAACTATATTTATAAAATTGAAAATATATCTGTGTATTTTCAAAATAATGCATGTACTTTACCATTTTAAGGTTAAATGTTGCAAAAATTGTAGAACTGAACCACATTTTCCAATTTCTCTGCAAAGTTATGTAAAATATTTTATATTTTCTTTTGTTTTCAAGATAATAAGACACATTATTTATATAAACATACTTAGGCCATCCAGTTCCTTTTGATATCACATCTTCAACAGCCAAGTTAAGTCCTTTTATAATGCATGTTGACCCTATACCTTTCCATAGAGTAGTGAAATCCTGTCTTCGGTGTAGCCTTACCACAACTGGGAGGAGGGTGTATGGTACTATATGATAGTTTCTTAGACTATTATGAACCTAAACATAAAACAACAGTAAGTAAATAAAATTACAATATATTAGCAATGATATATATACCATATAAGCTTGTATATAAACCATATAAGTTTAATGAAGATAATACATATAAACTATAAACAACTTGAAAGTAAAGTATTCTTTGTTTTACAAAAGTTGAATTGCATAGAAAAAAATAATTTGATATAATCATAGAAATTATAATAGTAATATGTGTTGTATTTAAACATGATATAAGTACACAACAGTACAAACCTGGCATTGCCTTCTAAGCACTATAAATGGATGGCTCAACAAATTCTCTGTCACAAGACTGGCTACACTTATAGCAGTTGTAACATATGTATTACTTTCTGGAACCAATAAAATATCTTTAATAATTACACAAATACTTCATAAGTATGTATGTCAATATATGTACATATATATGTAAAAATAGAATTTAAATAACACTGTATTTGTGGATGCTGTGTTGTCCTACAATTGGAATATCATTTATACCTAAATGCCTAGTTAAATTAATTTTTTATTCTGTTGGATATATGTATGAATGAGAGATGTTATAAGCATTTTTTTTGTTGGTATGTAAAAGGGAATACATATATTATGTGCTACAGTTGTTAACCATGCTATGAAATTAGTGTTGGTGCAGTGATTTTATGTTTGACAGTTATCAGCTGCTGATATTACAATGAACAAGTAAGAATGTTATCAGAGATTACTAAAAAAAATAAAAAAAATTAAAATTTAAAAAGTTAAATTAATTGAATTTTTAAATATACCTTCTTCTGGAGGGTCATCCATTACCAAGGGTGGACCTTGATATTCTTCTGTCAAGGGAGTATGATAACCATAAATCTGTTGATAACGAGTATCATACAAATCGTTTGTTTCCCTATTAGGATCTAGTCCAAAGGGTCGATTATAAGCACTATAATCTCCAAACCCTGCCATATTTTTAATTATCTAATACTTGTCATTTTTCGTATAACTTCTTATTATAACCGATCGGCTTATAACTTGATCTTAAATAATATTAAAAATAATAGCGATGTAAGTTGTAATGTGTATTGGTAAATTTAAAAAGAAATAAATACGAAATAGAAAACTATTGTATTAAATTAGTACGAAACATGTACGAATACGAAACCGCATAGTCGCGCTTTTTTGACATATATGATTTTAGAATGTCAAACTATAGATGTGTCAACTCGAGTTAACTCGAGTTGGGCTTAACTCGAATTAACTCGAGTTGAATTCTCTCTGACTCGAAATGGATTTGCGTGGTAAATGAACGAATCAAGCGACTACGCGATTGACCTTACGCAAACGCGGCGATTCGTTCGTTGTGTTCATGTTTTGTACAGTCGTCAGCACTTCAGGACTATACATTTATGATGCAAAGTCGCTCCTATTACAACCGAATAAGATGCCACAGTATTTAACTTAATCGCTGTCGTCCGTACTTCCGTCATAGCGTTTCAACCGAATGACAGCATTATAATAACCATACTAATATTATAAATGTGAAAGTATGTTTGTTTTTTTGTCCTTCTTTCACGTCGAAACGGAGTAACGGATTGGGGTAATTTCTTGGGTGAAGATAGTTCATAGTTGGAGGGCTGGAGAGTGGTATAGACTACTTTTTACCGCGGAAGATTATCTCATTTTCACGGAGAAACACGTTATAATACAACCCAAAAAATATTTATGATTAGAATTACTTGAAACTTGGTATTAACGCTCTACAATACAATTAAATAAATATATGTTTTAGCATTCTTCGAAATTTATCCCGTGAGGGGGTAAAATAGCGGATGAAATTTTGTATGAAACCTACCTTTTTAGTGTTTTTTGAAGTTTTAGCGCGAGCGAAGCCGCGGGTTCTGCTAGTAATAATATAAATAAATATAAAAAATATAAATAATTATAATCGTCCCAATAAATATTTATTTAGAATCTGTACAATTTTTTAAATATTGTTGCGAAGCAGAGTCATTAAATTGGAACAAACAAAACAAATCATTCACTTCATTTTCATCGAGTTAACTCGAGTTACGTCAATTTCAACTCGAGTTATATTTTTGCCGAGTTGGCACATCACTATGTCAAACCATAGACCATGGATGACAAATAAAACCGTAGATTACCTACTGAGTACTGACTACTGAGTGCTGACTGCTGTGTCAAACATATTACAAGTTTGTAACGTAGGTAATTGAGTTTTGAGACTTTGTTAGCTTTCAATCACAAAAAACACGGAAAATAAATAACAGCAGATTCACACATTAAAAATTATTTTCGTCAAACAGTGCTTTAAGAGTTGAAGAAAGGTAAAAAATTGTAAAAAACATTTGGAAAAAAAAAGATTTTGTAAAATCTTTAGAGGAAAAATATATTATCTATACATATAATAAAATTGTAACTTAGCCAAATCTGTACATTAAATATTTTTTGGAAAATCTTATTGAAATACATTTTATCGATACAGAGGCCGAATCTAGTCTTTAGAATTTTTGTGTCTGTCTGTTACCGCATCACGAGAAAACCACTGGACAGATTTTAATGAATTTCGTATGATGATAACTGATTATACGGGTCAACATATAGGGTACTTTTTACTGCAGGAAAATATCTCACCTCTGAGAAATCTATACTAAACGCACCTAGGGACGAACCCAAGCAGAGCGAGGGCGAGTCTCTACCTCTAGTAATAAATATTTCTATTTCGTTTTTGCAATTATGCTTATAATATAATTCACAGCTCAGCTTGGACAATAAAAAAAAGTCAATTAAATTATAAAACAAATTACACTATTTTATTGCTAAATTTGGAATGTTAGATTCAACTTTTAAACTCATATTTATCAACACCAGGATCATCAATAGCAAATATTTTATTGCACGTAAATGAAATAGTTGCTGCATATCTTGTTCCAGAAGTCACTTTCTCCACATAATGTGGATTTTCTCTACCACTTGTGAACATACTTAGTCTGCCTTTTCTTGGTTCTATTGTACTGTTGGATTTGTCATTTATAAAGACAAATCTGCCTCCTTTAAAGTCTATGCCATAGTCTCCTAGATAAAGCAATGTTGTATAGTGAAATGATTTATAAGTTTCCTGAAAGAATAATAATATTTATAATTAGTATGTGAATTAATAACTATCATTAAATTATTAATTATTATTAATAAATATTAGGCAGTGGTAGCCCAGTGGTAACACACTCGCTTGGGAAACCGAGTGATGCGGATTCAAATCCCGGGTCTCGCACCTCTGATATTTTCATGTGCGAATCATTTCTTTCTTGATTACCACTTGCCTTACGGTGAAGGAAAACATCGCGAGGAAACCTGCATGTCTGAGGGACCTTAGCAAGTTTTCAAAAGATATGTGAAGTCCGCCAACCCGCACTTGGCCAGCGTGGTGGACTAAGGCCTGATCCTCATACTGAAAGGAGGCCCGTGCCCAGCAGTGGGACATTAAAAAGGGTTGAATACATACATTAAATTATTATTAAAGCCTTTTTATGTACTCAGTGTCGGCGACGGAAAACCTATCTTCGAGTAACGTGTGTATTAATATAGGGACAATGTCATTTTAGCGTATTATGAATAATTGTTGTAAATATGAAATCTCATTCTTATTAGATTTATTATGTTAAAATAAGTTCTAATTAGTGTAATAAGGTTAGTTTAGAGTATTTTTTGCTTATTTGAATCATATAAGACTATTTAACATTAATTTGAAAGGAATAGGTACGTAAGTAAAATGTTAGCATATAATTACGTAACTTGAAAATGAGATTTTTTGTTTCTTGCAATAGCATAATAGTTTATGTTTTAAATAATAGATTTTATTATAAAACTTATAATAAAACAAGAATTAGGTCGATAGGACTATCCGTTCAAAAGTTATAAGGGAAAATGTATAGTAAAAATGTAGCAACCTAGAAATTTAGATATTTTTGTTTTAAGACTTTTTTAATTAATTATTATATATTGAATATTATGTTTTAATATTGTATAATAGTATGTAAGGCATGTAAATAAATAAATATGTGTAAGGTGTTTTACTGAAAACATAAAATAAAAGGACTCTCAAGGTTTCGGTTTAGGGAAATTTTATTCGAAAAACGAGCTCAAAGTACGCGGCTCTCTGTAAGGTATTAACGGGCCAAATAAAAGGCGAGCCATTTCTCGATTCGAGTCAGTCGCAAGACAGCCACCGAAGAGGCAACAACTAAAAGGAAAAGGAAGAACCGAAACCAAGAGAGAAAAAAGGAAAAATTGTGTTTTATTTCATCGCCTCTAAGTATAGTCTCCTGTCAACGAAAAAACCCTAGTGGATCGGGACCCAAGCTACGCATTCAGGGGTGCGTGGTGGCGTACATTACCAGCGAACGGACATACTGCCGTGTACGCCAAGAACGTCTGGGAGATTGTCCCAGGTCGACCTCCGGGTACTAGACATACCCTGGTTCTGGTCGTCCGAAACAGTTGGTCCTTCGAGCCGGATCCCTGCTAGAAGAAGTTCAGAAGAAACAGAAGATTGCGTTCAAGATGCCGGTAACCAGGTCGCAGAAGGATGCCCCCTCACGTCCCGGGTCCCGTCCTTCAGATAGGGACGCGACAGATGGAACGTCGGGATCAGAAGGGGTCACGTCAGCGTCGGCGTCATCGGGAACTGCAACTACATCGAACACTTCTTCGGGTACCACGACCACGGAGGGCACCACAGTGACGGAGACTACGGTTACGACTGCAACTACGGCGGCGTCTATGGAAGGCAACAAAGAAGATGCTGCACAGAGGATGACCAGGAAGAGCCAAGAAGATGTACCTGGAAAGGATGTTCAAGGCTCCTCCAAGACCCTGAAACCGATGGGGGTCAGTCGTCGCGCCAGGTCCACGAAGACCACGAGTTCCTCGGCCAGAAGCCGCGAGCTAGAAGCAAAGGAAGAGTTGGCACGCCTGGAGTTGAAGCAAGCACAGGCTGAAACTAAGCTAGCCCGTGTCAGATTGGAGATGGCACAGTGTGAAGAAGAGGACTCCGTGGATGAAGACCTGGAAGACAGAACAGCACAGGTGCAGAACTGGATCGAGACGTCTGTGCTGGAGGATGGCAACAAAGTTCAACCAGAGATGCGAGATCCACACCCCTTGGAAGAGCCACAGAAGATGAAGCCTGAAGAGAACTCCTCAACGAGAGGAGCTACGATTGAAATTCAAGCACTGACGGCAGCATTGAAGGAAGCTCTTACCACGCGAGGACCAGCAGGACAGCCAACCTACATTCACGAGTTACCCTACTTCGACGGCAACAGCAGCGAGTGGATGGCCTTCAAGGTTGTCTATGAAGATACAGCACCAATGTTCAACAACGTCCAGAATATGGCTCGGCTAAGAAGAGCACTGAAGGGCAACGCAAGAGAAGCTATCAAGAGTCTGCTGTACTCCGAAGCCTCTCCGATGGAAGTGATTCAAGCCCTCAGAAGAAGATATGGAAGACCAGATGCACTGGTGCTGGCAGAGTTGGACAAGGTCAAAACGTTGCCGAAGATTTCTGAAAACCCAAGGGACATATGCCTCTTCGCGAGCCAGATCAGCAACAGCGTAGCGGCAATAAAAGGATTGAAGAAACCACAGTACCTGCATTCACCTGAGATGGTGAAACAAATTATTGAGAAGATGCCTACGATCCTCAAGTTCCGATGGTACGACTTCATTGAAACAACAGAAGAAGGCGAGTTCTCCGACCTAACACTGGTGTCCAAGTTCCTGAACAGAGAAGCAGACAAGTGTGGAGCCTATGCATCAACAGAAGAGAAGAGCGGGTTCAGACGGACTCATCGACAAGCAACGCATTCAACTAAGGAAAAGGACTTCAAAGAAAAGGTTTCAAGATCAGAGAAGACTTGCCCCATGTGTGAGAGTGAACACTTCCTCGTCGGGTGTCAGAAGTTCCTGAAGGCGTCTGTGCAAGATCGATGGGCAATAGTGAAGAAAAGCCGCGTTTGCTTCAAGTGTTTACAAGGGACACATCGGAAGGAGAGCTGCAAGAAGCCGTCGTGCAAGGAATGCAAGAGGTGGCATCATCATCTGCTGCACGTCGAGACAGAGAAAAGTTCCTCGGAAGAACAGAAGAACAAACCACAAGAAGTGGCGAGCATCATGGCATCGGTGAATGCGGTCAACAACGCAAGGGCATACCTGAAGATAATTCCGATAGAAATCTTCGGGTCAAAAGGATCAAAGAAGATATTGGCCCTCATGGATGAAGGGTCAACAGTGTCGCTGCTAGACCAGAAGGTAGCAGAAGAAATCGGCGCTCAAGGAAGAAAGGAGGAACTGGTCATCGAGACTGTTGGAGGCAGACTGATAAGGAAGGAAGACTCTCAGATGCTTGACCTTACGGTGAAGGGGATTCATCAGAAGACCAAGAAGACCTTGAGAAGAGTCCGGACCATCGAAGAGTTGAAGCTTGCACCGCAGTTCCTAGAAAAGAAAAGGATAGAAGAGTGTCAACACTTGAAGAAGATTGCTGACTCTCTATATTATAAGGGGGAGTCACCACAGCTGCTCATCGGTCAAGACAACTGGGAGCTAATCGTGACTCAAGAAGTAAGAAGAGGGAAACCAGGACAACCAGTCGCTTCAAGAACAGGACTTGGATGGGTGCTCCACGGGTCAGACAATGGAGGCGCGAAAGTGGTGCACTTCTTAAACACGTGTCTACATGTCAGCACGCCAGAAGAAGAGATGCATCAAGCCATCAAGGATCACTTCGCAATCGAAGCACTTGGAGTACTACCAAAAAGACCCACTACGGATTCAGAAGGAAGAGCACTCACCATCCTAGAGAAGACCTGCAGAAGACTAGAAGATGGTCGATTTGAAGCTGGACTTCTATGGAAAAATGAAGATGAACAGATGCCTGAAAGCTACACGTCTGCCAAGAACCGATTGTTCAACATTGAAAAGAAGATAGACAAAGACCCTCAGTTGAAGGCAGAATACAATAAGCAGATCCAGCATCTAATCGACAGCAAGTATGCAGAAGAAGCACCTGGTGGACAAGAAGATTCAAAGAAGACATGGTACCTCCCTCATTTCTCCGTGGTACATCCATTGAAGAAGAAAATAAGGATCGTCTTCGACGCTGCAGCCAAGTCTAAAGGGAGAAGCCTCAACGACGCTTTACTACCGGGACCAGACCTACTGCAATCGCTCTTCGGGGTATTACTGAGGTTCCGGCAAGGCCCGTTTGCAGTGGCAGCCGACATAAAGGAAATGTTCCTGCAAGTTCGCATCCGGCCAGAAGATAGAAACAGCTTGAAGTTCCTGTGGCGAGGGGATCGTCGTGACGTAGCACCGAAGGAGTACAGAATGACATCAGTCATCTTCGGCGCGACATCATCTCCTAGCACAGCGATCTACGTGAAGAACCGGAACGCGGCGGACTACAAGAAGCAGTACCCAGAGGCAGCAAAGGCAATCGAGCTGAACCATTACATGGATGACTACCTGCACAGCTTCCATTCAGAAGAGGACTTCAAGAGAATTACAGCGCAGGTGGACTTCATTCACAAAAAGGCGGGCTTCGAACTCCGAGGATGGGCGTCAAACCACTCCGACCTGCTGCAAGACGTGAAGACTGGAGTCAGTTGAGAAGACAGAGGTGGACCTTGGTGAGAAGGAAGAGAAGACACTGGGACTACGCTGGTTTACAGAAAGGGACTCCATAGGCTTTAGGGCGAACCTTCGGAACACGCCAGATGAAGTGGCACAAGGACTCAAGGTACCTACGAAGAGAGAAGTCACCAGCGCCGTGATGTCGACCTTCGATCCACTAGGGCTAGCATCACCAATTCTCATCCAAGGCAAAAGGCTGCTCCAGAACATATGGCGAAGTGGCGTCGGTTGGGATGAAGAGATAGAAGAAAAGGAGTACGAGTCATGGAAGACTTACCTGGAGAAGATGAAGCTGCTCCAAGACCTTCAGATCCCGAGATGTCTGGCACCACGTCGCACCGAGGGGGAGCTGCACACGTTCACGGATGCAAGCGAAATGGCGTATGCAGCTACGGTATATTGGAGAACTGAAAATCAAAATGGGACTTATGACGTCAGCTTAGTAGCAGCAAAAGTAAGAGTCGCTCCGTTGAAGCCGGTGTCAATCCCGAGACTCGAGCTGCAAGCGGCCCTCCTAGGAAGCAGATTGGCACACTCGGTCGAGGAAGAAATGGATCTGAAAATAGAAAAGAAGACGTTTTGGACAGACTCCAGTATCGTGCTATCATGGATCAAGACGGACCCGAGAACCTTCAAGACATTCGTGGCTCATCGCTTGGCGGAGATAGAAGATCTCACAAAACCACAGGACTGGAGATGGGTACCGACGGCGCAGAACCCTGCAGATGATGCAACACGTGACGTACCAGAACACTTCGACTGCCAACACCGATGGTACACCGGACCAGGGTTTCTAAGAAGAGATGAAGTTCACTGGCCTGCGGCAAGAACATTCAAGAAAGAAACCACTGGCGAAGAAAAGGCAGCGGACATCGTAGCGACTGCAGGCAGCTCCTATCCATCACCAGATCCCGAAAAGTTCTCGTCGTGGAAAAGACTTTGGCGAGCTACAGCAAGAGTACTGCAGTTCATACAACTCTGCAGAAGAAAGGAAAAGGTCCACGCCAGCAAAGAAGATCCTACCTGGAAAACTACAAAAAGGAATAAGAAAATTGTTGAGAAGCGACATCTGTCTTCAAAAACGTCAGAAAGGAAATACATACCATTGGAAACAAGTCTACTAGAGCAAGCTGAAACGCTGTTGTTAAGAAGAAGTCAAGAGAAATGCTTCAAAGAGGACATCAGGTGCCTACAGCAAGGAAAACAATTAGAGGGCAGCAGCAAGTTGAAAAGGCTCGACGTAGTGCTAGAAGAAGGTCTCCTGCGACTGAAAGGAAGAATCGACGCGATACGAGGGGTTACCAGAGACTACAAACGACCCATCGTACTCGACAGCAAGGACACGACAACACTTCTCATCATAGAAGAATTTCACTGCCGCTTCAATCACGGGAATCACGCGACCGTAATGAACGAAGTAAGACAACGCTTCTGGGTGCTAGGACTGAGGTCAGCGATCAAGACCATTCAACATCAATGCCAGTGGTGCAAAACAAGAAAGGCAAGACCTCAAGAACTACCAGTGGGCAACTTACCTGCTGAGAGGCTGATGCACGGAAACCCTCCATTTACGTGCACGGGAATAGATTACTTCGGCCCTATGACGATCACCGTAGCAAGACGCCATGAGAAGAGATGGGGTGCTCTATTCACATGCTTAACAACACGAGCTGTACACATTGAGCTCACTCCTTCACTCTCCACTGACAGCATGATCATGGCACTACGACGATTCGCCGCGAGAAGGGGAATGCCAAAGATAATCTACACCGACAATGGCACTAACTTCGTTGGCGCCAACAAAGAACTCAAAGAAGCACTAGACACCATGAAGCAAGAAGACCTTATCTCGGAAGCGGAGAAGATCGGTGTGCAGTGGAAGTTCATACCTCCTGGTGCACCAAACATGGGAGGTGCATGGGAGCGTCTGGTGCGATCCATTAAAACCGCACTGGACGCCACGCTCAACGAAAGGCAACCACGAGAGGAGGTACTTCATACCCTCCTGTTAGAGGCCGAGCACATAGTCAACTCTCGGCCCCTCACCCACCTCTCCGAGAACCCTGAAGAAGAAGCACTTACACCGAACCACTTTCTCATCGGGCGATCATGTGGCGCAGCAAGAATCGGCAGCTTCGAGGACAACGAGCTTGTGGGCAGACACACCTGGAAGGCTACGCAGCGACTTGCCGATCACTTCTGGCAACGTTGGCTGAGAGAGTATTTGCCCACTCTACTACCAAGGAAAACCAAAGGAAGAGTCAGCGCCACAGATTTGCAAGTCGGAGACATCGTACTGATCGTCGATCACAGCCTACCAAGATGCATCTGGCCACGCGGAAGAATCCTGCATGTGTATCCTGGACCAGACGGGCGGACCAGAGTCGTCGACGTCGAGACCAGAGGAGGTGTTCTACGGAGGCCCAGTTCGAGAGTGGTGCTGTTGGTGCCGGGAGCGTCGCCGAGTCCAGGAGTTGGTGCAAAGCACGAGGGGGAGAATGTCGGCGACGGAAAACCTATCTTCGAGTAACGTGTGTATTAATATAGGGACAATGTCATTTTAGCGTATTATGAATAATTGTTGTAAATATGAAATCTCATTCTTATTAGATTTATTATGTTAAAATAAGTTCTAATTAGTGTAATAAGGTTAGTTTAGAGTATTTTTTGCTTATTTGAATCATATAAGACTATTTAACATTAATTTGAAAGGAATAGGTACGTAAGTAAAATGTTAGCATATAATTACGTAACTTGAAAATGAGATTTTTTGTTTCTTGCAATAGCATAATAGTTTATGTTTTAAATAATAGATTTTATTATAAAACTTATAATAAAACAAGAATTAGGTCGATAGGACTATCCGTTCAAAAGTTATAAGGGAAAATGTATAGTAAAAATGTAGCAACCTAGAAATTTAGATATTTTTGTTTTAAGACTTTTTTAATTAATTATTATATATTGAATATTATGTTTTAATATTGTATAATAGTATGTAAGGCATGTAAATAAATAAATATGTGTAAGGTGTTTTACTGAAAACATAAAATAAAAGGACTCTCAAGGTTTCGGTTTAGGGAAATTTTATTCGAAAAACGAGCTCAAAGTACGCGGCTCTCTGTAAGGTATTAACGGGCCAAATAAAAGGCGAGCCATTTCTCGATTCGAGTCAGTCGCAAGACAGCCACCGAAGAGGCAACAACTAAAAGGAAAAGGAAGAACCGAAACCAAGAGAGAAAAAAGGAAAAATTGTGTTTTATTTCATCGCCTCTAAGTATAGTCTCCTGTCAACGAAAAAACCCTAGTGGATCGGGACCCAAGCTACGCATTCAGGGGTGCGTGGTGGCGTACATTACCAGCGAACGGACATACTGCCGTGTACGCCAAGAACGTCTGGGAGATTGTCCCAGGTCGACCTCCGGGTACTAGACATACCCTGGTTCTGGTCGTCCGAAACACTCAGCAACAACTTTTGTAATAGTGTATTAAATGTCATGATTTGCTTGAACTTGTTTTAAAATATTATTTTAATTCACTAAAAATATTTACTTTATCAACATGTGGATGCCAATATTCATCATGAACTGTAACAGCTTTTCTTGGTGTTATTTCTGAGAAAAATGTTGGATGGGTTAAGAAGATTTTATCGGGTTGTACTCCAAAGTGATGAGCAATGGTAAACTTGATTTTTTCTTTTACAACCTAAAAAATGAAAATATTATGAAATATATGTCAATGTTTGGAGAATAAGTGCATAAAAGATGAATATAGGGTAAATAATAGCACCAATTATGTTATGCAAGCTATAGCAAGCAGCTAATTTTTTCCAGAAATAGTTACTGAAATATTTTTAAAGATTTTTGAATTTTATTTATAATTTGAATGTTTAATTTTATTTTTATTTAATATAATCTTTTTATATAATTTATTTTTTAACTATATTGAAAAATATTCTGAAATAAAGATTTATTATTATTATTATAAAATGTATAGCACATTATCCATTAATAATGCACTATACCTGACTGATATTTTCACTTACTCTAAAAACATTAAAATCATTTTGAGTGAATAAATTTTGCATTTCCTTTATTTTGTAAATATTTACAAAATGTTGCCCTTTGGATAGTGCTCCACTGTGCAGATCTAATATGGAAGCTCCACCATATGAACCTCCAAACTTTAAGCCTTTCTGTGCTATTTTTAATAATTCTTCTGCTTCTCTTTCTGAAATGACTTTGTCAGTAACAAGTCTTTTACAATCTTTTGGAGCACATCCTTCATATTTTATTATTTCATTCATATATTCAGGTGAACATTCAACTATTAAACCCTTCCCAGGTAAGAGCTCTGTTTGTTTTGCAAATGTTATGACACTTTCTTTTGAAGAAAAATAAACTATTATGAGCAAGGAAGTTATCACCACCACTCGGGAAAGTATTCTCAGGGGCAAGCCTTTACTAAGTGGCCTGTAAAATAAAATTGGTTTCTTTTATAAAAATAAAGTATTTATATAACCTATTACAGTAATACGTTGCATTTACACTTTCTCAAAAGGCTTTTTGATATTTTCAACAGTTTTAATAGTTTCTTCACTTTTTAGAATATTTTTGTTTCTTCTCTTGACATCACCCATTATGAATTATAATGCTTCTAAATTTTTATTTAGATTAATTGAAAAAAGAATTCGTGTACGTATTTTTCAATTATAATCTTTAAAAATTAAAAATATAATATAATTTAAAAATATCGTCAATTTTCAACTGTTAGTAATTTTGACAATGTAAATAAATTAAAGAGTAAAGACCGATCTGATTTGAAAGCGAGTCGCGTTATTTGATGATTGATCAGTATCACAGATACAAAGATGTGGTAACCCAATAGTCTAACCCAACCCAAATGTAACCCATAGAGTATATTGCTACATATATAAAATGTAACCAGTAACCACTAAAATACGTTGAGGAATGAGGAGGTAGTAAGGAGGTATAAATTTTTTGTCATGGCATGGATGACAAATAAAATTTTGATTTTTATGATCAATTTACACACTTCAATACCAACTGTACGCCAGAGACGTCAAAACAATAATCTTGAGCAGCACCAACCTATAAAATCTAAAAGATCAACTAGTGCTTCACGCGTTTTTATTGATATCGATAATATATCCAGGCTCGCAGATACTAAGCGAATATGATTGAAGTGAAGAACGAGTTTACATTTAATTAATAATTAAGTTCATTGTTGTTTAGTACACAAAATAACGAATGCAACACTAGACTTAATTAAATGTAGACTCGAGTCGAAATAAAAAAATAATGAAAGAATACATATGGTTTATATTTTTTTATTTTTCAATATAATCTCCCTAAAGTGAAATAAAAATCAAAACTATTTTATAAGTGTGTAGTTATAATACATACATATATACCTATATATTTATATATATATATATATATATATAATATAATATAATATGCATGTAATTTAAATTTGGATCAAATATTTTTATTCCGAATCTTTATTGGCCGAACATTTGAATGAAATCATTATTTTAGTGATTAATATCTTTTTAGTTACTTAACATTAATAAATAAAAGTACAAATTAAGCGAGGGAAATTCAAATTTGTAAAACGCAATACCAGCGAAACGTGACGTCATTTACTGTGTCTAGGGATGTTCATGTAAAAAAAAATCGATATTTTTTTCGATTTAATATATATTTCCCACGCATTGAGAATGTCCTCCTTTTTGGAAGTTTGTTAAAAAATGTATTACTTAGGCAATCTCGATATACCTGTCACTTGCAATACGCCACTTGTCTAAATCGTGATGATAGACGCATAACTCTTCAAGACCCTTCATATCATATTAGCGAGACGAGATCATTTTTGGTGAGAGTGCCGACTCATTATCTGCCATCCTTCATGAAGGAGGACTTCTGGCCGCAGGGCGTCGTGTTTCGGAAGAACCGAGGTCGTTTGTCCGCCGACACAGCTAACACGTCAGCACTACGTGTTAAATAGTTATAATTAATATACATGTTAGTTTTAAGGTATATATTATGCTATGGACCTCTGTTTACATATTTAAGATCTTTTTGCAAATATTGCCTGAAATAAATGAAGAAATAAATAAAATATCACCCAGCTTCCATTTCGCCAGAACCACCCCTGCTGCACCCAGTACTCCAGATCTTGTTACTGCTAAGTAAGAAGGTTTCAGTCTATAAAACTTCTATTTACACTTTTCTGACGTACTGCGTTTACATGTGATTCACGCTCGTCAGTATGAAGTACATGCTTCCACGCACTGTAAAGCGTCTGTCAACTTGCCAAAACCAACTTACCTAGGACCGATCACTACGAACATTCTCACACACACACCTGGAACCCTCACCCACGTAGAAATAAATGTTCCCGAAGAATGTCATCAGTGGAACCGCTACACGACTGCTAAATTGCTAATTGTTTAGTTGGCCCCGCCCACCTCTGCGTAACTGAGGGTGACCAAGATCACGAGAAAGTGAGATGTCTACACTTCAGGAGTGGTAGCACATTGGGCTAGCTATAGTAGATTATTGCTTTAACCCGCTTACTTCGAAAAGAAAATAGAGCGGTTTCAAGCCCGTTATCGCTACTCTATAAATGGGAAACATTATCAACAGAATTACCACTAGCTAATGCGGTTAAAGTTAACAGAGTTTAATGAGAATTGTCAATTGGCCCTTGAATAAGTTTGATTAATTTTTAAATTATTTACTTTACTCGATTAGTTTAAATGCTTTGAAAGGTTTTTTGAAAGGCTTTTTTGCTCTATGGAAATAAGTATACTAAAATATTGTAAAAAAATGATGGACGCTTTATAAAAAAATTATATACCTATAACTAATTGCCACAAAATATATCTCAATTCTATTTCTATTCTATTTCTAGTCATCCATGATCTTAGTATGGCCATTCATAGATAATAAAATATGAATATATAATTAAATGGTGCCATTGGCAGCACTGTCAATAAAAAAAAATCACGACCGTTGTATTGTATGTTGATTGCATTTGCGAATAGCAATTTTTTGTTGAGTATTTACACCAAATTCTTAGTGTTTCATAGCCGTTTAAGAATATAATGTTTAAATATTAGCTGTATAATTTATTTAAAGTTATCACTGCCATATTATATTGATTTTTAAGCCATGTTTTTCGACGACGAAGATGAAGGATTATTCAATCACGAAGTATTTCACGTTGTCCATCGAGAATTTTGTATGTGCTTTTTGCGCTTATTTTATTAATAACTTAAATATTTCGTATGATTTAAAATATTCAGCTATCTTTCAGTTTTAGATGCGTTAAGTTCAAATCTCGATGTATCTCCATTTGGTTTAAGAAGCGTTCCTACCCATACTGAAGATGGAATACCCATCAGAAAGTTATACGTATCGAATTTACCACCCAAGGTAAGAATATAATTAAACCTTTTATTATAATATACGCACGTGGTAACATTTGGTAAACAATAATTTGTTCTAAATTCGTATAAATAAAAATTGAGGAATTCATTGTTGGCATACAAAACCATAATATTAGTATATTCTTCAAAAATATTTTGAGTTTTGTATTTGAACTTGTAGATTTCGTTAAAATAGTAGTGTTTTTATAATATTTTTATAATAAGGAAATCTCAAGTTACAACTTTAGTTCTTCTTTCTCTGCAATTACTTTTTATATAAGAAGCTACTGGATTGCAAAACCTACATTTGGTAAAGATGTCCCCTATTCTAAACTTGTGCCTAAAATTTAAAGACAATACAAGGAGAAAAAAAGTGTATGATATCCTTGCCCATGTAAATTGTTTATCCATTGGAAGGTTAAGAATAAAGACCACATGTGTTCTATACTAAGCAATTTTTTTTAGACAACTAGAGCAGAACTTTTTGGAGTATTTGCTCAATATGGTTTCATCAAGAGCTGTTGGCTAAGAATGGGAGAGAGATCAAACAGAAGTCCAATACCAACATATGCCTTTGTAACCTACAGTAATCCTGCTGATGCCCACAAGTAAGTGTAATATACTGTAATGTGTTATTATCTTTCATTATTAAGTATATAAATAACCATTAGGTATGTTGATTATATGTTATCCTTTTAACAATATTTGTACAAAAATGAACTAACTAAAAATAATAATAAATTATTTCTTAAAAAAATGTATTTTGGTAGTTCAATAGAAATAGAAATTTAAATATAAACAATATTTTTATGACCATAAAACTTTTACTAGTTTTAAAAACACCTCTTAAATATGCATCTGGTCTATTTTGCACCAATTTATTTATCAAAATATAGATTATATCACCAGCAGATATTTCAAAAGCATGCCCATCATCCTATATTTATTTGGGACATTTTTGAAAATATTTTAGAATTTCTATTAATAAGCCATATACTGATAAATAATATTTTATTACTCGACTGCAAGGAAGGGGTTATGTTATTCGCGCCTCTCTTTGTATGTTTGTAATATTCTTTATTCCCTCATAGCTTTCAAACCACTCAATGGATTTCTTTAATTAAGATATCGTTAGATTTTTTTCATTAGTCCAAGTGTTCTTAAATAGATGACATAAAACAAATTAAATATGGGGGCTGCTAGATTCTATAATGTGAAAAAGAAAAAAAATTAATTCGATGAACTATGTCAAGTGGGGTATCGTTGAATAGGTATTTAAAAATAATTTTTAAGTTGATTTCATCATTTTTGATTTTAAATAACAGTTTAGGATATATATTGATTTAAAGTTGGTTATCAACCATTCTCACTAATTTTCCTACTTAAAAATATTTATAAAGTTGTAAATAAAGAAATATATTATAAAAATAAAACACCTGACTGCATAAAAGCTAACTAAAAAGATGTAAACAAGTTCTATAGTAATAAATACTAGTATAAGTAATACATACAGGGATGAAATTTGTATGTCTCTGCATAATACTTTATTCCTTTGTGAAATTTTATGCAGTCGGATTTTTTATTTTTATTATTTATGTAGAATTAGGAACTTTTCTCTCATTAACTATATTATAAACATTGCACCCAATCCTTATGAAGAAATAGTGAAATCTTTTTTGTAGAGCTTTGCAAGCACCTGTCCATGAAAAAACTTTGAGAGGTCGCAATCTTAGAATATCACCAGCTGATAGTTGGCACCAACCTTCAGAAGACGCTGATGGTAAAGTTCGCTGGTCGAACAATCGCCGAGAGGATGGTAGAAATACACCCAGCTGGACTAATGATCTACAAAATGGTACATAATTCTAAAGTTCTATTTGGAACTATCAGTTTGATCTTGCTTCTTTTAATTTCTCATTATAATCCATGCCAAAGAATCATAATATTACCTTTAATAAAACTATGTTTTGTAACTTTTAACTCCTCATCAAAGTTTACTTGGTTATTTCCTTCTATATTTTATTCTGTAGAAATTCAGCCCAATTATAGAAAACAAATTATTAGCAATAACATTATAAACATTTTTTTTAATCTTATCAAATAATCATACTGACAGACTGATATTATGAAGTATTGTAATTTAATGTGTTACACTTACAAACATAATTTTCAGAGTAAACAACATGTAAATGAATGTAATTAGTGCAGTATGCATACTTATACTTATATTAACATAGCACTTAGTCATGCATGTTATTCCGCTGATTTTAATCTTAGTTATAATAAACTAAATATTGGAGTATTATTGAATTATTGAAATCATTATGGCAAAAGGATGTGATTAATATTATTATTTTTAAATCTCATTGAAATAGTCATTATTATTGATTCAGAAGGCGAATCTATAGTTTTTAGAATTTTTATCTCTCTGTCTGGGAACTCATTACAAGAAAACCACTGGATGGATTTTAATGAAATTTGGTATGATGAGTTCTGGTTATCCGGGTCAACATTTAGGATACTTTATAGTGAAATATAGAAAATATCACGTCTGAGAAATCTAGATTTACTAACCGTTACAATGTACCTAGAGACGAACCCAAGCAAAACGAGGGTGAGTCACTAGTTTAAATAATAAAAATCATCTTCCAGCCATTGATGCAGTTGAAACATCGGAGACAGTTGAACCGGAAATCAAAGAGACCAGTGAAGAAGTTACTGTGTGTATACAAATATAAATCTTCAATATTTTCTTTAAACTTATATAAATTGGTAAATATAAAATTAATATATTTCAGGATGAGCAACCACAAGATGAAAGTGAAGAAGAGCCTTATAACATACTAGATATACTGAACAGAGATTGTTTAACGCACATTCTAACCTATGTTCCTATTAGAGACCTAATCAGATCTGAAAGAGTTAGCAAACAATGGCAAAGCATGGTTCAAGAGTATTTGCAAGGTGGGTTTATTTTTGAAACCTTTTTATTAAATATTCCGTGACTGCCTCGGGTGTAGTGGCTAGCAAGTATGGCTGCACACCCAGAGGTCTTGGGTTCGTGTCCTGGGTCGGACTAAGTTTAGTTACTGAGTCTTTCTGTTTAGTGATCCTCAGTAACAGTCCAGAGTCGGCAATTTTTTGGTGTTTCACCCCCGTGCCTCGGAGAGCACGTTTAGTGTGGGTCCTGCGCCTCAACTCTCACTGGTCGTGTCGAGTGTCGTCCCATCGGAGAGAGTGACAGCACTATAGTCTATTCGCGTTAAGAAAATAGTGAGTCATAAGTGCAACTGCAGGGTAAAGGTGTATTCATAGTGGAGTAAAAATTTAATTCTAATATATATTTCAAAAGATTAAGTTTCATGGATAAAAATCAACTTAATTATCTCAAATCAAAATAGTCACTAATAATATTATATTTAATCAGGATCACTAAAATCTTCGTTTGTTTTTTATAAAAAATATGATATTATTTTTTTATAAAAGAATCAAAATCACTTAAATCGCATAGTTAAAGTACTTAAAAACATAGTAAATTACTCGTCTTTCTCTCCTCTCTCTTCACTTTTATTCTTACAAATAGGTTTGATATTCATTTTTTAAATTTATTGTAGATAACGCACAAAAAACATAACTGTTTCGTACGAAAGTCTGCCTTTAACGTGTCATTGTAAACTTGACTTTATAATTTTAAGCGACTTAATTGGTCGGGGGCGTGGCTAGGCCGGTGGACAACGATGACTGTTGGCTAGTCTCAATGAGATTGCCATGACCAAAATCGGTCGGGAGGATGATAATTAAATATTCCGTGGGATTTATCTGCTGTTCTTCCATCTATCCCAATCCTGATGATAATGAGAACAATAGTCTACAGCCTTACAAACCTAATATTGTAATATTATTTTAGCTGTGATCAATATTAGGCCCCAATTGTTTTAAATGTATTTCATCTTCTTAGTTAATGTAATTTATATATTATATAATATGAAGGATGTTTAAAATTGTTTTATTGTTTTGCATCTATTGACTTATCTAAACAGATAAATAAAATTGAATTGTCTTTTTGTCAAGTCAAAATAATAGCTTTTTACTAAATGCATATGAAATTATATATGCTCTACCTGTCGGTTTTTCCGGCTAATTCCCGAAATGGCTGGACTGATAGGACTTTCACTGGCAGATAGCTGATGTTATAAGGAGTAACTTAGGCTATTTTTATTTTAATAAAAGAATTAGGGTTCCGCTCAAAAAAAACGTACTTAGAGTTTGAATGTGAATGTGGATGTGTGTGTGTGATGTGAAGAATAATGATACAATTGGTACTAGCGACTCACCCTCGTTTCGCTCGGGTTCGTCCCTAGGTACGTTTTAATTTTTTGAGCGGAACCATCTTTTTCTAAACTAAAAGTAGTTTATGTTACTCCTTTTAACATCAGTTATCTTCCAGTGAAAGTCCCGTCAAAATCAGTCCAGCCGTTTCAGAGATTATCCAGAACAAATACACAGACAAAAATTTAAAAAATGTGTTTTTCTTATAAGTACCGTATATAATTTCATATGCATTTAATAAATCGTTGTTATTTCGACATTACAAACAGACACTTCAATTTTATTTATCTGTATAGATTACTATTGGTATTACTATAATCAATAACGCATGTATATTGTATGTATATATGTGTGTAGGTATCCGTATGTTCAAGACATCGTGGTGGCAGCACGTGCCGGTGACGCTGACCACGGCGGTGCTGCGGCGCGTGCTGCAGCGCGTGGGCGGCGCGCTGCTGCGCCTGCACATCGACCACCACTGGTCCGCGCTCAACGACCGCACCGCGCACACCGTCGGCAAGTTCTGTCCCAACCTCGAGGAGCTCAAGGTGACTGTGTGCGAACACGCGTATGCATGCGTGCGTGTGTGTGTGTGTGTGTATCGACGTCATTTTTTAAATAACGTCGACAAGTGAGGGAGAAGTTCACAGACGATATGAGTTTTGAATTTTGGGATTTGGGATTAAATATTTTATAAAGCATATATAAATAATGGTTTTTAAACTAATTGAAAAAAAAATCTATTACACTGACAGTAATAGTCTGAGTAACAGTCACATTTAGTTAGTATATCAAATGATACAGTAAGTATAACATTAATATAGCCATTAAGCGTCCTTGTACGAAAGAACTTGTACGGGCGCACATTTTTATATGATAATATGATAAATAGGATTTATGCATCTATACTTATTATAAAAATAAGTCCCCCGGCCGCGTCTTTCTGTCCTCCTGTCTGTCCTCCTGTCTGTCCTCCTGTCTGTCCTCCTGTCTGTCCTCCTGTCTGTCTGTACGCGATAAACTCGAAAACTACTGAACGGATTTTTATACGGTTTTCAACAATAGAAAGAGTAATTCTTGAGGAAGGTTTAGGTATATAATTTATTATGCTTTTATGTAAATTAGCTGAAATACGGCGACAAATGTTGAAGAGGTCGCAAAAAATCTCGCCAAATGGGAACTTTCCACGCGAACGCCGCGTAAACTAGCAAAGATACAGTTAAGTAATGTACTAGAGAATTCAAAATCTATAAAAATGCTACAAAAAAGTCCGCGATAGCATATCTCTATCTCTTACGGTTGACTTACAATAACCACTTTTATGTTAACATTTTTAATTAAAAACATTACGTTATTTTCAAAGTTATTTTCTTTAGTTCGGTATTAATCCTTATCCAAATGAATATTTTAGTTAGCTTAGTCATTTAATGCAGATTAAAATTGCTCTTTACACTAAATCAATCAGATGAATAGTTTTTGAGATATCGTTGTTAGAAGTAATTAGTAGCGAAACATTTTTAATGCTTGGCGAGCATTGAGATGCCTACGGCGAGTCCATCCCCTCTGCCCCGCATCGCTCGACCGCCTGCTCAAGCTATATAAACCGGGCGATGTAGCGCGCGATCCTAGGATACTTTTTACCGCGGGAAAATATCTTATTTCTGAGGAAAAATACAAAAACTGCAATGTAAGAGTATACTAATATGTAACACCTAAGAATTTAGTTTTTGGTCATCTGAACGCGGGCGGAGCCGCGGGCAATGCTAGTATTACCATATAATAATGTGTACACACAATTGACAAACAAACACAAGTGGGTGGATAGATTATTTGGCTTTGCGTTACGGTAGTTTGTTTCCGATCTGTTTGTTGGCACAAATCAATGAGTGCTTGAATATGGATTTTTTTACATACAACAAACCTGTGGCGTTAAATTTATGTTATTATTATACATAAAAAAACTTAATTATTTGTGTTGGAAAATTAATATAAAAATACATATAAGGTGTTTATGCTGAAATGGTGATAGCTTATATGTCATAAGAAAAACTAACAAATTGATTCATTTAAAATTTTAGGTAGTTGGAATGCATACGAAAAATTGGAACCCATTGATCTATGGATGCAAGCAGCTTAGAAGCCTCTCGTTTGTGTCATGCAACAAGGTATGTTTTACAAGAGTTTCCGAAAAAAAATATCTGTCTATTTCGATATAATATTGCTATATACATATTTTGGTGGACTATAACAATTTGTGTACTTTAATATGAACAAACTATGCTAAGACTATACAATACTGTTATGTTCTATAAGTTCTCGGATACAGTGTGCATTGAAATGAGGCACTGAAGCCATAATTTAGATGATTGATGTGAAACGTAAGCTATTTCTGAACTAAAAATTAGTCCTTTTCAAATCCATGCACAGATCATATAGTGTGCCGATATAGTATACATAACTGTTCTGAAAACTGTATATTTGTAAATATGCCATATTCAAAATAATACTTTGAATCCCTCATTTTGTGTTAATAAAGCAATATTTTATTTATTTCAGTTGACAGACTCGAGCTTAGTGCATCTGGTGAAGAACGATTCCTGCATAGAAAGTCTAACGGTCGCCAACAACACTCACGTGACGGGCTTGTTCTTAACGGGCTCGAATCCTTCCAAACTTTCGTCTCTCTCGTTCTACAACTGCTACAGTCTTCAAGGAACGGTTCTAAGCGCTGCCATCGACACTCTACCGAGCTTAACTACTCTTAAGTTGGACCTCTGTCCTATCACCATGTGGAAAATAATCCCGCTAATATTGAGCAAGCTTCCAAAGTTAGAAGAGCTCTCACTAAGTGAGTACACGTCGTCGGAACTGTGCCTACCCAATGTCAACAGTGAAGCCTTCTTAAATGCGATGGCCGGTCTGACTGAGTTGAAGATATTGAATTTGAGCAGAAACATTTACATAACAAATGCTGTGCTAAAAGTCGTCGCTCAATCTTGCCCAAAATTGGAGTCGCTGAATGTTTCCAGTTGTAATTCCAGAAAAACTTTCCCTGTCTCTGGTTAGTGTCTATTTTTTTTTATGTATATTTTTTTGGGCAATCATGTGGTTTTTTATAACAGTAAATTTTATTAGTGTTGAAAATTGGCATCATATCATCAAAATGGGTGCAATGGATGTTTGTAATATATGTAGTAACTAGCGACTCACCCTCGCTTTGCTCGGGTTTGTCTCTAAATACGTTTTAACGGTTAGTATGAAATACATATCTTTGAATTTCTCAGCTTTTCTGTACTATATTATGCATGTATTATACATATGAACCTTCCTCTTGAATCACTTTGTCTATTAAAAAAACCGCATCAAAATCCGTTGCGTAGTTGTATTCTAAAATTGATAAAGTAAGTATTCTTAAAGAAGCCACCTCTGAACAGTATTTGCATATTACCAGAATTTATTTTTTAATTTGGGAAATAACTGACTGATTTTAGGTCTGGATAGTGAGGTCCATTTTCATCGCAGGTAATGGTAAAGTATAATAGAATTAGTGCACAAGTGCATGCTCAATGGAGGTTGTGTATAACTGTTGATTCTCTCAATAACAGATGTTGCGTTTTACGTTTGCATGATTGGTGCTGCTTACGTTTGCGGGATAGGTACGCAGTCAGAGAGAATTCAGACGTGTATACATCAATTGTTTGCTATTGGCAAGGAAATAGTTACTTAACATAACAATGCAGTAAAGAAAATCACATTTTTTTTTATCAGTTTCAGGTATAGGCGACGAAGGCGTATTAGCAGTGTGCGCCGCGTGCGCGTCGCTCGAGCGCTTGGACGTGTCGTACCTGGCGCAGCTGAGCGACGCGGGCGCTCGCGGCGCGGCGCGCCTGCCGCGCCTGGCCGCGCTCACGGCGCGCGGCAACCCCGCGCTCACCGACGCGCCCTTCGAGGCGGTGCTGCGCGGTTGCCCCGCGCTGCGCGACCTCGACCTGTGCGGCTGCGACCACGTGACCGACGCGCTCGTGGGCGCCGCTCGCGCCGCGCTCGACGACGCGCCGCGCGCGCTCACGCTGCGTCTTGCCTCTACCGCCGCCGCGCTCGTCGACCGACAGGTTTGTTTGTTACTCGCGATGTTATATATGTGTGGACCGTCAGGTTGTAGATACACGCTACTTAGATCGTTTTTTTCGTTACTTGCGATATGATAAAAATATATTGGGATATTAATTATTTACATACAGCATCATCTAATTCCTAGATAAGTTACAAGGCTTGTGTTATAGATACCAGATAATAGATAAATTAAACATTATATATATCATATTTATTATAAATACAAACCCTCGTGACTTGAGAACAAACATTCGTGCTCATCGCGCAAATGAATGCACCCAGCGGGACTCGAACACGCGATCGCTGGCACAGCAAGTAGAGCTACATACTGAGCCAAAAGTGTCGTCATCATAAAAACTATAGTATCTAAAACGGATTTTCACAATAAAGAATAAAATGTAACACCCTAAAAATGTATAAAACTACTCTAACTAGCATGATCAAGACTTAATTAAATTAATACCTGTTTAAAGTTACATAAATATTGAATAATATATGGATGTATTTGATCATTAATTTATTTCTTCAATTGAGAAAATTAAAAATATCAAATATATGCACCAAATAATATATTTTTTATCTATAGCACATATATTATGAACACCACAAACTGCTGACAGTGAACCTGTATGAAGATAGGAGCAACCCTCAACTGCGGCCCGACTTTGTAGATCACATCTTCGAAGAGAACTCTGATGGTTCCTTGGATGACATGCTTTATGATCATGAGGACTATGACTTTCTGGGTGCAGGTAAACAAAATAGATAAAACTATATTTATATAACAATTTGTATAAATTGTCAGTAAAAACTTTCTTGGTTGTTTGTTAGCGTGAAATGAGAGGTACATATGTATATCCTACTAATATTATAAACGCTAAAGTTTGTATGGATGTATGTTTGTTACTCCTTCATGCCAGAACGGCTGAAAGGATCTGAATGAAATTTGCCGAGTGAGTGTGCTAACTCGCGCTAGAAGTGCTACAAGGCGTTGCAACTCTATCATCAATCAATCTACTTATATCTATACATATAACGTAACTAAGCCGAATCTGTACATTAAATATTTGTTGTAAAATCTTATTGAAATAGACATTAGTACCAATACAGAGGCCAAATCTATAGTTTTTAGAATTTTGTCTGTCTGTTACCAGATCACGGAAAAGCCACTGGAGGGATTTTGATGAAATTTGGCATGATGATAGCTGGTTATCCGGGTCAAGATATAGGATACTTTTTACTTCGTAAAATATGTCATCTCTGAGAAATCTATACTAACGTTAACCTAAGCAGGGACGAACCCTAGCGAAGCGAGGGTTACTCGCTAGTAGATAAATAAAATTGAAGTGACTGTAACGTCAAAATAATAGCTTTCTACTAATACATATGAAAGTATGTATATATATACAATACTAATAAGAAAACACTTTTTTTAAATATTTATATGTCTGTCTGTTTATTCTGGCTAAACCGAAACAGCTGGACTGATTTTGACGGGACTTTTACTGGCATATAGCTGATTTTATAAGGAGTAACTTAAGCTACTTTTATTTAAAAAAAAGAATTAGGGTTCCGCTCAAAAAAATTAAAACGTACGTAGGGACGCACCCGAGTGAAGCGATGGTAAGTCGCTAGGTTAGACTATAGACTCGTTTTATTAAAATGTGAACTAATTCTCTTTTTTTTTAACAGATGTTGATATATTTCTGGACGAGGACTACGAAGACCACGATGACGTCGTACAGTTCCACGGGCCAATGGGCAATATACTGCTGCTCTGAAATATACTGTTATTTATTAACATATTCACTATTATTTCTAATTTAATTCCACTAAATATTTTTAGTTTGTGTATTAGTCTTGTATATTGATCTTTTTAAAAAGAAGTAATTAATGTTGCTTTTATATATTATATATTAAATTAAGACTTTGAGATTAATTCAAATAGGTTTGTTTTTGTTTTCTTTTTTCTATTATTTCAACTCTCGAATTACTTATAATTTCATGTGAGTCCTGTGATTATACATAATCTGTGATGAATGTGTTGCCGCTACATTGATATTTATCTCAATTTGTTGTCTTTATCCCCTTTCTTTAATATACATAAAAATATAAGTATAAGCAAAGTCTGAAACATTGTGATAGAATGTAAATTTTTCATGTACCTAATGTTTTATTTTTTCATAACTGGTATTATTTGTATGATAAATTGTAATACTATAAAATTTTAGATAGTCAAACTGACAGATAACAAACGGCTTGTTCACAAATGATTAGAAGACTGTGTTAAGGTGTTAGGCTGCAAGCTTCATTTGTTCCAATGCTTGTTGAGTAATATTTACACAGTCACACCCGATATAAGTAGATAAATAGTAATGATGATAATAGAGCTGGGCCGCTCTACAGCAAGCACGCTGTGACACAAAGGTGGAGCAGTGCAATGAGAATATTTAATACTGTTAATTCAGTCTTTTAGTGATATATGTGACTCCTCCATTGAATGTGATATTGGTGAAAACAAAATTTCTCAACTAACATGCAAAGTAGCTATTAAATAAACAATTCAAGTCATAACTATTTAAATAGAAAATATTAATATTAAAAATAAAACAGAACAATAATTCCATTTCAATTTATTTTGTTAAATAAAGTATAATCTCATTAATTGAGTCTACCTTTTTGTCACATCATAATACCTGTATGTATAAGTATAATAAAAATAATAAATAAATATGTTACATTTTTCAAATCTGCCAGTTGATTGTTATGCAGTTGTTAGAGTAATCTTTTATATTTCGTTTCTACTTGTGCAATGTTAACGCATGAATTAAATCTATACTCGGTTGTTTGAGGAAGTGCTCAGAGACGGTTAGCAATTAGTAACTGTTTGATTTTTATGTTAGAGCTTTTCATATAATGATAGGACTATAGCAATACTTTTGAAGCATTTTTTTATCATTTTATATTACATAACTTTATATATTTCAATTTTATGAACTGAATGCATTGTAATCAACAAGGTAATGTTTATTTTTCTATCAAGGGTTGATTTTATTTTATTCACTTTTTGATAAATCAATAACTATTTTATACTTCTAGGCTTTTAATAGGGGTGAAATATTATTTTTAGGTTTATTGGTAATGGCTACCAGGAATGTGTGTGAAGCTAAAACTGGCTTATGTTAATTTAATTACAGATTTTTTTAATCCTCTTTACTTCCTCTTGATCAGTACTGGTATTTAGAGTAGATTATAATAAAATGCTCGAGAAGTGATTTGCAACCATTGGGATACAATTATTCTGTTTTAAATTTAACATTTTCATTGTACATTTCATTTTTTATAAGCTACTAGAAGGTTTTTATTTTGATTGTTTAAAAATAAAAATTACGATTAGCTTTTAGCAGAAGTGTTTGTGTTGAAAATTATTTATTTGTAGAAGAAAAAGATTAACATTTTTAGATTGCATTTTAGAATAGTTTCCTTGCATGAAGATGGTTTGTTAAAAGTTCTTAGTTTTTATACATGCATTGTTTTAAACTTATTAGTACAAAAAGAAACAAATACAAACATTTTCATCAACAGTAAACTTTCTTTTATTTTAAACCTATAGAATAAAGTTGATTACAACTTTTTATAAATAAATCTGACATTGAAAGGCAAAATATAACAAATATGTACAATAATTTTAGCATTGACATCATTTAAATAAATGATAGCTTTGATGGTACAAGGCAATTTAAACAGTTCTACTTTTTAAAGAGCAACAGGGTTGACATCATAATTAGTTGTCTTTATGTAAGTGTTCCACCACTTACCCATAAAACCTACATCAACAATTCTTGCAATCATGCTAAAATATGATGGTTTCAAATATGGACAATGAGCCTTATACAAGTCACAGGAATCGTTCAAATCAGTAGTATACATAAAAGAGATGATTCCTAAAGTCCTATAATGAATCACCCCCTTATTATAACAAGTCTGTATGTAGCGAAGATGGTCTATAGATTCAGGATTTCTACAATCATCGCTCACTAGTATCACATCATTTGTGATTCTCTTCAAACTATCTTTGAAATCTGTTTCATTTGGATTATTTTTAGACAACGCATAAAGTGTTGCTAAGCCGGTGGTCCAAATAAGAGCTTTACGTGGATCGTCTTGAATATCAGTACGTAAATCTTGCAACATTTGACGATAATCTATGAATAAATTTTTCCAATAATTTGCCCATTTTTCTATTATTGTACCCTTAAATTTCTCTGGAAATTTAACTCGTGATTGAAGTCTCGTTAAATAGGTCGGCGATCTAGTTATAGCTTTAAACATGGTGCTTAATATAGAAAAAGTTAGTAGATTTAAAAATCATTGAAGTTAATATTGTAATTCAGATTTTGTTAAATATTTCTGTTTTAACTCTTCATAACCCAATTATTCAATTCAATTCTTTGAATGGCTTTTTTATCTCATAATTATTCCGAACGTCATTGACATTTGACACTTCTTATGTCACAATCACAATCATCATAGACAACTTAGAACTATCACACTCTAGGACGATGTATCACAATCCTAGATCACACTACATCATACATGTGAAAAATTGAATTGTGAAGCCTGGCGTCGACAAATCAGAACGCGTCGAATCGAGGCGAGTCGACTCGAGTCGCATTTATTCGGTGCGTCCATTTCAGCCGAATCGAATTTCTCATTTATCGCAACTCGTCAGCAAACTAGGTCGTGAATGCGCTTTTTAATTCTAAAATGTAGTATAAACCTATACAGGTAGATAAAATGGAAGTGTCTGTTTGTAATCTCAAAATAACAGTTTTTTACTAAATAAACATGAAACTATATACGCTACTTATAAGAAAAACATTTTTTTATTTTTGTCTGTCTGACTTTCACTGGCAGATAGCTGATGCTATAAAGAGTAACTTAGGCTACGTACTTTTATTTTAGAAAAAGAATTAGGGTTCCGCAAAAAAAATTAAAACATACTTAGTAAAGAACCCGAGCGAAGTGAGGGTCAATCTTTAAGTATACCGTATAGTTATACTATAACATAATAGTTAATTATTGTTTCTTTTCACGAAACATAGGTACTCTTTAAATAAAATACAAAATACTCACCGGTGCGCATGCGAATTGAGTCGAAACGCGTTGCCGAAGAAATTCGCCTGACGAGCAATGCGCGCGGGAGATTTGATTAGGCGCGCCGCGACACAAAATTTAATATGGCTGACTGCTTATTTTACACCCCCATGATATGGATATCAAATGAAAGGGTTTGCTGAGAAGAATACGAAAAGAAAGTAAGAAACATTAAAAAAAGTTCAAGCTGTTAAAAATACAAGCTTTTATTTAAATGCTCTAAAAAAACAAAAAGGTATAACTTCTTACGAGCGTACATAAGTAAGTATACACAACTTTTTTCCAATAAATGTTTTTGTTTTTTTTATAAAATTGACATAACTTTTTTTATTTATGAACCGATTGAAATAAATTAAATACTATATGTTAAATGAAGCTTACCATAAAATACATTCTTGAAAACCGCATCCAAATCAGTTAAGCCATTTCTGAGATTCAAACGCACAGACGAACAGTCAAAAATACTAAAAATCATTGTTTTGGGTCCTATTGCGTTAATAGAAACCCCCAATAATAGTTTTTCTCAAATATCTCCCATGTACAGATAGCGATCAGTTACAATTTATTATATTTGACCAATCGGATTATCGGAATCCGTTTATTTTTGAGAGCAAATAATATATATTGAAAATCTGAAGTTTTATGATTTTAAAATGTTAGCAGATATATAAGGAATAGAAATTCGTAAAATGCCCTCGATGCCCAGCTACCCACCGAGAAATAGGGGGACGCAAAGCGTTGGAAAATAGTTTTTTTCAATTTTCGGCTTACTGTGACGTTCTATCGAAAAATGTTTGCACAAAAGTTGTAGGTCTAGTAAAAATCTGCAACTTTTAAAAATAACACTTTTTACAATAACCTCAAAGTTTTCGAGATATTTGCAAAAAAACTTGATTTTTTTACTTTTTCTTGGTTGTTTATTTTTAATTTCTAGAATAATGAATAATCTTTTGATTTCCAAGAAACTAAGGGAATGTAATCTTCGAAATACATATAATAAAAAAAATGAAATTGAAATGTTTAGCCATTTTCTGAAAAAATATGTTTTATGGTCTCGAGAGGCTGAAACTCACCCCCAACTTCAAGTGGGCGTTTACATTTAAAAAAAAATCGTTCAATTTTCAGATAGGGCTCTTTATATTGACCATGGATGACAAATAAAAATATTGACGTTATATATAATATTAATAGGTAGTTAAGTCTGATTTGCAAGGTTCCATTGACCTTTATCTATATATATAAAAGAAAGTCGTGTTAGTTACTTCGCTTATAACTCAAGAACGGCTGAACCGATTTAGCTGAAAATTGGCAGGGAGGTAGTTTAGAGCCAGGAGAAGGACATAGGATACTTTTTATCCCGTTCGACCGCGTTCCAATTTTTATGATATTTTAATTTTTGGATTTCTCTTAGTCCGGAATAGGTAAGTATTAAAACATATAATTAAAATGTGAGAAAGAAAGATTTTTTCTTTTTATATCTATTTAAAACGTACCTAGCGACGAACCCGAGCGAAGCGAGGGTGAGCCGCTAGTTCATATTATAAATGATTCTTTAAAATGATTTTCATTATAATATTTTACGCTTGTTTTGGAACAAATGCTTTTATAAAATTATAATTAAACAAATATTTTTCTAGATCCTTTCCCCCTTAGTACACACAGAACCTTGGTAATAGGATTAATAAATGAAGCACAAACACTTAATGGTCAAACGGATTTACTTTAGTGTTAAATAAGAATAACAAAAAATAATCATATTCATATTAGTCAAGACAATAAAAGGAGATTTCAAAGAATTATCCTTTTCTTGTAGGCAATGCGCCGCTTACACCTTTTGCTTCTCTTTTTCTGCGCGAAAAAGATTCATAGGCGTTATTCACCTGCTGCATATCTGGTGGAGGTGGCGGCATCTCTGTAGGTTGAGACATGTCTTGTCTTACTACCTATAAATATTAATTTCGATATTAGTAAAGTACAATAATTTTATCGTTAAAGGTGATTTTAATATACTGAAGGCAAATCCGTTACTTTTAAATTTTTAATTTAAAATATTTCTAGAAGAGTTTCAAACAGTTGTATTAGGTGATTCGTTCATGAGGTACATATATCAAATAGAACAACACAAAAAGGAACTAAAGGAAATATTTAAATTTAAGATATGTACATTTAAAAAAGGAATCTATGGAACATAATATTGAAAAGTAGTTAACATAATATTGTATAAAACAATTTAATGCGAATAGGTACTTAATAAATAAAATTCGATAACAAATATTTAGAATCAATTTACAATAAACATTCTTACTCGTTTAATAGCCTTATAACCTCCATCGCTGTATTCAACAATGTTTCGTGAGGAAGAGAGTTCTTCAGCACAACTTAAGTTTAGACAATAGAAAAGAATGAACATGAAATAAAATGTGTACTTCATTTTTACTGGTTGTTGTTTAATTAATTTCAGTTAAAAGTGCTTCGACTTTATATGATACACGTTGCATGCAACTTAATTTAAATGCACGCCTATGACATACAATGAAGCATTTCCTGCGATCGACAAGTACGATTACTGAGATAAAAATGTAATAGTTCTTGATAAAATTAATTATAGCAGTCACAAACATGCAAAAAAATCGTATAACGTCAGAAATGAATGCAGCATCTTGATAATTATCCCATTACACAATTATTTAAAGCAATAAAAATCATTATTTTTAAACGGAGTAGTGATGACAATCATGAAAATTGAAAATAATTACAGATGGTTCTCAATTGTCTTTTTTATGTGAATCTAAATCTGTGTGCTGTCTGTCTCATTTGTAAATTGAGAAAATAATATTTAATTTATTAATATTCATAAACGTAAAGCAAATATAAAAGCAACATTTGTAATAATTGCTGTTCTTAAAATCTATCGTACTAGCTGTGTCTGCGAACCAAATTCGAACCAAATCTGCGTAGCGTTGTCTGCCGAAACTATTTATTAATAATCTAGTGTTCACCTTATTATTTTGTTAGCTCCAAAGAAAATTTATTTATGAGAAACGCCAATGTATATATATATATATATATATATATATATATATATATATATATATATATATATATATATATATATATAATATGTATCTTCGTATTGTAAATCTGTGTGCGTTTAGACGACTATACTCGACGAGATCAAGCACGCAAAATGGACTTTAACCACTTTCAAATAATGTAGGTTTATTCCGTTTATGTATGCCAACAACAGATTAATTGTCTTTTAAATTAATAATAAATGCTGTTTTTAGATTGTAGTACTTGACAAATCGTAAGATATCCAGAGGAAAGCGTTCGAGCGGTGGTAAGATCAAAATATCCTTTGTGTGTGTTTGTTCCGATAGAAATTAAGCCTCTACAATCCGTAAAATATAGCTAGATTCCTGTGAAAGAGGTCTTTCTCCACTAATAGAAATAAAGTAAAGAAACGACTCGTTGTCCAGGGGAAAGTAGAAGGCAAGCGGACACACGCGTTGGACAGACCTTATAAAAGCCGTAACACAAAACTCCTTCATCCAGTTGTCCCGAGACACTGAAGACCGCTATAAATGGAAGCACATCGCAGGGGCTACATTAGCTAAAGAAAATCCATCGTCGTTAACCACGACCACTTAGCCAAGAGCGAACGACTAAAAAGAAGAATTCCTCCCTCTCCTTTATCAGAAACAGTAAGCAAAGCTCGACTTACTCCCTCCTCCTATGTTTAAACAAACATTATGTGCCAATTATTTTAGGGAACCCCTGAGCATACTTTCCGTTTTTGAGCATAGTAAGGTTCTCATGTGCGTTCTAAACACATCGATTTGTCACATCATTATCTACTAAATTTTAATTATAAATAAATAAAAATTGCTGACGTAATCACCATCCAGACTCTCCCGTCCCCTATGTCATCAAAACTAAGCAAATCAAAGACCTTATAAATATATTAAACATTGTTTTATTTAAAAATAATTAATGTAATCTTCGATTAACAATACTCCTGTTGATCGAAGGGCGTAATGGGCAATTATAAGCGTTTTCCAATTACAGCATTAAAGCGCATGCGGCATCATGCTCAACTTCGATTTTTTCAGCTACAGCAACGCTCCGCACAATCGTGCTCTTTGAAAAGTACTGCTTTGGTGTGACCAACCACCTCAGTAGCAGAAAATATAGAAAGTATTTTTTTTGCGTTGTCCGTGTTTGTACACCAAAGAGCGGCAATATGTTCTGTAATTGGAAAACACGGATATATAACCCGTTATTATCCAAGTCGATGCAGCACTGACTATTATCATGTCAGTTTAAAAAACTTTAAAAAATGGTCAGTTTCAAAAATGGTACGTCAAAATTGAGAGCTACCAGATCATGGATGAATTATTAATAAATCATCCAAATAATATTCTTTACACAATATCCCAGTGTTTTGATTTAACATGATAAATTGAGATTCTACAACTTTTTTAAATAAATTGGATATAATAGGGACTTAAAAAATCAACAAAATAAAATCATTTTGTTGGATTTTTTAAGTCCCTATCTTTAAAAATAAAGATTTAATAAATTTATATTCTGTTATGTGAAAAAAAAATCCTTCCTCTGATCCTCAAACAGTTAGTAATTGAAAATGATCAAGGTGGTTTCCTTTTATTTATACGGATTAAACTATTTTTTACCATTAGCAACTCTAAGTCCCTTCAAGTCTGCAGATTATATTCGACTTTGTTTTATTTTTACCCTCCGAAACTGGAAGGCGGTTCTATTAAAAGTTGATCAGTCGTAAACGAGAAAATATATTGCCGATAAGAATTGTCCATATTAAAACATTAATTTCTTTGAGGATAGAAAAAATGAAGTCGTCTACCACACCAATAGTAGCAGCGGCTGCAGGCAAAGTATACAAAGTAGGGAATCGTATAGGACGTGGAATACCCACTATAAATGAAGTATATACAAATAAATGTTCCTGTCGGCGAGAGAAAACATTCGTCTTTTGTCGATCATGTGGCTATAACTGCCATGGTCGCATTCGATTGAAATGCGAAACTCATCCTCGGGTATGAGATACATACGTAAATAATAAATATGGCATACTGCATTATTTTGTAATATGTGCTTATCGTTGTTTTTTTTAATAGGTGACGTTTCTGCTGGACATATCTGAATGCCCACGCTGCCATTCCTCAGTTTTCCTGGACGAATATTCCGGTGACATGTAATTTGTTCTTGTATTTTTTCTAGATTTTTATTGTTAACTAAAAAGATTATTTTTTACTTTTAAAAGCCTACCAGTTGTTTGTTACATTTTCTGTAAGAATAGGTTTAGTAAATAGATTATTATAAGGTGTTGATTGCTGAATTGATTTTAAATTTGAAGTATTATAGAAGCTGGTGATGTTGTTCGTACTTGACATTGTGAAAATGTCTGTTTTTTATCCTTTATTTTATGTTAAGCTTTCTGTTTTAAGATATGTAAAGTAATTTAAATAACTTTCTTTGTTACATTCAAATTTGAATGAGAAAATTTATACAAGGGGTTAATTACTTGTTTAATTTTATAATTAAAACATTTTTATTTATATAACATCAAACTACTTAAACTATTAAGTTTTTATGATAAAAACTTGTCTAGTTTACGAAATTTATTGTTATATAAGTAAAAATAGTTATTGTTTTTGTTCTAGATCCTTATTATTAAGAAAGTAAATAAATGCAACATATATGAATATTTTTGTTTTTGATTCTTATTTAAAAGTGGCTAAACCAACAGACCTCCTTCGGTCAAATCAAATGTTTAGCAGGCCCAATTAGAAAATTGGTGCTTTTGTGTTATTTTTTTACAATTATTCTCTTCAAAAGAACCTTCCTTGGACTGAATATTTGAATAAAAAAAATAGCTGAATTAGTCCAGTTGTTCTTGTGTTTTGCGTTTAGCAACACATTTAGTGATATATTTATATAGTTTAAGACCTTACTTTTATATAACACACTTTTGCTTTAAGTAATACAGTCAAATTAACAGAATACGTGCTTGGTTTTAAATCTAATTGAAGAAAATAGGCAGTTTAATTATTTGCTATATTTCTCATAATGCATATTCTATAATGTGATACAATGAAAAAAAAATCAAAGAAAACATTCTATAAGTTATACATTATTATTATTATTTATTTTCTTAGGGATAATTGCTTAGATCTAATAACTACACGAAAAGTAAATAAAATATTATATTGTAAACCAGCTTGGAACATCTGATCGGTCTTTGTTGCGATCTATGTATTGTTTAAAAGATTTTTTAACTTCATCTAAAGACTTTGCATCGTCTTCACTATCACCTTTTTTCTTTTCAAAAATATTAGGAAATTCAAATTTCATTGTTTTTGGCTGAAAAGATAAAAATATCTGCTTTACAAGAAAGAAAATATTCATGCCTTAAAAAAAATAACTATGAATATTATGACATTTAATATTAATCCATGATATATTATGTACCTTTTTTAATCTTTCACTAAAGATTAGAAGCATAATATAATGTATTCCTATTTACGTTCAAAAACTATAAACTATAACTTAGAGTACACATAATCTACTATTATAAAAAAATTGGCCAAAATATATTGTTTGTTATCGTTTGGAAGCTTTTTGATTAGGTTAAAATTTTATCATAGAAAACCAAACAACAACTATATATGTTCAAGATTTCGGCATTAAATATAATGGAGCACTATTTCTATGGACCAGGCTTTTACTACTAAAATATTAAGAGGAAAAATACTTACGAGCGTAACGTAGGCGTGTTTTATATCATCATCTTTAACTATATAACCTTTGGCGATGTCCTTTCGAAATTTACCCATGGCGATACGTGTTTTTACATCAACTACAGGAATATTATAAATTTTTTCTAAATAATTTTTAACATCATATTTTGTCATTTCCATAGAACAATGAAATTGAACTATATTTGGGTGCTGGTTAGGTGGTGATCGGACTAATTTCATCCAAAAGTTAGGTAAAAATATTCTTAATTGCGGGTTACCTTTTTGATATATAGGATACCTGTGAACAGCAATGTTAATAAGTAATTGAATTTAAAATTCTAAGATTGTCTACAAAAATACAAAATTACCATCGTGTAGACATTTTAATTTCAAATTATTGGTCTATAATTAATATTTTTTAAATTATCAACTTTTAACCTAAAAAACAAAAAAAATATATTGACTTTGACACATAGATGACTGCTTTGACATTATAGTAAGTAGCACAGGACACAGACTACTGATGTACCTAGTGAAAAAAGGAGATTTTCAATCGGGAAGATTTCTCGAAAGGAGGACGCCACACGTATTTACTTACAATCAGTATGAGTTAAGCTATTTTTTATGATATCTCTTTTATACCTAGTTTTTTGCTTCTATTGTGTTCGCATCTTACCCGTGCAATGTTCATCCCCTAAGCGTGTAAAAATGGGCATTAAAGGTTGTATGAAATTCTGCTATTCTTAATGTGAAATACACAGAAAGTAGTGTTGATATTAATGCTTTTTAATACAATTAAATAGCATTTTTTGAAATTCAATCCCATAAGGGGATAAAATGGGGAATGAAAGTTTGTATGCCATACTGTAATTAATATTTAAGAAAGTACAAATATTAAAAAAAATGGATTCACTTAAAGACGACTTAACAGTTTTAAAATCACTTTCTGTAAAATGATGTCCACATAGGCTTAAATATTGAGTACACAATATCTTCTGTTTTTGTCTTTTGGGAAAAAATGATATTAAGTTTCTTTGCATCCTGGCATTGTAAGATTTGTCATTTTAGTTAAATTTTAAATAAAATGAAAAAAAAAAAAAACAACTCATCAGAAATTGTACCAGCCCATTTAACACGGTTTATTTTAAAAAGATCTCTCTCTACGCTAGCGCCTCTCGGTATATTCGAGCACAATAGCCCATTTTGGTTGCCGCAAGTTTGTTGGCCGGTATACGGTGTTCTATTGTATATCCTCATCTCATCATCGCATCAACATAATATTCAGTCATATTGGCATAGAGATCTTTAAGGAATTGGTATAAACGTTCAAACAAAACTAATGAGAACTAGCCTTCAAATATCTAGGTAACGTGACACTTTACGGAGTTATATTGTTGATATTTTCATTTTTTATATTTTTTGTATCTTTCATAGTGCGATGCAAGTTTATAAAAATTAAACAAGGTAGAATGTTGGTAATCATTAATCTTCATCATAAAGGCTTACACTGCCAGTACGTTATAATTTACGGTACTAACCCTTAGTGTGGTGCTAGCATAACAAATACGTTTTATATAGCGTCTTATGTAGGTACAATATAGCATTCTCTCAAAAATAATAATTAGTAAAACTTATGTATTAAAGGTAATCTCGACATTTTTTTTAATATCTTTCGTTCATTTAATTTATATAATAGTATAATTATTTATGGTAGGATAATTTAAAAAAGAGCTTTAATACTATTATGATGTCATGTCATGTGGCAACAATCTTTTAAGTGACAATTTAGTCGTAAAGATGGCGGTGGCCTTGTCACCCGACCAAGAGTTGGTAAGTGTAAATTTTCAAATAATATGATTAATATCTATGATATTCATTAACTCTTGTAGACCATTGGCTCAAGATATAAAAGGATTATAATATTATAATGTAAATGCCTTATCACGTATGAACTAGATAAGTACTTATTTCGTTTACCATGTCATCAGTGTTTGTTTTGGTTTGTTGGTACTAACTACTAAACTTTGATATTTTCCTTTAACAAAAGTGAATAAATTATTAAGCTATTCGTCAACATAAATGAATTATGATAGAATATGTAGGATACCATATTTCTTTAAGTTACTAATTTTTAAGAACGATAAAATGGAAATGTAAAAACACTCACACAATATTTTTCTAGCGTTTCTAATGTCTATAGTTTTTACTTGTAACTTGTAATTGTTGATTTTTTCAAGTTTGCGATTTATTTTTGCAATATGTTTACAAAAGATAATAACTTGTTCTTATTTTAAAATTATGACGATCATATTTGAGGATTTATTGAGACGTCAAATAAACAATATTTAGCCTTTTTTTTGTTAAAATGTCTTTAGTTGCATTGCTTTAATTTTTTTATTTTATTACTGACTGAATTAAAAATTCCTTATACATATATTATTGTGTTTATCGATTTTTTGTTCTTTTTTTAAATTAGCATTTTATTTATAGATATTATGTTGCAACAATATCTATCTACATATTATACTTTATATAATATGTACCTTAATTATGTGCATGTGTAAAAAAAGGCAGTGGTAGCCCAATAGTAATGCACTCGCTTGGGAAACCGAGTGAAGCAGGTTCAAATCCCAGGTCTATCACCTCTGATACTTTCATGTGCGAATCAATTCTAACATGATTACCACTTGCTTTACGGTGAAGGAAAACATCATGAGGAAGTCTGCATGTCGGAGAGATCCTAACGAGTTTTCGAAAGACGTGTGAAGTCTGCCAACCTGCACTTGGCCAGCGTCTTGGACTAGGGCCTGATCCTCCTCATATTGAGGGAGGCCCGTGCCCTTCAGTAGGATGTTAAAAAGCTGAGAAAAATTTGTTAAAAATAGGAGAACCATGTGCAGTAATAAAAAATATATGTTTAATAGATAATTTTAAGTACTTTATGTGTTCTCACCATACTTCATCTTACTATTATATACATGCAAAAGTTTGGATGCATTTGTTACTCCACGCCAGAACGGCTGAACGGATCTGGATGAAATTTGGCACAGAGATAGATAGAGAAGATAGTCTGGAATAGCATATAGGCTACTTTTTATCCTGCCAAAATGTATGGTTATCGTGGGATAGATTTGTTTTCTTTTACACAGTTGATGTGAGCTGCTAGTATAATATATATTTTTATTTTTAAATCTTATTTAATGTAATAGTAGCTAAATTAAATTATTTTAGACTGCCTATTCATAGGTTTTAATGTAACTCGTTCGTAGTATTAGTAACTACTTAGTAAAGTTTTGTAATAAAGAAGTATACAAGAAATTTATTAGAATACAAAGGAAATTTCTTTAACAAGTGTGTCCTATATTTTGCACATAGAGCCTATCTGTGGATACTGAGGGTGAAATTGGTTTAAAGTCCTACCAATTTAAAGTTGCTCAGTTCTCAAGAGGGCTATACTGAGTTTCTATAAAGAACTGGATCTAAAACAAGGTCTTATAACAAAGCATCAAAGTAATTGACATAACATAAAGAATTTGTGATCTAAAAACAAAGCATCAAAGTAATTGACATAACATAAAGAATTTGTGATCTAAAATGGCAGTAGGCTTGTTACAAAATTGATGATCTTTGAAGTAGTGGGGTTCTAAAGCGGAGACTACTGTTTGGCTAACTGCTTGCTGAAAGGTGTCCTACATTAGTAGGACACCCTTCAGCGAGCAAGTCAGTGAGGTGTGCCTAGTCACATTAAAAAATGAAATAATACCATCCAGTTTAGTTGAGGGGAATAAGTTTGTAAAATTATTAAGTATTCCTCTAAAATATAACATTTTTTCCTGTTGCAAAAAGTATTATATGTCACCAGGGGGTTGCCATATCTGCATCTAAAGTCATATCAAATCATTATTCCATTTTTAAGTGAATTAAGGAAAAAGTAACAAATTTTGTTTCATATTTATAATATAAATATGGATGAAAATCCATAAAAAGATTTTCATTATAAGTTTGAAATAATTATAAATTAATAATTTAAAAAAACCCCTACGCAAATTGTCATTTAACGATTACACTGGCACGCGTGAAGCACTTAATCGAGTAATCATACGCCAAAATGTCTTACATCATTTTGGATAAGAGCTGATACTCTTACACTGCTGGACCGATATTAACCAAACATAGCTGAGAACGACCGCAAGGAAATTGGCTTTCAAATGAAAAAAGCTGCATCGAAATCGGTCCATCGGTTTGATAGCTACGATGCCACAGACAGACATCGACGTCAAACTGATAACAGAGGAGTGTGTTTGCGTCGTGGGTTAATAAAAACTGTTTGAAAATATTAAATTTCTAGGGAACTATTATTAAATATTTCACCTAGTAAATAAAGTAAATTCGGAAATAGAATAGTGTAGTCTATCGATTGTCGGTTGACGACGGGTCGCGACATCCGCCTCGCTTTTGTATCATGTACCTACTGACTACTGATTCATTGTTAAAAAGTTCGTATAAATTATCAAGATTTACACACTTGTAATGAAGTAACTTGTAATGGTTTTTTTATTTCCTATACTACCTATTACATCTGAATTTCATTCGCGAATATTAACTTTTAAAACATATTTTTCTTATCCACTGGGAATCGGCTTTTATATACTGCATTGTAATTATAATAATAGCATGGCTTAAAACTTGAATACTTACGTTAGTAAAACGACTGTGATTATAGCCCCGAAGCATTGTTTACTCTTAGTATTTTTAGCTACGTTGTGCGTACCTATACCGACGTCGAGTACATAAACATAACTTGTTTTCGAAAATTCCGTTTAATCTATTAATGAATCGAAGTTAATAAATATGCAGGTATGAGATGAAATGTGGAAACGGAAATCGTCGCAATAAATCACTTAAAGTGTGAGTGACGGTAAGAGGGGCGTCATTCAATCCTCTGGTTTATTGAGTGCACTCACACCTCGCATTATGTCTATACTTACGTAGTTCCCTCTCATGCATGTACCTACATCGAACTGTATAATGTAGAAATAGAATTATTTAAATCACACATATTTCTAACTGTATAATAATTATTAAAAGGATAAATAAAGGTAAAACCTATTTCCTCAATGACTATTATAGAATTTCCGGGAGCACTTCAATTATAGTTATTTCCTTTCCAGTGTTGTTTATTGTCTGACAAAGCTGGAGCGAACTAGGTTAGTGTTCTACGTAAAATATTCTTATGTATATATGTATTTTTTTCATTCTAGTTTTATTTTATAGTTACAACATGAAGTTAAGTCGGTACAAATTAAATCGGACAATTACATTTATTATTGTTTTAATGAAAGGTGTTAAATTTCTATTGTTGTGGAATTAGGACGGTATTTTCACGCTTGTTGGTAAAAGATGACAATGTGTTCATGGAGGCATGTCCTCAGTAATGTTCTCGTCTCGCTGGATATCTCCTTTGTCTTGAATTATCTACCAGCTCTCATGTCAATGACTTTCATCATCCCTCTTACGTATATAAAATTATTCTCTTCTTTGCACTAGCATAGAAAGGAAATAAAATAAATAGATAAATAGAGCTATAAAAGCTTTTAAGGGCTAAAGTTGTTATTAATTTGAAAAATTTCTCTTTACAAATAAAATACGTGGTTATAAAATAATCAATCTGTCGTTGGAAAAGCTATATTTAGTAGATATTATTTTAAAATTATCCCTATCGAGTTTTATTGAAAGCATTGCAATACTTTTGGCGTTAAACTTACGTTTTTTTAATAACAAAATTATCAATTATATAAAGTATTATATAGGTTACAAATTATTTCAGTTTTAAATATTTCAACCTAGACAACTCCTACGCAATACTAATGTATTGCTTTAATATCTTTGTGTCCTCAGGCAACGAGGGGGGTGTGACACCTGACTCATGTTATATTTTATTATTATGATATCAATTTGCAAAGAAATTTTGTTTCGAACTTGTCATAAAGTAGTCTACTAAGAAAACTCCTTTAACACATAGATAATATTATTTGCTACGATGCTACTTCTAGCTATCCTGCCAATCTATACAGATAAATAAAATTAAAGCGTCTGTTTGTAATGTTAAAACATTTTTTTACTAAATGCATATGAAATTATTTACGGTATACTTATATGAAAAACTCATTTTTTTACATTTTTTCTGTCTGTTTGTTCCGGCTAATCTCCGAAACGACTGGACTGATTTTGACGGGACTTTTACTGGCAGATAACTGATCTTATAAGGAGTAACTATTCTATTTTAATTTAAGAAAAAAAATTAGGGTGCCGCTCAAAAAAATTAAAACGTACTGAGGAACGCACCCGAGTGAAGCGAGGGTAAATCGCTAGTAATAAATATAATTTTGATAGAAATAGCTGTTCGGTTTATACTTTTTAAGAGTAACATAAATACAATATTATATTATCAAATTAATAAGGAATTTACACTATGTAAAAAAATAAAGATTTAAAAGGCTTTTGAAGGTTTTTACTTTTTAGGCTTGCATATTGTGATTATGTGCCTCATTTGTCGATTTTCGCCTATGATATGACAGTAGCACTTGATAGCCGCGTGTGCGCGATCGTGTGTGATCTTTACGATTTTTTAACTGATGTACACAGTGTGATAATAAAACTTCAATTAGATATATTTTTTGTGAAAATTTACATTAGAACATGGAGACCTGTAAAGATATTGATGTGACATTTAAATTTTATTTTTCAAATAATTTTTAATTTATTGTTTTGTAAGCTATATACCTATACTTTTATTTTTAATGCTTACTATTAATAATGCCAAGGAATTAGAATTCAAATATTTAAGGGTATCTTCGACTGAATCGTATTGTATACGTATCGTTTCGTTTTTCTTTGAATCCTTTTTTCCTTATTAGAATCTGTCTATCTATACATATAATAAAGTTATAACTGAATCGTATCTGTACATTTCGGTGGTGTAGTGGCTAGCATGTACGGCTGCACACTCGGAGGTCCTGGGTTCGAGTCCCGGGTCGGGCCAAGTTTAGTTATTGAGTCTTTCTGTATAGTAAGTCTCAGTAACAGCCCGGAGTTGGGAAGTTGGCGGTGCTTCACCCCCGTTCCTCGAAGAGCACGTAAAGCCGTCGGTCCTGCGCCTTAACTCTCACCGGTCGTGTCGAGCAGTCGTCCCACTGGAGTATGAGAGTGATAGGAATAGAGAGTGCACTTGTGTCTGCGCGTACACTTGAGCACTATAATTTCTCCTGCGTAGTTGGCTAGTCTCAATGAGATTGGCCGCCGTAGCCGGAATCGGCTAGGAGAACATCATCATATATTTGAAATTCTTATTGAAATAGTCATTATTATGAGCTAAGCTAATTTTAAATGTTTGTATAGAAATCAGTTAACTATTTTGAAATAAAATATGAAAAATTATTCATATTTATATTATTCCAGGTCCAGATTAATCCTTTTTTGTTTTTATCAAAACCAGCGCTTTTGTACTTTTAGTCCAGAATGACGACCACTAAGATATTTACTTATCTATAATGTGTAGGTAATAGGTATACGAACGTTTACAATAACTATGGCCCAAGTTGACGTATCTCCAGATGAACTTGCTAGATTAAAATTGATTAGAGTTTTATTTTTGCAAAAAAACAGTTGATACCCATCAAACTCAAGTAATACACGCGTAATAGAAAAACCTGATAAAAATACTAAAATATAGTATTGATTTTTTTATACTGCATCCCAAATGCAACTTATCGAAAAACTTGACCGCGTTAAAATTTTATTACATCCATGTATATAGATTATAAAACTTAGGTGCACTTAATATCGTGTACCTATTACGTTTAAAGCAAGTAGCGTACGGCCGCTCATGCTAATACGGTCACTGCACAGGATACACATCCCGGAAGAATTAGCCCCTCCGTATTTGAATCGATACATGTGACTTTTATAAAATGTTTTCAATAACTAATATAATCATAACCAATACCAAAATGATATTAAATTTTTCCATAGAAGGAAAGCAATGAATAGACAGAAAATAAAAACATATTTTTTATAATAGTGGGCTATAGTTGCATATACTTATTAATTAACTAGCAGAACCCGCGGCTTCGCTCGCGCTAAAGCTACAAAAAAATCTTTAAAAAGTATTTCATACAAACTTTCATCCCCTATTTTACCCCCTTATAGGATGAATTTTGAAAAATGCTAAAACACATATTTATTTAATTTTATTGAACTTCAAGTAATGATGATCATAAATATATTTTTGGGTTGTATTATAACGTGTTTTCCCGTGGGAATGAGATAATCTAACGCGGTAAAAATTAGCCTATGTCACTCTCCAGCCCTCTAACTGTCTCCACACAAAAAATCACGCCTATCCGTCATTCCGTTTCCACCTGAAACAAACAAACTCACTTTCACATTTATAATATTAGTATGGATTTATTTTACTTTACTAATATTTTGAACATGTATGTAGGTAAAATTAGTATTTAAAAGTATATATAAAATAGTATAAAAACTATTTTAAGTGGAGTTTTATTTATGCTTATTTATATTTGTGCTATTATTATCTTTCATTGAATCGATTTGCCTGAATTATTTATTATGTTGGACTGTTGGTCGGTTGCGGTTAGAGGAAAATAGTACTTAAATGAAATTCCCCGAATGATTACTGAACCTTTGTATGTGTGTTAGTATAGCAGCCAATCTCACTATATATATATGTGAAAGTGTGTTTGTTTGTTTATTTGTCCTCTTTACGTCGAAACGTCGAGTCGTCAGAGTGACATATTGGCGTAATTTTTGTGTGAAGATAGTTGATGGGCTAGAGAGTAAAATAGGCTATTTTTTATCATAGGAGATCATCTCATTCTCACGGGAAAACACGTTATATATAATACAACCCAAAAAATATTTATGATCAGAATTACTTAAAAGTTGGTATTAATTTACTCTTCAGTACAATTAAGTAAATACGTGTTTCAGTTTTTTTTGAAATTCATCGTATAAGGAGGTAAAACAGGGGATGAAAGATTGTATGGAACCTAATTTTTTAGAGTTTTTTTTTTGTAGTTTTAGCGCGAGCGAAGCTGCGGATTCTGCTAGTACATGTATATAAAATTAACGAAATTCATATAAATTAATTAAAAAAGTGCTTTGTTTTCTTATTGGTATCAAAGACATAAGTACTTGATAGTGTATAACTAATCGTATTTATAGAAATCGTTGCCGCCCCTTGACTGGGTTGTGATTGTAAGTGAGAAAGTGTGACGAAATAGTGAAATCAACTGTTTACTATTAATTTGATGTGCGTAGTGCTATATATCAATGACTGCTTGTTTATTTAAGTACAAAGACAATCATGGACCAAAACTTTAACATTTTTAATGTTGAAAAAAAGTTTTTACAACAACTCTTCTTATTTCTACAGGTAGGAATGTCCTTATTTGACCCTTTAAGTCTCATGTGTATGGTTTTGTTTATGGGCATATGTAAATAAACCATTTTTTGTATTTTGATTTAATATTTTAGCCAATACCTTCTGTCAAACATCAGTTCAATATTTTTCTAATGCTTATTCATAATTAGAAATCTATTACTATAGTTACTTTTTCCTTGCACGCTTTTCATCCTGGAAACGTGCTAGGTGGCCTATATAAACATTCTTAGCCAGTAGGCATCGGACCTGTGACCTAATAAATTACCAGAACCAGACCAACTTGGAATATTTGCTTGCACTACAGTTAAATGGAATTATAATCCAATACAAAATATCGCTTATTCTATAAAAAAAATCTTTCTAATCGGTCTAGAGTTTGAAAATGCTGATATATTATAACACCTTTGCTTACAGGCGACGAAAGCGTTTCTAGACGCGCTAAGTGAAACTGGTGCGACGTGCATTTCGCGGGCGACCGCGATCAAGTTTCTGCTCGCGCGGAAGTTTGACGTTGCGCGTGCGCACACTCTGTGGCGGCAGCATGAGGCTACTCGGCGCAGGGAGGGCCTCATCAAATTCGAACCTTTCGAAGATCCTTTGAAAAGTGAACTGGAGACAGGCAAATTTACTATATTGGTAAGATTATTTTGAAGTATTCATGTACTTATTTATGGTCAGATTTAATTTAATTTCTTTTAACTCAAATTAATATTTTACTATTAGAAGATACATATATGTATGTATATGTATGCATATACAATAAGACAATAATGTATCTCCTAAAAAAATTTCAATTGAGCTATAACCATTTATAATATAAACTATTTAATTAACCATTATTTTAGTAATCAAATCAGGAATTGAAACGAAAAAACGTGGATAATGAAACATTTTTTATCTTTATAGATATAAATCAAATGGATATTTTTGGTTTCCAAACTGCAACACACAATTCCCTAAATCGTTTTTGAGCGTATAAATTTGCAGTTTTCCTATACACTATCAAATTAATTTAGAGTGACGGAAGTTCGTCTTAAGGTAGTAACTAAGTTTGTGTGGTTTCAGCCTACACGAGATGCGACGGGGGCGGCGATTGCGGTATTCACTGCTAATAAGCATTTTCCCACGCAAACCACACATCAAACAACCCTACAGGTATCAAAACTTATGTATATATTTTTATAGAAGAAAATATTAATTTTGCAAGATAACAAGAATTCTAAAATAGACAAAATGGTTACTATCTTTACGAGCAAGTACATTTTTATCTCCTATTTCGTGGATTTTTTTTTCTTTCGTCGGGTTCAAAATTTACTTGCAGTGCATTGTAAAGTACTGTTTGACACATTATTATTATATTTAATCATAGCAATTTCCGCCGGCTGTAATACTATAAGATTGTATTGTCAAAATCAAATAATTTTTTCATGGAAACTTTATAAAATTAATTATTTTTTTCTTTCTGTTAATGCTAATGCCTTCTTGTTTTAACAAAAATATAAATAAAGACTCACAGACATACATCCATGCCTTTTTTGAGGATTTTATATAAAAAAAATGCTTTCTTGTTGTTATTAATTAAACTTTTAAACTAAGCTTATAGAGCTTTTAAGCTTCGTGATCGCGTTATAATTTCAAGTTGGTGGTGGTATTTTGAATTAGTAACCGTAAAAACTTATAAAATATCATATTTTTGACCAACTCTTGAAAAAGGAGATATTCAATTGAGTCGTGTATTTTTTTATGTTTATGCTAAATTTGTTTTTATTTTTAAATTATTTACACCAAGATTTTTAAATTATTCACACAAAGAGGTTCGTACTTTAAATAAATAATTACTCTCTCCCAAGGGATGAATAACTACATTTAAAGATATTTTGTAGTCGCTATACCTTTTAGTTAAAAAGTAATTATATTACAGCGAAACTGCCTCGTTGGTCTAGTAACTAGCATATACGGCTGTATGTAGATTCGGAGGTCCTGGGTTCGAGTCCCTATTTGGGTTAAGTTTAGTATTTGAGATTTTTTATCAAGAAATCCTTCGTTACAACCCAGAGTTAGGAAATGTTTTCAATGTGTTTCACCTCAGTGCCTCGGAGAGCTGGTAAAGCCACAGTTCCTGCAGCTAATCTCAACCCGGTTGTGCCAAATTGTTGTTCCACCAGAGTATGAGAGTGACAAAAATAAAGAGTGCATTTAATCATTCTAGTGCTCTATAATAATATGTTTTGCTCACATGCTTATCTCAGTGAGATTGGCCGCTGTTGCCGAAATCGTTATTATTTATAAAATTATATTATTATTTAAATAAATAAATAAATAAATTAAGCCTTTATTTTCTACTACACAGTTGATATTCACATTAAAAAAAACTTGATTATAAAAGTTTAAACAGGTTTTATTGCATGCATAATGTAATCATTACATAATATATTTTATTATACTTTCAATCTATTATTACTATTTATTTATTTTATTGTTATATTATTATTATCGATTTTATTACTAATTACTTGTAATATTATTAAATATAAAACTTTTATTCGTAGGGCGTAGTGTATCAATTAGACGTGGCGCTTCAGTCGGTAGACACGCAACGCGCGGGCCTCGTGTTCATCTATGATATGACGGACTCGAAGTACACCAACTTCGACTATGAGCTGTCACAGAAGATTCTTACAATGCTCAAGGTTAGTTTTAGTATGTAATAGTCCAGTGGTAGATTTACCAGCAGGCTCAGTAGGCTGGAGCCTATTGCGGCAGATTTTAGGGGCGACAAAATTTGAGGCCAAAACTTTTATTGTCTTACAGAAATTAAAAAGATTCATAGTTATCTAAGGCTTCATATCTAAATATTATTAGGTCCACACAAGCAATTCAATATGTAATATGAGTAATATGGGTCACCTCTAAGACAATTTTTTCAACAATTTACATAATGTTCGTTCAAGAAATTATGGCTGCCAAAAATTTATGACTTGAATCGGGAAAGTACATTATTATGTAAGTAGCATTATTAAGGCACACTTTATCCCGCCTTATTAGTAATGATTGAGCTTTTATTAGCTCAGAAATATGCCCAAAAACTATTTCTTGAGCAATCTTAACCAAGTCGTTGGATTGTAAAAATAATCTAGGAACTGACTTGAACTTGTAAGAGGTCGATAGGGGCGGCAAAATTTGAATAGCCTACTGGTTGCCAAGTGTAAATCTGTGTACTGTGTGCATAACATTATATTAGCTATATATATTATTTTTTAATGTATTGTGTTGTGTTGAAGTGTAAAAGTAAAAACTCTTTGAAAAAGTGACAAAGGATTTTTCCTATCTTGGTGTAAAATGTATTTTCTCTGGCTAGAGTCTAGAAACTGGACGATAATGAACTTAAAAAAAGAAATCGAGAGACCATTACGAGGTAGGCATAGCAAGTAGTCCCTTCTTGTAAGTCTTAAACAGAACGATATCAAGGAAATAGGCGATGTAGAGGGAGATGTGGAGAAGCTTATGGAGTTTTATGAGGGCCTGCCTTATATGTCATACTGTAAGTTCATTGTTATAGAAGGCAGTAGGACTGCGCTAATGAATACTAGAGCTACTAAGTACTTTATGCGTTAGTGTGGTCATAATTTAACGTTGAAATAGTCGTTATGGTATTTATAATACCACAAGCATTGTCCGCGGCTCCGCCAGCGTTCAGATGACTAAAAACCAAATTCTTAGGTTTTACATATTAGTATACTCTTACAATGCAGTTTTTGTATTTTTTCTCAGAAATGAGATATTTTCCCGGGGTAAAAAGTATCCTATATGTTGACCCGGATATCCAGCTATCATTGTACCAAATTTCGTCAAAATCTGTCCAGTGAGTTTCTCGTGATGCGGTAACAGACAGACAGACAAAAATTCTAAAAACTATAGATTTGGACTCTGTATCGATAATAATGTCTATTTCAATTAGAATTTCCAAAAAATATTTAATGTACAGGTTCGACTTAGTTACAATTTTATTATATGTATAGATTTAGCGATAAGTATATGAGTCTGATTGCATTAGTTTTTGAAAAAACTTATGCACCTAATTTAAGTAAAATTTGGCGTGTCAGCATGCCAAATTTTATTGCCGGTAAAAAAAAGATTACTTTTTATCCCGGAAAAATGAACAGTTCCCGTGGGATAGATCTGTATGTGCTTTTCTAGGTAATGTTACTTAAACATTACCGTGGCTCGGCTATGTTCGATTTAAAAATGGCCGACACGAAATGTCAAAAATATCTGTTTGACATTTTCAACATTCGCATTTCCATTCGTGAATGTTGGAGATGAATATTCGCATTCGCAATTGTGAAAAATCGAACCTTCGTTACATCACCCAAAAACTAACTTTCATCCGTGCATATAAACAAAGCGTCAATATTTTTAATTTTTTTTTCTGGTGTTCAGTGACAAACGAGCAGATAGACCACCTGATGAAAAGCAGTACGTGTCGCCCATAACACCTACGGTTCATACAGTTAGGTTTTATGTAACAAAAATGCAAAGCCGTAGGTGCGTTGTCACTGTGAGGACTAAGATGATATGCCTCTTGCCTGTAATTACGCTGGCTACCTTATCCTTCAAACCGGAACACAACAATGTTATCATTGTTGCTTGGCGGGAGAAATAGATAAAGGGGTGGTACCTATATCCAGTCGGACACCGGTGAAGTATGTTTATTTCGTATGCAATATTTCGCGTTCGCCCATGTGGATGCGATCTTTGACATGATCGATTTAACGGTGTAGAAGTTGATGCGCCATCTGGTGGCAAGTTAGAGAAAAATGGTTAACATTAAAAGCATATGCGTGTAAAAACATTTTTATTTTATAATTATGTCAATTTCAAAGCAATCGGCTAAGAACTTCCCAAGGTTTGCGGTTTTGCACAACTGATAATTTTTTAATTTAAATATTAATACTTGGTTTCTTGGTTATAGAATTATATTAATGATAATGTATAATTTGACTTAAATTCTATGACGCAGATTAAATTTATTTATCTTAAATTTAAAGAAAATGTAATGAAAGAGCTATTAATAATAATTACATAGAGTTTTATAATATGTATTATATAACTTACAGATTCAAAGAATTTTCATTATACTAATAGATTCTTCGTATGAATAAGATATTATAATCTTGTCTTGTAGAAACTCTTTGTTGTTCATATATAAATTGTCTTAATAATTCATTTTTTTTTGTTATGACATCATTCCAATCTACGTAGTATTTTATTTGCCTTTAAGCTAGGGAACCTCAAAATAAGTACATTTATTACAAACACAAATAAATATAACATACCTGCCTATTAAATTAATAACTAGCGGCTCACCCTCGCTTCGCTCGGGTTCGCCTCTAGACAAACAAAAACAAAATTTATCCCACAGGAACCGTACATTTTCCGAAATACAAAGAAGCCTATTTGTTATTCTGATGTATTAACTATATTATTGTAAGTGGTTTTTGTGAACTAAGCTGTATAAGTTACTATAGTTTTTAAACTATCCCACGGGAACTTTTTAATTTTCCGAGACGTAAAGTATCTAAAATGTTGACTGGGGATATAAGGTACCACCATGCAAAATTTCATTTCAATCGGTCCAATAGTTTCGGAGATTAGCCCGTACAAACAGACAGACAGAGAAACAAAAAAATTTTTATTTCACTTCTTACATCCCCCTGACTCGGTTTTTAGCAATTTTTTTTTATGTACATACAGACATTCGACCTCTATAGTTTTATTATAGATTAGATTTCATTACGCGGTACTACGGCATGAAAATTATTTAGTATAAATATTGGATTTAGCCTAAACCTGGTTGATTTTTTTACTTATGCGAAAATAAAATGTATGTATATTTTCCTTAATATATTATTAAATAATTTTGTTTTTTTACTGTATGTTATTTGGACGTGCAGTTTAAGAGATAACACCATAAAATTAAAGCCCCGCCACGAAGCTGTAATTCTTTAGTTAGATGTAATCGAGTAGTTCAGTAGCGGCGGCGATGTTGAACTGGGCATTATTATTATCAAATACATAAGACGTCGACGGCCGCGGTTTGCTTCTGTCTGTAGTAGAAAACTGTAGGTTTTAAAAAGGCCCATAGAAAAGTCTGCAATAGCATATCTCTACCTCCTAAGGTACATTCGCAATAACTATTTATATTTATTTAAAACGTACCTAGGGATGTAACCGAGCGAAGCGAGAGTAAGCTGGCACCGACTTCGAAAATATGTGATTACGAGTAGGTAATCCATACTAATATATGAATGTTGGTTACTCTTTCATGCCGGAGCGGCTAAACGGATCTGGATGTTTGGCACAGAGGTAGATCATAATCTGGAATAACATATAGGCTACTTTTCAGCCCGGAAAATGTACGGTTCCCGTGGGATAGATAGGGACGCACCCTAAGCGAAACAAAGGTGAATCTATAGTAAATGAAAATCCCCATTCAGTTATTTTTTTTACTTTTTAGTGCCTAGAAGTCTGTTTCGATTTTTCAGTTTTCAAAAAATACAAATAGGTATATCTTATTCATACTAAGATTATAAATGTACGTCTACATCCATAACGGAGACAACGCCAGACTGATTAATAAGGTTTTTTGCCTGACGACAGAAGACGAGACTTTTTTATTGTGTTAAGAAATGCATTTACGAAACACCTACACAAATACGGGTGCTCTATGTGGGACTCACCGGCCAGAATAGTCAGTACTACACATTAAACCCAATAGAACCTTCCCAGTCTTAATAAAGCATCGCGGGACGGAACTTTGCTCGCCGGAAAATATCTCAATTCCATAGTAAAGATCATACATAGGGAATTTTGATTGATATGGTTTTCTATGTGGAGATCGTCTAAGCTCTCAAGAGTGCCGTGAGTTGGGTGTGTCTCTAGTATATAAATAAACAATTTTTAAAACACCTTAAATACGGAAAACTAACCCTTATTTTGTTATGGTGTCATGTTATCAATTATTCCAGCAAAAGTCGACAACAGTGACATTCAGAGAAAGTAGTCTGGTAATACTGTGTACATCGCAAAGGATTTCCCCGGCGATCGATTTTCAGGAATGTTTCAAATGAAATTTTTGTTAAGTACTATAAGCATTACACTATTTTTATACAACCTTTATAAAAGACAAGCCGTCTCAATCGATATTTCTATCGACGATGTTTATCTTATAAAATATATTACTCGTATACATATAATGTAGGATAAATAGATTCCTTTCGAGTGTATCTATAATATACCAATAATTATAATTTTTGCTATTTATTATGCTGTAATTTAATCTACAGTAAAGTGTTATAATTATAATTATTTGGTAAATTGTGAAAAAAAAACGTTAAGTGAAGGTCTTTACATAGAATTTAAGATAAAATTATTTTCAACATATTGTATTACGTGCTACGACTTACAGAGAAGTTTGTCATAAGACTGATGTATTCAAACTTTCTGAAACTTTCTGTCGTGTCACCGACAGCTTATAATATAATTTTGAACTTTGATCAATATTGCTAAAATATTTGCCTATCATTACTCATTAGCATTGCTTTTGATTATAATTACTTTCTTTTATTTATATTCATATTGGCGCAAAAAAATTATATAGACTTGTGTTGTGTTTGCAACAAGTGCTCAGATAATTAATCTGTTTGTGACTTCCGGTCAAAGTAAAGTTAATTAACAGAGCTATGGCTTCTGCCGGCTTTTTTAATGATAAACATACCCTTCATACATTAGTCTTTACATACATGCAGACGCACATATAATTATCACATTCCATGTTAAAATGTATATCTGTGTTCTTTCTCTACAAAGTATGTATATAAAAGTAACCCAAATATAATAATAAAATCATAATTTTGTGTATCAAATGGAAGTATAAAAATAAAGGCACCGTTACATATAAAAGAAAGACTAAAGAGTAAAATTTTATAATGATTACAACGTATATTTACGAAATCTAATACACTCACTTAAGCCATGCCATGAATGTTTTCAGAAAAGAAGAAAATATACCAAGTAAATAAATAATTATTTTGCTTGTTGAAATTTCTTTGCGCTAGTAAGTCGTAACTGGTACACGTTTATTTAGGTCACTCTGTTATATTTTTATTTCACTACACGAGACAAATTTATTTGTGAATATATTTCTATAGAGTGGGCGACCGACCGATGTATAGATTACCAATTGACATTAATACGGGGGGTGTATTTTAGTAATCGCGCTGATTTTTAAAAATGAAAATTCGTAATTTGGATTTTCCGTAGCGCAGTGGGCGGTTTCAGGTCGGTTCGTACCCCGTAGCTGAGGCGGGCGCCCGCGGTACGACGTCGTCTTATGTGCCTACGTCAGTCGAGTTCGCATCCGCGTATCGAACGCACGTAATTGCTCGCATTTACGTATTCCATATACGCCGATTCATATCCCGTGTGGATATAAAGTTAATCTAATGCCGACATATCTAATCGCGCAAACGTAAACTGATAGTGAAATTAACACGTTTTCTCTGTTTATTCGTTAGAGAGACGAACAGGTGGCGATTGCAGTTGTGTTATTTTTGGTTGTTGTTCCCATTGAGTGTAGTGCCAGTGTCTAATATCAAAGTGCCAGAACACTGTGAGCAGCTACAGTAGATGCCGATCGCCCTATTATTACGCACTTTACACGACAAAATGACATCGGATCGATAGGACTAACAGCTGAGCTGATTGCACTGTCCACTTTGCTTATAAGGTAAACTTATGCTCTATTGTAGAGACGTTGATTCAAGGAACAATAATTGTTTTTAAGATGGATAAGATAGGATTATTTTAATTGCTAAACAATAGTAATTTTAACTTTTCTGTTTTTTTAAATGCTCAGAATATGATGAATATTTTATATTTTTGCAATGTGATACCAAAAATATACCATAAAGACCACCCAATCCGAAAATAAAAATGGGGTGCGAATGTTCCATTTGTGGCGACTTAAATCTTTGCGATTTTTGTGATTTAGTTGATAGCCTTAGGAATTTCTGTCATTGTTCACGAGCACAAAGAGCTTTTTTTTATTGCGTACTTAAGGTACCTCTTTATTAGGTTCTTAGTTGTCACTCGTGTGAAGCAAACACCGAGTAGGCAGCTAAATGAAAACAATCTTACTATAATCTGCAATCTGCGGTTTTGTATATGTTTATATTTTATTAACATTTTTTTTACATTTCATAATGCTGTTTTTGTTATTTTTTTTAAATCAAGCCTAAAACAAGCGACACAGTTAAAGATTTTTTTTGTATAAATTTCTTCCTCTTGATGCTTGTACTAAGCAAAGTTAACTTTATGTGAAATATTTATAAAGTTAAAAATTAAATAATAATATTTATAAATTACTTGAAGCCGTGATTACTAAATACGTTTAATTTTTTATGATATTACCGACTTAATATATGTATTATATTTATAATATGTATATGTTTATTGTTTACCCTGATATATTGCTCAAAGTTTCACTTTGATCGTCACAAGCCACAAGCCAAAGCAGGTAAAATAGTAAATGGGTGAAATGTCGTGGGACTATTGAAGTACGAATTAAAATACATAGTCTATCAAGTTTAACACTTAAAACACGAACGAAAATACGTCGTCTTGATTTTTTTACTTATTGGCAGTGTTAAGTACCTACATTATATATTTTTTTGTTGATTTTCTAAGAATATTTTTGACTATTATTGCCTAACTATCGGCTCGCCCTCGCATCGCTCGGGTTCGCCTCTAGACAAACAATAACAAATTTATACCACAGGAACCGTACCTTTTTCCGGGATAAAAAGTAGCCTATTTGTTATTCTGATGTATGAGCTATATTATTGTAAAGTTTCATTAAAATCCAATCAGTAGTTTTTGTGTACTAAGCTGTATAGTTTAGTAATAGTTTTTAACTATCCCACGGGAACCTTTTAATTTTCCGGGATGAAAAGTATCTAAAATGTTGACCAGGATTATAAGGCACCACCATGCATAATTTCATTTAAATCGGGCCAACAGTTTCGGAAATTAACCCGTACAAACAGACAAACAGAAAAACAAAAAAAAAAAAGGATTTGTTCTATTTCTCTTCTTACATCCCACTGACTCTGTTTTTAGCATATTTTTTCTATGTACAGACATTCGACCTCTACAGTTTTATTACATCTATAGATAGACTGTATATTGTTTACAATAACTAGGTAAAACTCAAACTCTATTTATTTGTCTTGACTCTTGCTATAATTATTTATTTTTAATTGCGCTTTCAGTTATTTATTATATCGAATAAAGTATTGATGACTTTTTGCGTGCATACTTGGCTTTCTAGTCACGATGAAGCAGCCAATGACCTGTTATTACTTAATTTTGGAAAACTCATTGTCGTTCGAAGGACGTAAGTTCCGTGTCCCCGTTATTAAATTATAGACAGGATACTTCGTATCCGGAGCGAACGTTGGCGTTTTAACTGCTTACAAAATATAGTCTATTGTTTGAGTCAGTTTGTCAAATAAAAAAGATTTCCAAGAATAGATCATAATAGAAGTTTACATGATTTTAAGACAAGAAAAAAACTAATATGACTATAGAGTAGTACTAATAAATTTACGTACGTTACGAAGGTATTGTATTGAGCCCTTTTTGACGTCGCACTGTTGAGCACGGGCTTGCCTTCATTACGAGGGGGATTAGGATTCATTACGAGGGGGATATGGTCCACACGCTGGCCAAGTGCGGGTTGGTGGACTACATATGCCTTTCGGAAACTTACTAAGTTCTCTCAGGCATGCAGGTTTCCTCACGATGTTTCCCTTCACCATAAGACAAGTGGTAATCATGTTGGAAATGATTCGCACATGAAAATATCAGAGGTGCGAGACCCGAGATTTGAACGCGCTTCACTCGCCTCCACTCCCAAGTAAGCGCGTTAGCACTGGGCTACCACTGCCACAAAATACGAAGTACGAGTACGTACGAGTTACGAAGGTACTAAAATAAATTTACGTTACGTGAGCGTTTACGTTTACAGTGAGCAAAATAAAATTATTTATACTTGTTTTTATTTTTGTGCCATTACTAATCTGACATTGGCACTGTTTTCCTCAATGTAAAGATGTTAAGGTATATCCTTTTCATTGTTTTCTCTAGCTTACAATTAGCAGCAATGAGCAGGTGAATTAGTGAGCGTATAATACTCCAAGTTCAATTAATTATTAATGGTTTTCGAATCCTTGCTTCTACACCTAAGTGTAGCCGACCGTTAGGATTCGTGACATGACATAAATATGTATGTATATTTCTGTACTGTATATCGTCTGTCGATGATAAATAGCGAATTATTTATATAAAAACTTAAAGAATTATTAGTTACTAGCGGACCCGACAGACGTTGTCCTGTCTACACGTCTTTAATTTGAAAATTTCAAACTTTTTTAAATAATTTTTTTGATGAAAATTATTATTCAAATTGTGAATCTAAACCATTCCCAGATCCCCTTGAACACACACAAAAAATTTCATCAAAATCGGTCCAGTCGTTTGAGAGAAGTTCAGTGACATACACACTCACAGAAGAATTATATATATAAAGATTTAACTAATAAATGATTAAATTGTCTTTTTAATTATTGATAATATTATTATATGTAAGTGTATTTTTAATTGTTTATGACTTCATTTAGAATATTATTGGTTTTATATTTACATAATAAGTATTTTAATTATTATTCTTCACTATGTAATACTTATTATTACATTTTAATCTCACCTTCTTCAATTAAACTAAGCCAAGACCTCGAGATTAGTAATTTTTCACTAGAATATTAACGACGTAGTGCATAATTACTTCTTATTATAATGTTTCCGTATCATAAAGTTTAATGATTAGAGTTTTTCCTCAGCAAAGTGATGCTCTTGTTATACAAATTATAGCTGTTTTGTTTATGCATGAATTTTAAGTGTTTATAAAGTTACTTTATAATGAAAAAATAGTTTTTTAGATTTACGCGAATATTTGACATTTTAAATAAAACTATCTTTTCGGATTATTTCGCGGATTTATTTGGATTTTTGGTTCCCGACATTTCGAATGCTTTACAGCAATCATAGTCACGGGAGAGACCGCAGTCTCTATAAAAATCAAAATAAATCCGCGAAATAATCCGAAAAGATAGTTTTATTTTAAAAAAATATGTAAAAATAATGAAGATTAAGTATTAAGCCCTTTTTAATGTTATTTCTGCTGCTGCAGCTGGGCAAGATGGTGTTTAATGTCGAAAGAATCGGGCCATTGTCCATATACCACGCAAAAATAATAAACAACATTTCGTGTATCGTCATGAGTAAACGTTTATGAAGCCTTATTAAGTTATATACATGTACATAACATATGAAGTCTAAAAGAAAACTGGAAGTTTTGCTTGAATATTAAATCTATTCGCGGCTTGCATTTATTCTACGATTTCATAAGTTCACGTTGTATGGAAGGCAAAAATTAAATCGGTCTCGTATTGATCAACACTAAAATCTACTGCTTTCAAAACATTGAATACGATTACTGTTGCAAAACAATTGTAACGCTTTATTTCGCGTGTGATATTTTCAATGTTTTATTACGAGTTTGTAACTTGTTGATCAACGTTTTTTTGCAGTGTCTGTTAGTTCGTTGTTGTATTCATGTTTTTGTTAATTATTTTATGCATCTAGTGCATGTTTATTTATGAAATCAACTGCCTCGGTGGTGTAGTGGCTAGCAAGTACGGTTGCACATTAGGAGGTCCGGGGTTCGAGTCCCGGGTCGGGCCAAGTTTAGTTATTAGTCTTTCTGTATAATAAGTCTCAGTAACAGCCCGGAGTTGGGAAGTTGGCGGTGTTTCACCCCCGTGCCTCGGAGAACACGTAAAGCCGTCGGTCCTGCGCCTTAACTCTCACCGGTCGTGTCGAGTAGTCGTCCCACCGGAGTATGAGAGTGACAGGAATAGAGAGTGCACGTTGTGTCTGCGCGTACACTTGTGCACTATAATATCTCCTGCGCAGTTGGCTAGTCTCAATGAGATTGGCCGCCGTGGCCGGAATCGGCTAGGATAACATCATTTATGAAATTCGTATTGCCAGATAATATGTAATAGTTAACAGAGTTTGGCACGTGTTTTGAAATAAATTATTTGTGTTCGGCATTCAAAACTGTTCATGTACCAAACTTCTTACTTCCTAGCCAGCTTTATTTTTGTCATGTTTTCGTAAATTTCAAACGTTCCTGTCGCATTTAGAAATATCTTACTTAAGTTTTTAGTAAGTGTTATTGTATCATTCAATAATTGAAACTACACAAACAGTCACACTAGTTTAATTGAAGTACAAAAAGAAATTGATTCTTAGAGTAGAGGTTGTTTTAGTCAATGAAGTAGAAATATTTGTGAATGAGTCATATGTTTCCATTTCGTGTTTATTGCGCGATACAAAAATGCGAAGTTGATACGATAGGTATTAGATATCGAATGGAGGCCGGTGTAGGCGCGGAAACCAGTCCTCAAGAGCAAGGTCAGATCTCTAGAGCTCGAGAAGACTTAGCCGGCTTTAGCGCCCTCCTAACACTGTTTGCTCAACTATTCTGTATTGGTTATTTTATTGATTCGAAAAATTCTAAACTTCTTTGCAAACGTTTATTACTCATGTTCTACCGTTTAATTAAAATGCATGGACTTGAATTTTCCATATACCTACCTAATC